TCCTTCTCCATGACTTTCATAGTTATCAGACATTGTCATAATCTTGTTTCTTTTCAATTTTTGTGTTTCAAATAAAACTAACGATGAAAATAAATATAGAATTTATTCTTTGGATGTTTGCCAGTCACTATATTGTCAAGATACTCTTTTGTTTGCCAGCAATTGAAAACACGTGCAAATATAATTCTGCTTGTGTAGTTCTGTTTTCTTTCTCATCTACAACATTCTTCGACCGACGGAGCGTTTTGTTTCATTCGTAAATTTGTTTTGTGCGGAGACGCGAGAGAAGAAGAATTAAAAGTATGAATGATCGAACAATAATAAAAAGTATATAAAATCAAACTTCAGTTTCTTTGACATATTTCTAAAAAAGAAACTCGATTTTGTCTTTAGATAGAAGAAAATCACAATTGTCATCAGTGGAAATTTCAGCTAAAGCCACGAACACGTTGTTTGTTCCTGTTGAAGGTATAGACAAAATAGACGTTGAGGATGTTCCGACGCCGATCCACACAAAACATATCAATATATGTGCCACACCAGCACATGAGAATAAATCACCAGAGGTAAGAAACGATCGTTTTCCAATGCAGTTTCAACTGATCATTTGTAGGAACTTCGATTTAAGTATTATTTAAATCATCTAAAACCTTCATGGATAACAGCTGCAAACTTCTCTCTGCCATTAAATATGAATTTTTCATTTGGAGTTCTAACTGTACCCGTAATATCAATATCTACTTTTATTCATAGAACCAACTGTAGTGAACGTTTGATTTTCAGAATACTCCGATCAATAGTTTTGCTTCTGAAAATGAACATTGTCCATCGCAATCATTGACTACATTGGCAAATAATTTTGGTACAGTGAGCGCCTCACAACAAAAGTAATACTTTAAAATAATTTCATTCTAGCTCTCGCGGTACAAGGACTGAACGATTGTGTCAACGGCATGAATGTAAATGTACGTATCAAAATTCAAGCTGTGTCGTTTCTTCAATATCATCTACTGTTTAGAAAAGTTCAACTGTCGCAGCATCAATCATTTCGCCGTTCACTATTCGGAGCTGCACAGATTGCAGTAAGCTACCCCAAATGCAATGTCTACATTGTTCCAAACAAGTTTGCATGGAATGTGCACAAAAACACGTGAAATTGGTTGATGAACAGATCCAAATTGCCGAGGAATTTGTTACTAACAAGCTCAGTATACTCGATCGATTGGTTATTATAGCAAGAGAACGTGTCAATGCTGAGCGGGAGAAAATTATCGAGCAAGCAAATGTGGAACGTGATCAAGCATATATGCAGATCAATGAACTGTATCATCAACAGATGAAACATATGCAAGATTCGGGTTTCCAACTTCGACAATTATCACTGGATAAAGTGTTGCCTTATATTCAACGCATGAAAAACAATATGGNCAGTATACTCGATCGATTGGTTATTATAGCAAGAGAACGTGTCAATGCTGAGCGGGAGAAAATTATCGAGCAAGCAAATGTGGAACGTGATCAAGCATATATGCAGATCAATGAACTGTATCATCAACAGATGAAACATATGCAAGATTCGGGTTTCCAACTTCGACAATTATCACTGGACAAAGTGTTGCCTTATATTCAACGCATGAAAAACAATATGGAGGCTTTAAACGAAGACAATCAACAATTGTTTCATGTTGCGTGTACTGCACCGAGAATTCAAGTAAAGCATAAACGTTGACTTGAGAAAACATACGACAACAATCTTCTTAATATGTGCGTTACGATCAATGGTATGAATAGCTCGATATCCACTTCATTTTTATCCATTCTCCACTGTCTTTGACGTGTCATTGTAAAATTCTAACAGACAAATACATATGCATAATGTCAGTTTGCACAGTAGTGTGTATTATGATACTGATCAAAGAGAAAGAGAACCATTGTGGTTCCTTTCATCGTGCTGCTTTACTGCTGGAAGCGGATCCTCTTGTGTTCGGTACTGATACTTACGCAATGAAATCCAGATTCATCATTGATAGTATTCAAACCTCTGACAAGCAAATAAAAGGTAGCGATCTCAAATTTGAAACGACTGAATTCGATCTTTGATATTTATGCACAAAGTGCATCTTTGGTCTATTTTTATTCGATAAAAACGTATGAAAAAAAAACAAGATTTAATGGGCTTTTATGCCGCATTCATCTGCTAAGTATTTGACGTTCCATTGATTCTTTTCATAAAAGATTCTTTGAGCGAATCAGTAAATTGAAATAAAGCCAACATAACTGATACTATTGATAAATCAGCAAAGATATAAGCAATTCGAAAGTGATACTTCGGTGGCGGAGTAAAGAACGATATTCCAATGAACAGAGCATAAGGAAAGCAAAGTATAACTAAAATCGCGACGATGATAATTGTACGTTGAACCATTTTCAATCCTCGTTGTGCACGAAGTAAAGTATTCACTGGCGTAATACGTCTACTCATATGACGAACATATCGGACTAATTTAAAGTAAATGAACATAATCAACAGAACAGGAATTAGATAAGCGCAATGTACGATGTAAAGAATAGGCCAAGAGAGTCGAAATGGTAATTGACAGATTTGATTGTCGGCATTGTAAGTTATTTCATTTGTAAATACAAACGGAAATGGGAATACAATACCAAATATCCATGTGCAAATAATCAGGCAAAGATAGAATTTCGCTGAATGCAAAAAGAAACGAGTTGGATAAACAACGGTCAAGTATCTATGTACAGCTTGAAGAACGAATGAGAAGTTGAATAGTGTACAAACGACATAAGCAGTATAACCTCGAAAGATGCAGTATGNGGCATTGTAAGTTATTTCATTTGTAAATACAAACGGAAATGGGAATACAATACCAAATATCCATGTGCAAATAATCAGGCAAAGATAGAATTTCGCTGAATGCAAAAAGAAACGAGTTGGATAAACAACGGTCAAGTATCTATGTACAGCTTGAAGAACGAATGAGAAGTTGAATAGTGTACAAACGACATAAGCAGTATAACCTCGAAAGATGCAGTATGAATCCTGATATTTAATTTGTTTGAGATCATTTTGAAGTGTAAATATCGACATGCTGAGAATACTACACGCAGCTAGAAAAGCAATGAAACAAGTATTACCAATTAGCAACATTGGAACGGTGTGACATGCTTTATCGACAATAAGAAGAACTAAATAAACGATGGATAGAAGAATAACACAAATCATCGATGTAATTGCGAGAATATCAAGTGGGATGAACCATGCTTGAATATTTATTGACAATGCATCGTATGTGAATGTTAATGTGCTTGTCACGAATGTAGAGTTCATTTCGGAAAAAGTATGGAACTCCTATGAATGTAATAAATATACGACGACATTTTATTTATTAGAGAAGGTAGGTGTGAGATTCTCAACAGATGACAATTATAATCAGAAATAATCGTCGTGCAAGTCTTCTCTTTTATCTTTTATCACGCCGTGAATGCTGGAATTAACGATGTTGAGAAGTTCAACTCAGAATATCCCAAAACGAGAGAAAGAGAAAAAGGAAAGAACGCGGATGAACTAGCTGAGCACGTGACGTAATATTAAACAGATGAGAGTTTGGTTTCTTTTTCAAGGCAGTTATTATACTTCTTCAATGTAAACTCAGGGATCATTTGCGAATTCTCTAGAAAATAAAAATCCTTACGAATAACACCAACAACAGCCGTTGGCAATGCATCTAATTAACTTGTCTGTTTCAGATGAAAGAAAAAAAAAAGAATCTTTTTTTGTTTCTACATGAAGTGATCACATTCACGTGTATGTTGACATAAAAATGAATCAATGATAAACATAAACTCACTGGAAAATATTATTTGTTATATTGTTTTATGAAGAATAAATAAACATCAAAATCAATGTTAATCATGCTGATTTAAGAGAAAAGATGGTGGTGGTGATGATGATGTTGACCCTCGTTAAATGTTTCACCTTGTCCATATTTCTCATCCGCTAGTTGATGTGCTTGTTGTACTGCACGTCGTTTCGCTTCTTCTCGATCGATAAAATCAAGTCCTTTCGTTTCGAAAAGTTTATCGACTTCAGCAGCGGCAAAGCCGGCAAGCATTTCTTTCATCAGCGGATGTGAGACTTGTTCGCCAGTTCTACGAACATGATCTTCATAAGCTTTCATCGCTAAATTATCCGGACTTATATAAGTATAGAGTGATAAGTAAAAGAAATCTTACCTTCGAAGCCTGCTGCACCTGATATTAGTTCATGCGTCCAAGATGAATGATGTCGAGGTTGATCTCCATAGATATCTTGGTGAGCTTGTCTGCTTTCATCGTGATTAAATAGATTTTCAAAGAACGACATTTGAATATCGTTATACGCACGTATGAGGTACCGCGATACAAACAAATGAGATGAAAACAGTATATATGTATAAACACACACAGAACGAATAAGAATGGGTTTCGCTTATTGAGTCGGTTAGTAATTATGATCACCGCATGGATCACAGGTTATTATAGAAGCGTATTGATAGTAAATATACAACGCCTAATATATGATTCATGAGGTTTTATTCACAAATATGAATAATCAGAAAATATCGAAAAATATTTTTGTTTATCTAACATTAGCATAGAAAAATGGGCGGATTGGTTTAACTGTTTCATATCTGTTTTGATTGAGAACTACTACAGTTCTTCTACTGCATTTTGTAAATCATGAGTAAGATCATCAACAACACTCAACGAAGATGAATCAGTACATTGTTGTAGAACTGCTCTGCAAGAATGATCGATGACTTCACATTTTTCCACAACGATGCTATCAGCACATTTCGATAGGATTGCTGTCTTTCTCTCCGAAAGAGTCAAGAATATTTCGACTAACTCATGGTAACTTGTAAATAGACGTTTTTTCTTCTGTTCATGTTGAAATAAGAGTGTGTGCACAATACTGTGAATGATTCGTACCTGAAAAAGAAACTAATTACATGAAAATACAATCATGTTTATGGCTTACCGAACGCCATAAACGAAGAAAAATAACGAGCAATGTCGTTTTCGCAAATACATTATTTTGATATATGATACTAAAACCAATCACGTAAGACAACAGAACAATGATGGCATCAATCCATTCCATTTTTCTCTCGGAGAGATTCCACCAGAATCGTCCATATGCATAGACTTTCACAAATAATTCTATAACAAATACCGTTAAGATTGCTAAGGATGAATATTCAAGAACTTTAATGGCAGTTTCCATATCATTATGATGATTGTGTGCAATCGAATAGTTGCTGCTTGTGTTCGAGTGACACGCTTTATGAAGTATGAGAAAATCAAAGAACAATTCAGCTTTAACAAACACACAGTCGATCAGAACGAGTACGATGATGATTGTATGGAATAATGGCTGCTCAACACTGTGGATAATCGTCTGTTGACATTTATATTGAACATTCCACCAACGGTTGATTACCGAACAGTGTTCGTTTGTAACATCGAGACAATAGTCTTTTTTGAAATTGGTTTCATCATATTCAGGACTGAACTTTTCCGGATCGGGCATAAGCAGAGCGAAGATTGGATCAATGTGACTATGACTGGTTCCATAAGACGTCGACGTGGTTCCGTTAGAACTCTTCATATTTCCACCAGACGAAATATCAAGAACAACTGTATAAACGTACTTGATAGCGTGTAATGCATGTTTTTTTTTTCGTTTTCTTTTTCTTTTGTATGTATACCCGTACGCTTTTTATAACCTTCTACCGTCATACTCTACTCCGCGCAATATTCTATACAATGTAGATGGGCGTGCCCTCATTACGTTCGAACAAATGGACGGCAGTAAATTCAATCAAGAATTATCTATTTTTGTAACAACACAGAAAATCGCGACAACAAATAAAACTAAAAAGAGAAAAAAGTATCCCAAAGCTTTGGCGACATATTTTGTGTAGCTGTAATATGTAGGTGTGTAGAACATCAGTTCAATTTCGATCGAATTACGATGTTCTGATTGTAGTTGAGCAATGAGTGCTGAGTTGTTTTGTATTATTCCAAGTACGAATTGATTTTGTATACGTCCATGAACCGGTATTTTATAAAATTCATTTGTTAGAGTTAAACTGCCTTCGGTTACAGGTATCATTTCTAGTGTAAAGAGATTTCCATTTGTTCGACCGATATGTAAGTTTAAAATTGATAAGACCATGTAGACTATTGAAATTACCAATGGTATAGGCACAAAATACTTCCACCGAACACTTAAACCAGCAAAAACAATACTGACAAGTATAAGAAATATTGCCAGTTTTGTTCGTAAGAAAAAATCACCACCACGCATATTCCTTTTGGTAGCTTGGCCATTTTGACGGAAATAATTACATTGTTTCACTGCATGATTGTATCTCGATGAATAGTTCTTATTGACATCTACTCGAGTAGTTGTATTTCGTGGATTACCCACGGCTATCTCGATATCAGTATTTTTAGCAGCTACAATGCCAACACTATTGTTACGATTGATGCCAAAATTCATATCTCTTGTACGTATTTGATTCGACGACATGATTCTGTTGTTATGATTAAATCTCGGAAGAGAATCCTATTATATGCAATAATGTCCATTGGCTTTTTCCAACTACAGTATTCGTTTTGTAAAGATAAGATATTGACACATATTGACATAGGTAAAAAAAGAAGTATTTTCTAGAAAGCAGTCAAATTACGAAACGCGTAAGAGGAGAAGTCGTATCTCATTGAGAATCCACAATGAAACAATACATACGGAGTGCAAACGCATAGATCGTTGCGTTGTTTTCATAGGGAAGAGATAATGTTTTGTAAAGACAAATAGTCATACGAACCACAACAAAATATTACAGCACATAAGTGTGTAATGTATATACGCAGATAAACAAGCAACTATAGTCAGAGTGAAGGGAATTGTTTGGAAAGAATTGAAGAATTTTGTTTTTTTCTTTTGAGTGAAGAAACAACGCAAAGTTAATATTGGCGTAGAGGACATGACTGACTTAGCACACATCGGCAGCATAAGTAAATGTCGAGAGACTATTTCATTCTCAACCCAAGCAAAAAGATACATTATATTATATTGGGCAAAAATTTTGCGGCCATTTACAAAATTTTAACTTTGGGTGAATCCATGAGAACTCAGCCACTTTTTGAAAAGACCTTTCTTTTCGATTTTTTTGTTCAAAAAGCTGATCGCGACTGGAAAACATTTTTGGTTAAACAAAATGAAGTACTCTTACCACAGAACTCCGAGTTTTCGAGCATTTTCTTGGAACACCTATGGTGTATTTTCGTATATAGAAAAATGAAAAGAAAAAGCGTGGAACTCATTTAGAAGTTTTTTTTTCTGAATTTTTTAGTTTTCAGAAATGTAAACAAAGTCTAGAAACATGTTTCCTGAGGAACATCAAACCAGTTCTATTGCAGGTTTTGAAGGCTCAGTCATTTTCTGTGTATTCATGAACTTAAGACTGCAGAAATCTAGTATAATGTGGTACTGAAGAGAACTGTTCAATCTATCTGAATATTCAGTATCATCGTCGAAAACCTGCCTTCAGGAATCTCATAAGTTCCGCGCTTTTATGAGCCGTTCAATATTTGTCAACACTAGCATTATTCGAAGAAGAAAGAAAATCCATCAAACTAAAGTTACTGTTCAATGGATAACTTTCATATGTGAATTAGTTGTAATCCTCTACTTTTGCAAAACTTTTAGCTCCTCACCCCCGTTTCATCCACACTGAGTTCAAAAGATCTCTGCGGAGAACAAACTTAAAACATATTGGCATACACCATCGACGACAAAAAACGATTTCGAAACTGTATGTCGGAACCTAATGAAACAAGTTACACTTACAAAAGTTGCATTTCAAACACAAGTCTCAAATACCACAAACTACTACAATAATGGCTCAGGAGAAATCATCCAAATGGGATAATTATTTGATTATTCATTACACATGTGAGAACCGAGTAGACGATTACAAAAAAACACATTCACTGCATGTGCAACGATCTTTTTCGTCAAACTCTAGCAATTTATACGGCACTCATTATCGTTAATAGAAACAATCCTGATCTACTCGTACGATCCGTATGACGGCGACAAGCCAAAAAGTGTACGAAGCAACTCAATAAAATACAACATAAAAGGACTAATCCAACTGCTTCTGAATGAATAAAAATGCAACTTTCCTCTTTTTCCAGAATAAAATACAGTAATCGTGCTAGTCACCGAATCTGATAATCATTGAATTTGTCCAAAAATCATCTAAACTTTGCAAAATACTGAACGCATTCACGTTCAGTCTCACTCTATTTATTCTAGGCTAACACTTGGTAGTTGCTTTTTTTACTTCAAACGCATATATAAACTGCGTTCGTAAAAGTTCGACTCTGTAACTAGTCGCACATAGAGCATACTATATACTACACTTGAAGTAATTTGGACCTAAGAGCTAAACTAATGACTGAACGTTCAAATTCGACAGTTAGATCACATCTTCGAAAGATGCACCACATCCTTTCATAATATTCAGTTACGCCATCAGCCCTTCCAAAGCAATGAACGAACAGAGCAATATAAGTAGTATTGATATATAATTAAAAAATCTCACGACCAGCTCTAGAATACATTTTCTTTTTCGAAGTGGGAAAAAATATCTCATGATGTTTATGTCCACAAATAATATTCCGCATTGATCACCAAATCATTGCCATTATAACCGCCCGTAACTAACACATTTCTATCGGCTAACATGGTTGCTGTATGAAAGTATCTCGCGGAATTCATGGCACTGATAGTTGGCCAGATATTCAGTAATGGATCGTACAACTCAGCACTATTTACAGCCTGCCTTCCGGTATATCCGCCAACAACTAACACTTTCCCATTTGTTAACATAGTTGCTGTGTGAGAGTATCGCGCAACATTCATGCTACCAGTGCTTGTCCAGTTATTCCACGTCACGTCATATATTTCCGCACTAACCAAAGAATTATTGCCATTGAATCCACCCGCATATAGCACCTTGCCGTTCCCTAAAACGATTCCTGTGTGATATCCACGCTTCGCCAACATACTACCCATAGGTAACCAACTGTCCACCAACGGATCATATATTTCAACGCTGGCTAAAAAGTCACTTCCGTCATATCCGCCTGCAACTAAGATCTTTCCATTCTGTAAAACGTTCGCTGTGTGGAATCCTCGAGACCATTTCATGCTATTTATAGTTGTCCAATTATTCCACACCGTATCGTAAAACTCAGCAGTTCTGAGAAAACTAGCATTGTTAAAACCGCCACTAACTAACACCTTTCCATCGGTTAATACGGTTGCCGTGTGAGAAGATCGTGCATTATTCATGTTACTGATAGGTGTCCAAGTATTTAATGCTGGATCATACAACTCACTACTGTTCAGCGAAGCACCATTGGCATATCCACCAGCAACTAGCACCTTTCCGTTTATTAACATGGTTGCTGTGTGAGAGTATCGTGCAGTACTCATGTTACTCGTAGGTATCCAAGTATTTAACGTTGGATCAAACAATTGAGCACTGTTCAAAGAAGCAATACCATCATATCCACCAGTAACTAACACTTTTCCATTTGTTAATATAGTTGCTGTGTGATAGTATCGTCCAGTATTCGTGTTACGGATAGGTGTCCAAGTATTTAATAATGCATCATATACCTCAGCTCTATCCAGAGAAGCACCATTAGCATATCCATCAGTAACTAACACTTTTCCATTTATTAATATGGTTGCCGTGTGAAAAGATCGGGCAAAACTCATGTTACTGACAAGTGTCCAAGTATTGAATGTTGGATCATATAACTCAGCACTGTTCAGAGAACCAGCAGTGTCATATCCACCAGTTACTAAGACTTTCCCATTAGTTACTATGGTTGCCGCGTGAGAAGATCGCGCAGTATTCATGCTACTAATAAGTGTCCAAGTATTTGATGCCTGATCATACACCTCAGCACAGTTCAGAGAACCACCAGTGTCATATCCACCAGTAACCAATACTTTTCCATTCGTTAATATGGTTGCTGTGTGAGAAGATCGTGCACAATCCATGTCAGTAGCCGGTGTCCATATACTTAATCCCGGATCATATAGTTCAGCACTGTCCCGGGTACCACCAATGCCTGAACCGCCAGTAACTAACACTTTTCCATTTGTTAATGTGGTTGCTGTGTGAGCAGATCGTGTAGTATTCATATCACTGATAGGTGTCCAAGTATTGGATGATGGATCATACAACTCAGCGCTGCTACTAAAACCAATACCACCATATCCACCAGTTACTAAGACTTTCCCATTTGTTAATATGGTTGCTGTATGAGCGGATCGTGCGTTATTCATGTTAGCGGCAGGTGTCCAAGCATCGAATATTGGATCATACAACTCAGCACTGTTCAGAGAAGCACCGTTGTCAAATCCACCAGTAACCAGCACTTTCCCATTTGTTAATATTGTTGCCGTGTGAGATCTTCGTGCACAATTCATATTAGCGGCAGGTGTTCGAGTATTTAATGTCGGATCAAACAACTGGGCACTGTTCACAGAAGTGCCACCGTCATATCCACCAGTAACTAACACTTTTCCACTTGTTAACATAGTTGCTGTGTGATAGTATCGTGCAGTGTTTATGTTAGTGATAGGTATCCAGGTGCTCAATGTTGCATCATACAACTCAGCACTGTTCAGCGGCTTAGCAACACCATGTCCGCCAGTCACTAACACTTTTCCATTTATCAATATGGTTGCGGTGTGAAACCATCGTGCAGAATTCAAGTTACTGATAGGTGCCCAAGTATTGAATGTTGGATCATATAACTCAGCACTGTTCAGAAGACCTGCAGCACCTGAACCACCAATAACTAACACTTTTCCATTTGTTAGTATGATTGCTCTGTGAGAAGATCGTGCAGAATTCATGTTACTGACAAGTGTCCAAGTATTGAATCTTGGATCATACAACTCAGCGCAGTTCAGAGAACTAGTAATGTCCTCTCCACCAGTAACTAATACTTTTCCATTGGTTAATATTGTTGCCGCGTGAGATTTTCGTGCACAATTCATGCTAGTGACTGGTGTCCAAATATTTAATGCTGGATCATATAACTCAGCATCGTTCAGAAGATGAAAAGTGCCTGAACCTCCAGTAACTAACACTTTTCCATTTGTTAATATGGTTGCTGTGTGAGATGAACGGTCAGTATTCATGTCAGCGGTAGGTGTCCAAGTATTGGATGATGGATCATACAACTCAGCGCTTGTCGTAGAACCAATACTGCTATATCCACCAGTAACTAACACTTTCCCATTTGTTAACAGGGTTGCTGTGTGAGATGAACGGTCAGAATTCATGTCAGCGGTGGGTGTCCAAGTGTTGAACGTCGGATCATATAACTCAGCACTGTTCTGGGTGCCATCAGCGCCTGAACCACCAGCAACTAACAGTTTTCCATTTCTTAATAGGGTTGCTGTGTGAGAAGATCGTCCAGAATTCATGTCAGCGACAGGTGTCCAAGTGTCCAATATTGGATCATATAACTCAGTACTGTTCTGGTTGTCATAAGTGCCTGAACCACCAGTAATTAATACTTTTCCATTTGTTAACATAGTTGCTGTGTGATGGTATCGTGCAGTGTTTGTGTTACTGATAGGTGTCCAAGCGCTCAGTGTTGTATCATACAACGCAGCACTACTCAAAGGACCAACACCGCCTGTACCACCAGTAACTAACACTTTTCCATTCGTTAACATGGTTGCTGTATGAGCGGATCGTGCAGTATTCATGTCACTGATAGTTGTCCAAGTATTGAATATTGGATCATACAACTGGACACTGCTGAGTGGTTTAGCACCATCATATCCACCAGTAACTAACACTTTTCCATTTGTTAATAGAGTTGCTGTGTGAGCCGATCGTGCAGTATTCATGTTACTGATAGGCGTCCAGGTATCGAATGCTGGATCATATAACTGAGCAGTGTTGAGTGGTTTAGCACCATCAGACCCGCCAGTAACTAACACTTTTCCATTTGTTAGTATGGTTGCTGTGTGAGCAGATCGTGCAGAATTCATGTTGCTGATAGGTGTCCATGTATCGAATATTGGATCATATAACTCAGCACTGTTCAGAGAACCATCAGTGTCATATCCACCAGTAACCAACACTTTTCCGTTCGTTAATATGGTTGCTGTGTGACCTAACCGTGCAGAATTCATGTCGGCGGTAGGTGTCCAAGTATTGAACCTTGGATCATATAACTCTGCACTGCCGTGGGTACCATCAGGGACTGTACCACCAGCAACTAACACTTTTCCATTTGTTAATAGGGTTGCTGTGTGAACAGATCTTTCAGAATTCATGTCAGCGACAGGTGTCCAAGTATTGAATATTGGATCATATAACTCAGCTCTGTTCGGGGTACCACCATAAGTGCCTGAACCACCAGTAACTAATATTTTTCCATTTTTTAATACTGTTGCTGTGTGGTCGAATCGTGCAGTACTCATGTTACTAATAGATGTCCAAGTATTTAATGTTGGATCATACAACTGAGCACTATTTAGAGTAGAATAAGTATTATCATATCCACCAGTAACTAAGACCTTTCCATTCGTTAATATGGTTGCTGCGTGTTTGGTTCTTGGAGCAGACATGCTACTAGTAATTGTCCATCCTGTTGGAGAAGAGTTTAATAGAAAGGTTTAATTTATGATTTTGATGGTCTGTGAAATGGGGGTGTTTTGAGTAATTCTATGATCGAGGAAGTAGTGTTTGGAAAGTGTGAGGTTTGTTTGTTTAATTCTCGAAAAGGGAATGCACTGGTAGGAAAGGTCACACTTGTTGCAAGGAAAAGAATGGTGAGCGTTTTATGGAAAAGGTGTGTTGGAATAGCGTTTAATGTAAACGCTTTGTAACTTCTCGGAAGTTTTATTTTATATTGTGCCTCCTTGTTATATGAGTAAGAACGTTCGTTATACTGGTTTATGAACTAAGAGTTTTTGCAAAGGGTATGTGATTGGAAGTGCAGATAAGGGAATTGGTTTTTCTACATCCAAATAGAAAACTGTATATTACATATCTTCGTTTGTCTCTTAATAAGAAATGATGGCGTTTCATATCGGTTGTTGATGGAGAGTCTTGATAGCTCGGTTTAAGTTTAGAAAATTAGTTAAGTGAAATATTTTTGAAGAATCAAAATGAAAATGGTATAGCTGCGAAATCGTGAATGTTTTAACATGTTTGGTGAGGTAAAAGGATAGGAGAGCAGTTACTGGAGACAGAATATTTTTTTACATCTATTTAAAGCGCTGGGCTCTTCACAGGAAAAAGATGCGTACTAAATAATGAACCTTTCAAAGTGGTTTCTTAACCTCATGAATCCTTTCATATATCGTTTGGTATGATAAACCGCCTGTAGCTTCACTATTAATGATATACCCTATAGCGTTTATACAAATGGAACGTATATATTATCTTTCATATGGTTGATAGAGAAACAGAGTTTATAAAAGGGTTCATTATATTAGACGATAAATAAAAGGTCACATGAGGTTAGGAAAACCTTCTGTAGGATTTATTATTCTATACTCATTTTTTACCATGTATAGGAGACTAAAGGAGACAAAAAGGCTGCTGTATTTGTCTTCATGAGCAATAATATGGCCATTGAGTTGCTGCATCCAGTTACAGAAGCAGGAATTTATTTTCTAACTTTCGATTTTTAATCCACCATATATGTTGTTCAAAGAAAGTTACTCTATAGTTTCAAATAATATGTATAATACCAAATGGAAAGGCACGGTAAAAAATTTTAAACTTATTCATTTGACATGTTTACATGGTTCCATAGAGCGTGAGAAGTTTTTTGAAAACCAATCTTGTAATACAAGAAGATTAATAAATCACGCACAACACGCTGAAATGTTCACTTTTTCGTTCTAGGTAATTATTACTCGATTTTCCCAGGAAAATCTTTTCTTTATATGTTTATTTGAGGAGATATTTTTAAGCTCTACATGTTGGTTGCAATGCGAAACGTTTTCGTTGATGAAAATAGTAGTAATAAAAGACACTTCTTTCTTACCATGGGAAACTGCATTTTTTAAGACAATTTCAAGTGGTTTATTGATCTTTTTATCTCGGAAAACGGAGTAAGAAATTAATACATGCGATTTTTGTGTAAAACTTGCTGAGCTATGTTAAAGTATTTAATAAATTAATTTTAACGCATTTTTCTATTTGATAGATTAGGAAGATTTTTCAAAAAGGTCCTAACGTTGGCATTAAATATCTTAGTTAATCCTACAATTCCATAACAATAAATCCTATTTTAGATGCGCTTTATCCTAATAAAAAACTTATCATACATCCCCTATGAAAGTAGTACGTAAGAGCGATACCGGCAACACTTATGTTAATTGTACTCGTCATGTTGCTCAGCATTAAACTTACCTTGACATACATTTGAGATGCAGATACCACTTTTACAATCGGATGGATTAATACATTTCAAGAGCTCACCACATCGTTTATTCGGCACACACGATCCACCACAGTCGATATCAGTCTCATCTGCATTTTTGACGCCGTCGTTGCAAGTAGGAACTAGGATGCACAGGGCGATACAACTCATATTATAGATAATCATACATACTTTGACAAAGATTAGATGTGCAAACACCGCTTTTGCAGTCGAAACCAATTCTACATCTTGATAAATCTGTACAAGGTTTAAGTGGCAGACATACCGCTCCGCAATCCACGTCACCCTCATTTCCATTCATGACGCCGTCGTTGCAAGTGGGAACTACGATACTCAAAAAGAGAAAGTTTATATGGCAAAGTACTATAATTACTTTGACATATATCTGATTTACAGACGCCACTGATACAATCGTCGGGATTTCGACACACTGCATTATCGACGCATTTATTTTGCGATGCACACCACCCGCCGCAATCAATACCAGTTTCGTTTCCATTCTTGACACTATCATTACAAGTAGGAGCTATAAGAGAGAAGTTCAAATATTAATATTACAAATAATTACACTCACTTTGGCAAATATTTGATGTACACACACCACTATTGCAGTCTAACACACCGTTGCATTTTTCTCCATCATTACATTTTTTAATAGAATGACAGCTACCACCGCAGTCTATGTCAGTTTCGTTTCCATTCGCGACACCATCGTTACAATTAGGAACTATAACAACAATAATAAAATTCGTCACATACGAAGTAACCAGTTCTTTTGACTCATCAAGCTCTGAGCTATTCTGCAGAAACATTTGAAATTTAAACATAATGAGATACCTGTTCAGATTCAAAAGATCACCTTTTTTCTAAAGTCAATTTTATAAAAAAACGATTTTCAAATACCTTTAGCATTTTGAAATTTTTATTATTCTTTCATCGAATTTCAGACTTTCAAAAAAGTGATTGATGTTCTGAATAATAGAATTTCAGCTTTGGTTTTCTGCATGAAACCGGAACATGAACGTCAATAGTTTATTTTTCATAAAGTAGAAACTCTTTCGCAATTTCGTACTGGTATTCCTGGAATATCGTTTATACAAGCTCATGAATCATTTTCCAATTTAAAATGAATTTCAAGTTCAAAAAAGAAATATGAATTTAGTTATGATTAAAACGGCCTGAGAAATTCAACTTCCGGTTGATCAGTCTAGAAATATCAAGAAGACTCAGAATTTCAACTAAGCAGAAATACATTATCGTTCTGTAACATGGCACTGTTTCTCCCTTCGAATAGAAACTAAAGAGCATTTTCTTTTATATTTAAGAATAGATCTAAAAGTAGTTGTTTAAAGTTATAAGTATAATACCTCTATGATTGCGTTTATTCTGGCTAACTGACTTCACTCACCTTGACAAACACTTGAAATACAGACGCCACTAATGCAGTCTGATGCATTATTACATTTCAATCCATCTCCACATTGTTTTGCCGGTAGACATGATCCACCACAGTCTACATCAATTTCATCTCCGTTTTTGACATGATCGTTGCAAGTGGGTACTGAAGTATAAACATTCGAATTCGTTACATTATAGGTAACGCTGCTCACCTTGGCAACTATTGAATATACACACGGTGCTGATACAGTCGGATGTAGTTTTACATCTCGATCCATCAACACATTGTTTACCTGGAAGACATGATCCACCACAGTCTATGTCTATCTCATCTCCGTTTTTGACACCATCATTACATGTAGGAACTAGAGCAGAAAACCTGAAATATTTGCCATTACAAATGATTATCACTCACCTTGGCAAAAACCTGATGTACAGACACTGCTAACGCAATCTGATGCATTACTGCATCTTAATCCGTCACGACACTGTTTCGCGGGCAAGCATGGTCCACCACAGTCTACATCAGTTTCATTTCCGTTCATAACACCATCGTTGCACGTAGGCACTGAAATGAAATGATTCGAACTCTTGAAGCAACAGATCAATTTACTCACCTTGACAAAGGTTCGCTGTACAGATGCCGTTGATGCAGTCCAAGGAATTAAAACAACCTATGTAATCGGCACATTTCTTTTGCGATGCGCAGGATCCACCACAGTCTATGCCGGTCTCATCTCCATTCCTGACACCATCGTTACATGTAGAAACTAGAGCAGAAAACCTGAAATATTTGCCATTACAAATGATTATCACTCACCTTGGCAAAAACCTGATGTACAGACACTGCTAACGCAATCTGATGCATTACTACATCTTAATCCGTCATGACATTGTTTTACGGGTAAACATGGTCCACCACAGTCTGCATCAGTTTCATTGCCATTCGTGACGCCATCATTGCAAGTAGGCACTGAAATGAAGCGATTCAAACTCTTGAAACGATAGATCAATTTACTCACCTTGACAAAGGTTCACCGTACAAACACTGCTGATGCAATCATAGGAATTAAGACAACGTTTCAAATCGGCACATTTCTTTTGTACTGCACAAGATCCACCACAATCCACATCAGTCTCATCGCCATTTTTTACGCCGTCGTTACAAGTTGGGCCTGCAAAAAAAGAGATAAAGTTTACGACATATTAGATATGCGTCGAACAATGTGTTGATTCTGATGAACGAAACTTATGACCTATACTTAATCTCTCTGTGAGGTAAAACTAAAAACAGTAAATAATCAGAAAAATGATGTTAGATGAAGTTATTCTGAATATCGAACGACTTGCTATCAGTTAAAGTAGGCAATAAGTTTCTATGACCTATTCGCGTAGTCACTGTAGTGCATCTTATGTTAATGTGAGCTAAATGTAACTCGAAACTGCGTCTTCAGCTATCGGAAAATATGCATGACTAACACGTATGCAATTCTGCATATGTTATACAAGAGAACGCTTTATATTTCGGAATTTTCTAATGAGCGCTCCTTGTTTTATTACTGATGATAATTCTTAACTCATGAGTGCTTCGTCGTAAATGAAAGCCTATTTGAGATAGTTTTGGAAGAAACGAAGAGAAGAAAAGTACACAAATGACACCCTCATCATGATCTAAGTTTTGTGGAACAAGTTGTTAATCACTTTCGAATTAAAGATATTTTGAAAAGCATACCTAGTATGTTGCGGCTAGATTTTGTTCCCAGAACTGCCCCGATGGCCACTGCGGCAATTACCAGAAGACTTAGCAAACAAATTGGAATGGCAAATCTTTTTTTCCGATACCATGGACGTCTTATAAATTTAACGAAACGATTCGTCACAAACACAGTTAGACAAAAAAAAGCCGCTACACTTACTCGATTTTTGGATAAAGACATGCACCTAAATGCAGACATACTATTAGTTTGAAGCAAACCATTAAAAATCTTTATGTTACCTTCAAATGGTGGTTCCAATAACACTTCATCAGGTATCACCTGTTTCAAATGAATAATATGAAGATCAGAAGCTGGACTAAATTGCGATTGGACGATCATATGAGTACCAGGTAAGAGAAGAAGCTCATCTTCAGTAACAAAATGCGAATGTTCACGCACTGTTCGGCCATTAATGGCTTCTACAGAAAATAATGTTCTACTACCCTCATTACCCAAATACATGTTGTTCTCAAGTACAGTTAGTTCCGTTGTGCATGATGAAAATGCCCACCATGTGACTGGAGTACCTGGAGGAAATTCTGCACTCAAATCTTTAGTCACTCCTCGCCAAACAGTTACGGGTGGAACACATGGCAATTTAACAAGAGCAGTTATGAACAATTTCATGTACTTGAAATAAGGTCGAAGATTTTCACGGCTCGCGTTCTTAAGAGTAAAATTAAGCATTGAATAGAGACTTCGATGTCCTCCTGACCATTCAATGGTATAAAGACGAATCGCAGCACTTTCATCGACCGTTAGTCCGTCGGGTGGTTTTTCTGGAGTTTCCTTTAGCGCCAACTCAACATAGAATGCTATATCATGAATAATATCGGAAAGTGGAGCACATGCTTTAACAAGTGGCAATAAAGGCTCTGCAGCATATTCCAATATAGGATCAGAACTTGGGGCGATATCAGCTATAGCATTTGTAGTACATTGCTGATTTTGATGCAGAATACCAATATCTACCATTCGTTGATTATTTGTCTTTGAATCGATGTTTGTTTGTTTAATAGTCTCCATTTCAATTATCTCGTGTTTATCATTGCCTGTTTCTACATTGTTCGAGTTCGATTGAATTTCAACCAAAATATTTGGTGAATCACTTTTCTTCTCATCTTCTTCTTTTTTCATTTGTTTTTGTCCATTGTTCCGTGCATTATCGTTGGACTTTGCTGCGACATGCTTCTCTTCAACATCAACTTTTCTTACCGCGCATAATTCTTGCTTGTCGCGATTGCTGTGCACGTTTCGTCTTCTTAGCAAATATTCAAGCTGAAAAATTAATAACAAATTACTTATCTTGCTATTACACTTGTTTAGCGAGAAAAGTTAGATTAATTAGTGTGTACCAGTTCGAAAATCATTCAAACTTTAAATAAGGACTATGGTAAGTATTGGTAACTAACGTCTTCAAGATAACGCAATAATGTAACTGATAGAAACACTAACGGCAATGTTTACACACTTACACGTAAAAGCACTTTATATTTTTGTTTCAGATTTTCTACGAAGACTTTATTTACGTAGAAATAAACGTGTCATACCTCGTTCATATCAGATTCCATTGTTTACTTATGTGTTCGTTCGTATATCGAGCAGTTTCAACACTTGTGATGCAAGCGATTGTTATTTTATAAGATCTCAAAGTAAAAACAAAAATAAATAGGCACTTGTGATCAAGAGAGAGAGGATAAACGTGATAATGTTGGTTATCTATAAAATTGGAAGCGAATGTCCGATAATCGTATGTACAAATGGGTAATGATTGTTTATAGGAAAATGAATATGAAATATTTTGGAATACACTGATTGAAATCAATAAATGACTTTCAGGTCTCGACAGCAGGACAGATAAAGTCATATTAGTTACATAAGCATGGATGCACCAGAATGATTCAGGCTTCTTCATAAAATACGATGCGTTGTCACTCAACAAAATTTATATAGTTAAAGTTTAGCTATGAGAGGCATCCTGACACTCAGCGTGGGCCACTATGTATTATGTAGATATATAAATAAATGGATTGCAGGTTTGTAAGTCCACTGTTAAATTAGTTAAAAAGTATAAGCTACTGAGAGCCACTATATGAGAGCTGTGAACAAGCGTCATAGAATGTTGTCCAAATAAGTTTTCAGTTTCATGGGGCACATATATCATCTTATAAGTGAAGAAGCATGGATTTTAAAGACAATACTTTCAGACAGAAGCTGTTCAGAAACCAGCCGATTAAATTTTTAAGTAATTTGTAAACTCATCTGGCCTTTATATAGAGTAGGCACCTTCGATTTTTATATTTAGACCAAACAGCTATAGATACGGAATGATTGATCTTAGAATCATAATAAATTCGCTGTATTTCGAGAAAATCAGCACAAATTTAATTCTGATATGCTTTGGTCGAAATTTCGCCTAGCCATCCCCTTTCTTCGCCTATTAATGGTGGCAGCACTCTGAAAAACCTGATGACGTTAGGTATCCCAGAATTACCTAGATGAATTCTCATCCTCACATTCCGTCCGCATTCCACGCTACTTACAGGAGCTTCGGGAAAATTTGGTGATCGTAGCTATCGCAGAAACTCAATAAACAGGGCATATACGTAGGAAAGGATTTCTAACAGATATAAAATATTTTAATGAATTTTTTAATTATGCAAGAAGTGTCGTGGTAGTTACATAGAAAGAATGTCTATAACGGATCGAGATATAGGGAGAAAAAAATGAACGTAATACCTGTGCGTATAATCAAATGAAAAAAACAACGAATCAAATTGCGAGTTTCCAACAGCTTTTATCATTCTTTTTTCGCTTTGATCACTGATGCATAAATCAACGGCTTTTTTAGCAAAAAGAAACAACAAAGCAATCATATTGCGCGTAGATGACTAAGAGTACCTTTTTGTTACGTTTTTTACGCACAACAAAAAAATATAGATAAGTTAAGATTAAATCTCGACGAGTACAAAACGTTATTATTCCTTTGCTTCTGTGGTCATTGATGTGTAAACTGCATGAGTATTGCTCCCATGAAAAAGTAAGAAAACATACTGTAGAGCAGTTTCTATACCCAATACTTTTTTTCATCATAACAGATGTTACCTGCATATCAAAAAGAAAAGAAAAAGCATTTTCATTCAGTTCTTGCACTTTAATAAAAACGCTGGTATAATTAGATATAAGAGCATCGAACGAAACTATCGTCAACTTTTATGTTATAAACTACGACTACATATTGATATTTTTTAATAAATTAGAGATGGTATTATTGTTTAATTTACTATTGTATCGAATAGAGAATTCCGCGACGCTCAACCATTTCATGCACAAGTGGTTATAAATCGCCTGAAAGTTTTACACTATATTGGAAATTTGAATTGTACCGTTATGTTTCAATTGAATTCAAGTTACAAGTTTAAGACTATTACTCATTATGCTAAAAAACGTTGAATTTCTTTTTTGAAAAATGAATCACTTGGTTATACAATGAAATGTGTTTCTGTATGAAAATTCGAATCACGCAATCCATGATTTTTATGCAGTCAAAACAAACAACGTCATGCGGAGCAAAATCAATTTTCTTATAAATGCTTGCCAGTTGTTTCTTTATTTCAAAAGACAAATTGCTTTATTCAGCATGGGCGAAAATCTTTTCAAAAGATATAGGAAATATAATAGAGTGTTTCTTCTATTTTATCCATGTTCTCGATTGCGACGCAGTTGCGCGCTGCTGCGATAAAAAAGTTGCAGTTATAGATAAGCGCAAAAAAGTAACCACATCTTAACACAATCATCGATTCATAGGGTGTGGGTGAGGATGGGGCTGAAAACCTCAAATTCACTCATATTCCTCAGCTTCGCAAGACACATAGATATGGGTATCAAGTTGGATACACCAAGTGAACTGCATTTAAGGCACTGCACGTAAGCCACGCCCAATTTAGCATAACCTTGCGTAACGACCATCTCCGATTTGGCTGATGTTTTTACAGTAGGTAAGCCACGACATGTTAAGAATAAATCCAAAATTTCAGCTCGAAAGAATAAGCTTTTCAGGAGATATAAGCGTTACAAGTGTCACGAGTAACAATCATTTCGATCACTTCTCTTGTGCAACGACCCTTCGTAAGTTTTGAATATCTTACGAGCCATAGATGATAGAACCGTGATTTTGTTACCAGGAATACTATTGATGTTGGGCTATCGTTTGTTGGTATTAAAAGTATCTGATGGTACCCAGTACCAAGATTTTCTGTCGTCCGTATCACAGGATTAATGGGGTAGATATCTAGGCGATACCAAATGGATCAACGCCGTAGATAATTTCGAGAGCGGTCTCTCGTGAAAGAGTGTATCAAGATGCATCGATTTACGTCTTCAAAAACTTGTACAATTGCATTCGCCAGCACAAAGTTTTCTCAACGATATACATGTATTTTTATCAGAATATTATCATATACAAATAAAGTTCGATATGCTATTTTCAATACAATACTATTAAATCCTACTGTCAGTACGGACAAGAAACACGCATATGATAGTCTGTGATATTCTCTACACCCTTACGAAAATTTGTGATTAACAATGTTGTATTGATTGATCCTTTCGAAAGGTACGATTCCTCTGGTTTCTGCTTCTTTTGTATTTATAAAGGCCCAAGTCGAATAGTACGGGCAGGTGCCAGTCGGTTCCTGCTGGAAACCACAGGAAATTGGCTGGAATTCACCGGAAAAAAATCCGAAAATTTCCGCTCGGAATACTGCTTCCATGTTCCAGCGATTTCCGGTGCTTTCCTGCAGGTTCCAATGACTTTCTCGCTTCTTTCCTGCAAGTTCCCTCGGGATCCGGACACCGGAACATTCGACATGGGATAGTGTCTTGTTCCGACTTATGATTTTGAAAGTTGATCACCAATCAAAATAAATATTATATTTTTCCTAGGTAGTAATAGTTTATTACCGAAGAAATCACGCACCTTGGGTTTGAACGCCTATTCAATGTTTGATAAACGCATGTGATCGAAAAACGAATATAAAAAGTCAAACTATATTGCGTGTTCTACTATATAAAAATCGGTATGCAGAACCATCTTGCTTTGATTATCAGTCCTATTCTTTTATTGATTATTTCCGGTTGTTTATCAACGACAAACAATTCTGATAGTAGTGACAAAAGTCTTTCAGATGCAAGACTACTTTGTTAAATTTTGATTATGTTTGTTTTAGGTGAACAAATTATACACACAGCATTTGCTGTTGGTCTATCCAACATCGACATCACGCAAATTACAAACTATGACGCGATGATTGATCAAGTAAGTGAACATTCATTCAATCAAATAATATTCACGTAAATTCTCAATGTACAGATAAACAAATATCTCGGCATTTCAACAGAATATGTTCAAGTTCAATCCATTTTCTTGATCGACAATTTCACTTCGAGTACCAATACCAATGAGATGAAGCAATACACAGGGTTTGTTTGTCGAATTTATTATCACTTCGTTTTGATATAAGTTTTGCTGTTGCTAATTTTAGTGTTGATTTATCGTGTGACATTGTTCTTGACAAAATTATTGTGAAAAGTCAGAAATGTGGCTTATTGACAATCAAGCTTCATATTCAAAAGTTTCCTAGTTCTGTTTGCAAAACTGACAGTTGCAAAGAAACTTATATAGCCCATATAAAAAGATCTATCGAAATGTGTTTTAGTTTCGCTTTAAGAGTCACTCTACAAATAGCGAACGGTGATTATCGTTTAGTTCCGATTCAGTTCTGCTACTTTCTCAATGCGAGCACTAGTAAGTGTTTTTGTTAAATAACAGACCGCATTTAACCTCTAACTTTTTCTTATCAAACAACTGAATTTTTCCTCATAAAACAAAATTGTGTCGAGATTGTGCGAACTATTAGTAGTGACGTACAGGTTGAAGCAACACTATCTTGCTACCAGCGTAGGTAATAGTAATGCTTAAGAAACCATTGTCATTCATCGTACAGATAAAGATTTGATTGAATACACTACAATGAATACTCTGAATTTTAGCTACTACAATAATCAGCATTACACGCGAACCAACGACTAGCACAATCCCGACAACGGCAGGTGAATGATTTTTTATTTTACACGCAAAAATCACATTTTTACATTTCATTCAGTGACATACAATTCAGCAAATAAATGCCTTTGTACCATTGACCTCAATGGTACAAATTCAACAAATGGAACTGAAAACTTCTTGATCACATTCGGATACGGTTTTGATCAGTATTCGAACAAAACCCCGGCTGATTTCGGCTTCACAACAGAACACATACAACTGTTTTCAGGAACACCAAGTGATGGTTATTTTGTTATTGCCAATGCTCTTCCTGAAACTTTTTATTGGCTTGTCGTAAAGAAAGATCATACAGCTGGTGAAAACGGTGGATATATGTATGTTGTGAATGCATTAACATATCCTGGAATGTATTTTAACAAAACGATTGATAACTTAACTGTCGGCAAAGTCTATGAATTTTCGATGTATGCAGCCAATTTAAACAAGCCAGAGTGGTCTGTTCTGCCGAACATACTGTTTGAAGTTCGAGCTGTGACACCAGACAATAGTTTGATCGCTCAAAGAAACTCTAGTGATATACCTGAATATGCCAGTATCACTTGGAGCAAACATGGAATATCATTCGTTGCGCCAAGTACTTCTGTCATGCTAATAATGATATCGAATTGTAACAGCTACGCCGGAAACGACCTAATCATCGATGACATTGGTTTATGTGAATGTTAAATATAAACAGTATAAAAAGTGAACGAATAAAATTCTAGAGATAGCCTCCGCAGTTTGATTAGTTTCGTTTCTCACAGAGAAAAATTAAGCGATAGTTGCTATATATTATCTACCTCTATCAATGCTTCGCACAAAGCAGAAAGGTGGATGCATCGTAACAAACCTAATAATAAACATGCATTGTAACAGATAACAAGCAAAGATACACGTAGTTACACATCACAAGAACTTTTTACTTACATAAATGTTTCTCTTATGGTTGATGGTTCTCGTTGTTTCGCTGATTTCGAACAGCAAATCAGACACTCTTTGTCTCAATAATCCCATCATCATTTGCCATTGTCAAAGTGGTACAGGCTCAGTCACTTGTGTTCAAAGTCAGGCAAGCAACGACACTTCTATCGATTGGTTAACGTTTTCGTCTCCTGAATATGAGAGCTATATATTTGATTTTATTAACATTACCCGTTTAACACCTGATACGTTCACAAACTTTCGATCAAGATTTTCTTCGCTTAATAGTTTGCAATTCCGATTTACGAATGGTGTTGATGAGATAGCTGAAAATACGTTTCAAATGTTGAGTAACTATTCAGAAACACATATTTCTTTAACCTTTAATTCACCAGGAAATTTCCAGCTTGCTGATCATGCATTTGGCCAGTCAAAGTACCATCAAATTCTCATTGTGGATGGACAACAACAACAGACATATCAACTCAATCTAAAAGCATTTGAGCGTGCAAATATTTCAGGACTTAGTATTGTAAACTGTAACAATATTCAACTGATCCAAAATGAGCCATTATCATTAACGATTCAGGAAGTTGAAATAAAAAAATCTTCGTTGACAAATGTTGACCTTCTTATTCAAAGTCTTTCGAACTCATTAACTAAGTTAGACTTATCTTCCAACAAACTCGTTCATGTCCCATCATTGGCTAAATTCACTGGATTAACTGACATTGATTTACACGAGAACTTGATCGAAGAAATCCATGCGAATACATTTATAAATTTAACTCGTTTACTTCGACTAAACTTATCGTATAACCAAATGAAACGAATATCACACGAAGCTTTTGCTGAACTGCATTTAACCATATTAACATTGAATGATAATCATTTGACTTCCCTGGAAACTGTAACCATCCATAATGAAAAAAAATCGTTTCTAAATCCATTGAATCAATCATTGACGACACTGGTTTTATCGAATAATTTACTCCATGATTTTGATCCGATCCGAAATCTAACGCATTTGAACACACTGCAATTATGTTGTAATCAGATTAGAGGCTTATATGAGGATTCATTTCAAAATGCACATCAGTTGGAAATAATTGATTTGAGTTCGAATCATATTGGCTCGATTCATCCGTTGACTTTTAAGGCAACCAAGGTGAAACATTTGGATTTGTCATCAAATCCATTCTCGTCACTGGAAACAACAAAAATAGTCTATGACGAAGACTTCAAACGTAAAAATCAAACAAATTCGTTTCTTGAACATATTACATCGACATTGACGAATTTACTATTAAAGAATTGCACGAATTTATTAGAAATCAATTGGTTTCTTTTTAAACATACAGATATATTATACAACTTAGATCTATCTGGAACACCAAAAACAGACAAATTCTGGTTATATCAACCTAGAAATTATAACGACTCGGCAGTTCAAGGTCAAATGAGACAATTTATGGTTACTGTCATGGGTATTAATTTTACTAATAATGATTATTGTTTATTTAAACCAGTATTTCAAGTACTTAATCATACTATTTTACTACTTGACAACGATCACCCATGCAACTGTTTTGTATTTATGATGAGAAACATACTTCAAATGAGAGTGCCACCGATCTGTTTATCGAATCAATCGATTATCGACGAATTAAGTCAAGAGTGTATGAACATCGATGCGTCTTGTGCATTTCCGACTAGTAGTACAACTATGTCATCAACGCTATCGTTGTCAAGTACAAGTTTTACAACTATGGACAGTACTATACCGATCACTACTATAATAACTACAATACCTATGACAACTACGATCCCAACTACAATACCTACGACAACTACAAGCCCAACTACAATACCTACGACAACTACAAGCCCAGCTACAACAACCACAACATCTATGACAGCAACTACAACCAAAGTAACGACTACCACGAAAACAGAAGAATCGACAACATCCGTTGCGCTGACAACTATCGTCACTACATTAGGAGCAGCACCAAAGGATGATGGCAAATGGAAAACAATTTTGGCAATAATGATTCCTTTAACAGTTATTATTGTTGTTTTGTCTTCAGCTGGTATTTATATTGTTCAGAAACGAAAAAAGAACAGGTCGAAAGAGGCCATTGAGCTACGTGGAGGACTCACGAACATATTCGCTAATAAATAACTTTTTTTTTCTGCAGTTCGATACGGAGCTCCTTCGTATTTTTAATAAAGCTGAATTCGATATTGTCTTCAAGTTTCAACTACAAAATTTAGAGATTCACTTTCACTCGCACCTTCAACCGACGTTTTGAGTTGAATGGGGAAACTATAAGTCGATTTGCCGGAGATAACCAATGCCGTCGTCTAATGATATTTTGAAGTAAATTTCTTTATACAATATCATTTGAGAACTAAGATTTGACCATGATGGTCGACAATGAGTAAACAGAACGCCGATACTTTGGTCGTGCAGAATAATAATGTCGACTTGATCATCGTCATTGACATGAGCGACGCCAACAAAAATCGGATTCAATTTGTGTCGAGTAAGTTACGGAAGGAAATTCAGGTTTATGACTATTATTGAAATAGATACCGATACTGTGAGATTTACGATTGACTATGAGAATATCTAATTTCTTATCGTAATTAAGATCGGCAATCAGTGCTGAGATTGGTTCCTTATCGGTATCATACGAGATTTGAGTGAGAAATTGGTTAGCAGCGTTGTTGAATAGTATTCCAAAATTATTATGGTTAGAATAAGTAATAACAAGGTCGAATTTGCCGCCGTTATTTACATCGCCGACTCGCACAAAGCTCGGAGAATTATATTCTTGGTCATCAGATACGGCCCAACACATGGTGGACTGAACAGAGATTGGGATTCAAAAGCAACTGCATTAACCAGCACTAATATCTTTGTTTTAAATATTATTGCTAGCGGCTTATCGATTATGACGTTCAGTGCAGAAAATTGTCGAATAATGAGTAACGGTACCTACCTTCAAGTGGCATCCATTGACTCTTTAGTTCTGACAACTTTACTGATCCTAAAATTTTGGATTTTCGCTCTCCTACAATTTTTTGACATCGATAAACAATGATTTACTTACATTTATTAGTTGTATATCCTTAGATTCTCTTCTTCGGATACATTTAACCACAGTTGATTGGTTGAATGCTGGTGTTACAATCGAGCGAACTGTAACTCTGATCAAAGGTATCAACTTTAACAGGAAGAAGAGTAAAAATATGACGAAATGTATTATTCTGATAATTTTGTTAATGAGCATATCCACAGCAGTGTATGAACCATTTCATCGACATCTCATTGACGATGAAGAATAACAAACTTGTTGCGTTGTCAAATATACATCAATTCTATAAACAGTGGATATAATTGTTAACTTGGTTCATTCTCATCTTCCTTTTCTTGTCAATCTAATTTCTGCTATGATCATCATTGTCATGTTAGCTCGAAAATGATCATTTACTCGTAAACAAGAAAAGGGCGACCACTATGTATATGATCAGTTTTGGCAGAATAAACATCTGCTGATTTCTCCTTGTATTTTAGTAATTCTGACTTTACCTCGTATAATCATTTCTTTCGAGATCCATGGTTATTCCTTATCGAGTACTATATCTCGTTCGTTCCACCAATGCTTATCTTTCCAGTGTTTGTTTTGCCATCCAATGTGTACAAAGAAGAATTGGCAATCATGTTGAAAAAAAGGACAAAAACACTTCAAGGACGTTATCTACATAGAAGACGACATCTGAAAACATCAGGTTTTCTTTTGAAATTAGAAAATCCACGAATATCTTTTTATTCAGTCAAATAAAAAATTGCTTATCGGTCTTCGGTAGAATAAGTCTTGACCACCACAAATACAAACTTTTGTTCATAACTTTAACAAAACAAATCGAACGACGCCTTCTAGTTTGAATCAAAGGCTCCAAATCTCTCATTAAATCTTCATTTTCATTCACCATATCCGGTAAACATAGATGTTGACAAGTATTCCACTTTCTCGATCATAGACATTCTGCTAACAATTTCAAATCTTTTCTATACAAATCACTAATAAGATATTTTAGTCGAGGAAATAGAGCAGTGATCAATTTCAATTGTTCGAATCGGATCGTTTGTTCAATACACAATTTCATCATTGTATTTGTTTTCGACGCAATTTGAAATGGTTCATTTTGTTCAATTGAAGTAAACTCGACTCCGCGCGAAATGATAAGAATTTGAATTTGAATGTATGAACGTTCGGTATATGTTCAAAAGATAGAGAGAGTTCAACACGTTAGTTGAGTTAATTGATTCATAGGAAGAATGTGCTGAATCATGTTTGCTAATTACTCACGAGGAATGCGAAACGTTTCTAGAAAAGTAAGTTATTTTGCACGAGGAAAACGTATACATGAGTAGAAATAGAATAGTTATCCGCTTGTACAATGCGATGAATTTCGTAAGAAGAAAATGCCTACAGTGAAATTTGAATTGTACTGATATTCAAAGAGCCATCTATGTTCAATCCAAAATACTGAATTAAAATTGTCAGCTAAAGTTTGATAAGATGATCGATTTTGTTTAAGATACAAAACGTAAAATATATGTTGATAATCAAAGGCAACACGCGCGGACAACCAATAATGAGCTACTACGATATGTAAAACTTCGACTCGACGAAAATATTTTGCCATCAGCGATTGAAAATCATCGAAACTCACATTGAATTCACTTGATTTGTTACCGGCGATAATACTGTTTTGTTTATGTTTAAAAACATTTGACAATATGTCAATCTGGGCAGATTAAAAATCGTTTTCAATAGCACTTCTGAATTTGTAAGTTGATCCGACGAAGTAATCGTTAATATTGTGCACGATAAGTCCTCCCAGTTGAGTAAAGTTTGCCATGATAGAAAGCAACGATGCACAGATTTCAGATACACGTAGTGATTTGACTCGCGGAGCATACGGAACGATGTTCTCTTTTCAGTATCGTTCAAACGCTGGTTTGCGCATGGATGACGTATTAATGCCGTGTAAAACAGTTTGCATGAAGTAAAAGATTTCAAAATCGTATATTAAGATTATGGAAGGTATGGAATGCATAGTGTGAATGCAGATGTACAAAGATTTTGTGAATAAACTCGTTTGGAAGTTGTTCCTAAGTCGATTTTCTACAATGAAAATCAAAATGATTTACAGATATTCATGCTACTGTTCTTTCTCTATAATTACATTACCTTAATATTCAACTGTGTGTTTTTTCCAAATAACTTTATATTGTAATAGGTAATTTCGAAAAATATGCGATTATTGCGTTGGCGCCGAAATGATTCGTGATCATGAAACATTGTCTTTCTGTTGAGTATCGCTCTTCGTCAACACTGTAGTCTTCGTCGTTGTTTTTCATTTCTTTCAGTAATAAAAACATGTTAGAAGCATGTCGTACAATCTACCTATAGACATCATTCATTTCAACAGCACTCAATGATGTCAGCAGAATGTTCGACGAAGAATATCATTCTTTTGTATATAAGAGTACGCACAAACTCGTTATCAACACCTTAGTAAGGCGGCTCAGCAAGCACTTGCGCCTTACGGATTGAAAGTAAAAAAGCGTAATGTGAAATATGCAGATCGTCAAAATAGCTTCTGTGTCAATAATAAGTAGCAAGTGTCTTCATTCCCACTGTCGCTAGTAAAAGTGTGCACTTTTATATAAATCAATTCGTGTCATGGAATACATTGAAGGAAAACATTTTTTATCACAATTATGACGCAGTCGCTTCGCACACGTATTTGATATTTTTGCTGCTTTAAGAACCATATTAATAGTTGCCAACTAATGAGCACTTATGACGCCTTTCATATTTTATAACATAGCACTTAATGCTTTCATTCATCATATTTCTACATACTCAATAACATGTTGACATTAAATCTCCCTCAACTCATTAGTATGGTCAAAGTTTTTATCTATGATGATGGTATTGCTATACCACACGTCGCGCGTTATTGGATCTTTCTCATCTCAAATATCTGTTCACTTCTGTGTGCTGTATTTGTGCTCTATCATTACCTTTTTGATTCAACACTTCGTCGTGGACTACACAACCATACTTTAACTATTGTTCTAATTATTTGTCTCATCTGGGAGTTAACCGACGTACCCTTTCAAATGTACCTTTTTCTCTATAGGATTGTTTGGATTCAGACACCAACATTCTGTATCCTATGGAAAATTCTTGATGCAGCACTGTACACATCAACTGCCAAACTTATTGGATGGGCATCAGTTGAGCGACACATTCTCATTTTTCATGAGAACTGGATCGCAACAAGAAGAAGACGCTTTTTCATTCACTACACACCAATCATACTGATTGTGACCTATGGTGTTGTACTCTATTCGATCATCACTCCGATGAATTATTGCAACAGGCCATTCTATTATTTTGTGGAAATGTGTGGATATTATAGTTGTGTGTATGATAGTGCAACATTTACATTGTATGAATATGCATCTGGTGGATTACTGTGTTCTGTTCTGATTGGATTTGGAGGTGGTAGTCTAATTCTGCGTGTTGTTCTGCAGAAACGTCGTTTACGACGACACGTTAACTGGCGAAAACATCGAAAGATGGCAATACAACTTTTGTCAATCACAGCTCTGTTTTATATCTTTTACTTACCACCTGTATTGGTAGGAACTGCTCGTCGGGTTGGTTTTTCATCTTCCGCTGCAAGTACTTACAGTACATATGCCTCATTTTTCACGAACTATATCATCTTTTTATTTCCATTTGCATGTTTGAATACCTTACCGAATTTGCGCGGTCGAGTGAGGAATATGTTCGAATATTTTTTGCGCAGAAAAGTACGTCGTATCGTTCCAACTACAAAAACGCATATCCGTCAAGACTAATCGATTGCAATTGAACGAACCGAAATCTCCTTTTTTCTGTTTTATGTTTGTGCCCATATACAACGTTTTGTATCTGTTCTTACATCTATATCTTATTTCATCGTTCGCCTGTAATTATCAATAATAAAACATTTATCGTGATTATAATGAAACTGAATGACAAAAATAGCCATGTATAAAAAAGTATCGAGACTAAAATGTCATCGGAGAGAAGCCGCTAAGTCTTTCATTAATTCATAAAACAGTTAGATTAGAACAAAAGGTACACCATTTAGTGAGACATCCATTGGATTTTAATTCGCATGCGATTTAACTAAAAATAAGATCAGTAAAAAAGCAGTCAGTTGATAACCACGTTCTTTTTTCTTGTTAAAAACGAATTTAGTTATAAATTTATTGACTATGAATCGCAAGCGAAACCTTCATTTGTTTTCTGCTGATACTCATGAGTGGTTGCATTATAAAAGACAAGGGATCAATAAAACGTTTTATCTTGATGTACATTTCTTTCCATTCTTGGTTGCGTTTTATACTTTTATCAATCAGCAATCTCGACAAATGTCGTTACGTTGGACGCATGTTTTCTTTCTTCTTTTAAGCGTGTCGTCTAGTTTCAGTTTAATTTGTTACGAATGTATTTGCTTTCTTGATGAATGCGAGTGCGAACCCGTCAATGAGGTGCACGACAATATTCACTGTACAATAACCCAACATGATCCACTGCTCGAATCACTTTCTTATTTATCTCACAGAAAATATTCTTCAACATTAGATGTTTACTACATCACCGTTAAACATTCCATTGTATATAGGTCAATGTCAAACGATTGGCTTATAAAACCAGACGAAATTATCTTTGGATGTGATTGGGATTACTGTAATGATCATAGACTGATTAGATCTTTAACGGATGTAATCAACATATCGATTGATGAAGAATGGTTTAGGGTAAACATTTATGGAACAGGAACAAAAACGAGATGTCACGATTGTGGAATGAAAATATGTAATCAAACAATCAATCTTGATGATTGTCCACTTGAATCCTGCTCAAGTTTTGAAATCTGCTCTTTACACGATTGGATCGTCAACGCTTCGACGAACGAGCAATGCTTTGATTCGAAATGTATACCAGAACAATTGGTCGAACCACCTGATGAAAAATATAAAGTTTCAACCGAAATAATCCTATATTTAGCACAAAATCGTTCGAACTTTCACTACCATGGAATGAATGTTTATTGTATTGCAAAAAATTGCTCGCGTACAACGATATTTCACGAAATAAGACAACAAATCACCGTCACTATCGGCAATCTAACAGCGTTTCCACCAACTCGGCCACCCACAACAACTTCTACGACTCGAAAACCCGACTCTTTTGGTATTAGGTGTTACAACTGTACTTCGACGAACATCACTCAGCCATGTACAGGAAGTAACGAATACTCGATCAGTACCAAACATTGTAGGATTTATTATGATGAGAATCACGTCACATTTTCATCCGTTCCTATCAATTCCACTCAATCTTACATATATGAATTCCCTTATATTTTTCTTGAACAATCGATCGACTATAACCAAACATCGAAAAGCTGGATTTTTACAAGAGATTCCATTTCATATGGCTGTAATCGAAATTATTGCAATCAACCTCGTTTGACATCTTCTCTTCTGGCAAGTATTCATCTTGCAGTAAATACATCTTGGTTGAATGCAAATGTATTAGCAACTGGTTCTTCGCCGCGCGACTGTGATCAATGTCTAAATAATACTCAGTGTGTTTCAAATGAAACTTACGGAGTTGATATATGTCCAGTAAGAAAATGTAACTCTACTTGTTTTCTATCGAATATTTATAATCATATGACCACTGATCAGCAATGCAATCAGTCAATCTGTCGACCGGCAGGAAACGATATGCATCGAGTTACTATTCAAGGAATTTTATATCTTAATCGACCGAAATTGAAGGTAGAATTCTGGAAAGTATCGATTCCCTGCCACGCATCGGATTGTTCTCGGTCACGAATTTTTAACGAGGTAAAAATTGTAAATAGTCGAAGTTACTCTATTTTAAAGTTCATTTCAGATAAACGATCAGTTAATCGTACGTATCGGTGACTTAAACGCTTTTAGCGATATTTCTACAACAACAACTTCAACGCCGAATCTATTGACGACCGCGACTTTCTATGATCGAGATTCATGTAATAATTCGATGTTAGTGCCTGATTTAAGTGGTTCGTGTGTTCCAAAACACGACGCGCATGTAAAGTTGATTTGTTCGGTGAAAATATCTCCTCATCTTGTGTTTTATTCTAGTATGAAATCGTCGATTTTCTCCTTAATGAAGACAATACTGAAAATCTAACTGCAGTTGCCACTGCTCTGACAGCTTATTTTGGCACCATGTCCTCTATGAATTCCAGTGAACAAGAGCAATTGAATCGAACATTAACACCCGAGATCACCGACAATTTAGTTGGAATTTTCAATGCTAGTTTAACTTACAATGCCTCAACATCATTTCTCGCCTGTCGACCAACCGATGAAGAAGATATGCCAATAGGTATTTTATTTCATTCAGGTTTCGGAGGTGAAATGGTTTTCAATTCAACCGAGAACGATGCGATTCAATCAAATTTAACTGCTGCAGCAATACTCAGTCGAGATTCGATTCTCTCGAATGAAGTTAGTTTCATCAGCATACTTGTTATCGATCAACCACCAATTGAATACTATCGTTCAAAACACGTCAATGAAAAACTTCTCTCTTCATCGATTATTGTCGCTAAAACACAACAAACTTATTTCAACGAAATGAACATTTCAATCTATTTTCGCGTTTTGTTTGAACAAGAATCGATTGGAGAATATTATTGTGCATTTTACGACATGATCACATCCAGTTGGAACGAGTCCGGATGTACGTCTCCAACCTACAATTTCGATTTTCAACGATATGAATGTTCGTGTAATCATTTAACATCATTTGCTTTGATCTGGTTACCTACGACTCTGATACACAATGCAAATCAATCGTTAAATATCGAAGATATTTGTTCGCTTCTCTTTCAATTCATCTCCATTCTTTGCTTTCTCATCATTTTCATTCATAGTTTAATCAAACGTAATTGTTGTGTTAACAGCAAACTCGCCGCACGTGATCTTCTTCCATTGATATCTTGCGCAAGTACCATTCTACTGTTTACTTTCTATATTGCGCTCGTTTTAATTGTTTACACTCGAAGTGAATCATTGGATGAGAAAGATTGTTTCCTTTCTGCTCATATTCTGATGTTTACCGTTTATTTTCTTTTGATTTTCATGTTTTGTGCGAAGACAAGTGTCGGATTTTTCAATTATCTTCGTTTCGTTCGTCCACTTCCACCACCCTCATTTCAACAACTTCGAATATTGTTATTTGTTTCATTTCTCATTTCCATTATCTATTCGAGTTTTGCGATTGGTTTGAGCACAAATCAATCGTATGGAATGACACAATTGTATCCATATAGAATCTGTTGGTTTGCATCGAATAAGCTTCATTTTTTTCTGACGATTCCAATCGGTATCTTCCTTTTTTTGAATATCATTATGATTCTTCTCCTGGCGAAATATTTAATCAGTCATACGCGAAGTGCACCGACTTTGAATCCATTGAACAAACGAACCAAAATGTGTGTTATTGTTCTTCTCTCCTCATGTATGACGCAAGGCGTTGCTTGGCTTCTCGGTCCATTAATTTCCGTAATCAACTCAACGAGCGTTCGAGCTTTCACATGGCTTTTCATTATTTTTAATGGACTCGAAGGCTTATGGTCAATTATTCTGTATATCGTCATTATTCGTCTACAAAAAAGCGATGTTCATACACATTCGTTCACAGGTGATACTTTAACGAAATTATCATCAATTTCATCAAATCCACAACAGAAAAGGAAACAATGAGATAGAATTACAAGTCACGCACTGAAAAATACAGATAATGATGTGCAGTGTACTATCGTTTTTTCTTCTAATAAACTATTTCCGATAGAATCAAGAGACCTTGTATCATATACGTATTTGTGCTGATACCATCACGTGTAGGCCATATGCTGTATAATATAACGCAAAATAATATGTATGTTATCATGTTAATTCCTTTCTACGTTCTAATGGTAGAAAGAAAAAATAAGTCTGGTATATCTTCGACTTGTGTAAGAAGTATATTTCATCGAGAAGAGAAAAGACGGATGCGATCTACAGATACTAAATAGAAATGGAGGAACCGACTGAAAATAAAAGACGTAAAGTCTGTTCAGGCTTTTTGCGTATTATTGACATCGACAACGTACCGAATCAAAAGCATCATCGTACTGTGTTCATTGTTGCTATAAGTAGTTTAAACATCTTTATCCACCTTCTAACATATATCAACATCAGCTGGCAAGGTCAACCGTTTCGGTACGCTTTATCTTCTATTTTCATGTTTTTCATTCCATGTATGCGGCCAACATCTGACGCGATTCGCTTGCTTAATATCCGCTGTAACTCACTAGAGTCGAACAAAACATGCTATTACAATGATAGGCTCCAAGGAATCTGCTCTTCATTCATGTATCCATATCAATTATGGCGATTCTTCACTGCTTCTCTTTTTCATATGGTTTGGTATCATTTAGTCATAAATGTTTCTAAACAAGCTCTTTACGGATTCCTCCTGGAACGTAAATACGGTACAATACGTGTTAGCATCATTTATTGGCTTTCAGCGCTCAGCAGTTGTCTAACTTTTATGTTGGAGCATAGAGAAGCGCGTAAGTGTGTCGCCGATTGTCTTTTTTGAAACCTATAGTTGAGCTCGTTTTCTCCTCTTTAGCCGGTTTTGGCGCATCCGGTTCTATCTATGGATTAATAATATTTTTGATTGTGGATCGGCTTGTTGCATTGCAGGAAAACACTGAGCACCGAACTTTTATACTTTTGCAAATTATCGTACTAATAGTACTTCCTAATGCTCCTACAATCATTTCGATATATATTTTCAAACTAAATGTAGCACACTCAGCTCATGTCGGTGGTGGTTTAGTTGGTTTACTACTTGGGATTGGTATGATAGGCTGCCCTTTGCCGTGGAATTATCGTCAATGTCACTTTCGAACAATGTGCCGGTGCATAGCATTTACTCTTCTTTTTATTTATTTTACGATAACTGTATCCACCTTTTTTTTAATGGACGCTCCAGTTTGTCATTGGCTTTTCGCATTGTAGATGAAAGATTATGTTTTATATATACTGCAAGAATTTATTTTGAGGAATACATTATAGCATGAACAAAGAGACAACGACAAGTACTATCATAATTTTTGTCGAGACAAAGACAGACGTTGCCAGCGATTTGGATGATTTCGTATTAACGAATGCCGCTATACCGGCTAGTTTCGGGATGCTTGTAGTATCACCCAGTTGTGATGTGACCATTCCATTGGCCATCGCTTGACCAGCTGCCTTTAGTTGATAACCAGTGATGACATGTGCTGTAGTACCTATAACATATAGGTAATCTGTACCTGCTAGACTTACAACTGTTGCTTCGAGTGCCCCGGTGTTGCTTGGTAATTGATAATATTGAATAATTTGAACTGGGTTCGAAGTCGAAGTGAGATTGAGAGCCAGCTCTACAATAGTGGCTGTTCCTGCACCAATCACATAGTAATTTCCAACATTTGGTGAATATGTTGACCAACATAGTGCACTAGCAAGTGTTGTATTAACCGATGTTAACATAATGTTACTTATCGTGCCGCTTGTTGATGAATAAGTCATTGTTAAAACACCTGCAGCACCTGGATCAGTAATCAACAGACCATTCATGCCGACAAGAGTCATGGAAAACGGTAAGATACCACCAGTCGGTATCGTTTGTATTGGATTTGCAGCTAGCACCGTTTTGTCGCTATTGAATGTATAGAACAAGAGAGAGCCTGGTGATGTTGCATTAAAACCTTTGATCGAGATGATCAAAGCCATATTGTCTGCTGAGAAAAGAATTTCACTGAATGTTTGTCGCGGACCACTCGGTGGAACGCTTTGTGATAGGATCGATGTAAGATTTCGATCGAATGATGTTACAATGAATAATCCAGATGAATTATAAGTATAACATCGAATACCTGTCATACTGCCACCAGTTAAGACACATGCATACATATTATTAACAGCGACTGAAACTGGAAACACACCATATGCAGGTTGAACTGATATTAAAGTCACTTGTGTTGCATCGGAGGAACTAAGCATAAACATCGACAAGGAATTTGATCCTGGATTGACAGCAAACAAATAATTTGAATAAACTCCAAGAGCTCCTTGCGAGAATAGAGGATCTCCTGCTGTAGTATTGACGCCAGTTCCATTGGTATTCACTGAATTCGTCAATGTTAATTGACCAGTTGAATTCAACGAATGAATCAATATTTGATTCATACTTGCGGCATTTGACATCGTGTAAACAGCACCAACACTACCGCTTGTTGTTGGATACAGTGTTTGACCATTGATAGGTTTTGTTAAGAGCAAAACAAATGCCGAATATAGTATAACGAGTCGCATCTTTAGATAGAAATTATTGGATTAACACAGCAAGAAGTAACTTAAATAAGAAAGAATGAGAATGACGAAGCAGATTCTTGTTTACATTGCTTTATAAATCATTTTGATGCGCTTCACCCATCGTCAGGAAAGAAAACGTCAAATAACGTGCTCAGGTAGTGTTTGTACTTTTCATGAGCACCTAATGTTTCGTGTGCAACATAATGACGATGCAAAAAAAAGGAAGAACGTCACTGTGTTTGATAGTTATTTAAATAACCATCCAGAATGTGATTCTCTGTAAAGAAAAAGACATGCACATGCTTCTTCAATCTAGGACCGATTATTAATTGAAAAACATTAATTAAACGAGTTGTGATATTCTTTGACGTCAAGAAGCGTGCTCAAAGTCGTGGAAGAGCAATTGAGAAAGAGGAAATAAAAGTGATGACACAGCACTTTTTTGTTACATTCATAGAAATTTTCTTATATTGTTCTACATCTATCATGACACAAAAAAACCATGATAACAAAATACAACTATCCATAATCCATATGCACTGCTCTTTCATAACCATTGACAAGAATTTAATGGTATATGTGCGAGTTTCGCAGCTAAATTTTTCCAAGTCTGTGAAGTACGCAATACTGATAGGATATTGCAGCTTCGTGGTATGTCTTCGAATGAATCATCCCAATATTTTCCAGTGATAGGTAGAAGATACGGACTACCAACATAAAAGCAATCGTACCCAAGGATGTCGAGCATCCTTACAAATGATTTGATGGTGTGCGTTCTTGCCAGAACTGAACGATCATCGCGCCATGCACCACCGGTTTCGAATAAGAATAATGGAAATAAAGCAGAATTCAATGTTAAATTCATACCGCGTATGACTTCGGGTTCGAATCCTTCAACNCTCTCGGGTGACAGTGTTCGTGACCAAATTATTGTGAAAAGTCAGAAATGTGGCTTATTGACAATCAAGCTTCATATTCAAAAGTTTCCTAGTTCTGTTTGCAAAACTGAAAGTTGCAAAGAAACTTATACAGCCCATATAAAAAGATCTATCGAAATGTGTTTTAGTTTCGCTTTAAGAGTCACTCTACAAATAGCGAACGGTGATTATCGTTTAGTTCCGATTCAGTTCTGCTACTTTCTCAATTCGAGCACTAGTAAGTGTTTTTGTTAAATAATAGACCGCATTTAACCTCTAACTTTCTCTTATCAAACAACTGAATTTTTCATCATGAAAGAAAAATGTGTCGATATTGTGCGAACTATTAGTAATGACGTACAGGTTGAAGCAACACTATCTTGCTACCACCGTAGGTAATAGTAGTGCTTAAGAAACCATTGTCATTCACCGTACAGATAAAGATTTGATCGAATACACTACAATGAATACTCTAAATTTTAGCTACTACAACAATCAGCATTACAAGGGAACCAGCGACTAGTACAATCCCGACAACGGCAGGTAAATGACTTTTTATTTTACACGCACAAATCATATTTTTACATTTTATTCAGTGCCATACAATTCAGCAAATAAATGCCTTTGTACCATTGACCTCAATGGTACAAATTCAACAAATGGAACTGAACATTTCTTGATCACATTCGGATATGGTTTTGACCAGTATTCTAACAAAACCCCGGCTGATTTCGGCTTCACAACAGGACACATACAAATGTTTTCAGGAACACCAAGTGATGGTTATTTTGTTATTGCCAATGCTCTTCCTGAAACTTTTTATTGGCTTGTCGTAAAGAAAGATCATGCAGCTGATGAAAACGGTGGATATATGTATGTTGTGAATGCATTAACATATCCTGGACTGTATTTTAACAAAACGATCGATAACTTAACGGTCGGCAAAATCTATGAATTTTCGATGTATGCAGCCAATTTAAACAAGCCAGAGCGGTCTGTTCTGCCGAACATACTGTTTGAAGTTCGAACTGTGACACCAGACAATAATTTGATCACTCAAAGAAATTCTAGTGATATACCTGAATACGCCAATATCACTTGGAGCAAAAATGAAATATCATTCGTTGCGCCAAGTACTTCTGTCATGCTATTAATTATATCGAATTGTCATAGCAACGCCAGAAACGACCTAGTCATCGATGACATTGGTTTATGTGAATGTTAAATATAAACAGTATAAGAAATGAACGAATAAAATTCTAGAGATAGTCTCTGCAGTTTTATTAGTTTCGTGTCTCACAGAGAAAAATTAAGCGATAGTTGCTATATATTATCTACCTCTATCAATGATTCATGCAAAGCTGAAAGATGGTTGCATCGTAACAAACCTAATAATAAACATGCATTGTAACAGATAACAAGCAAAGATATAGTTACACTTCACAAGAACTTTTTACTTATATAAATGTTTCTCTTATGGTTGTTGTTTCTCGTTGTTTCGCTGATTTCGAACAGCAAATCAGACACTCTATGTCTCAATAATCCCATCATCATTTGCCATTGTCAAAGTGGTACAGGCTCAGTCACTTGTATTCAAAGTCATGCAAGCAACGACACTTCTATCGATTGGTTAACGTTTTCGTCTCCTGAATATGAGAGTTATATATTTGATTTTATTAACATTACCCGTTTAACACCTGATACGTTTACAAACTTTCGATCAAGATTTTCTTCGCTTAATAGTTTACAATTCCGATTTACGAATGGTGTTGATGAGATAGCTGAAAATACGTTTCAAATGTTGAGTAACTATTCAGAAACACATATTTCTTTAACCTTTAATTCACCAGGAAATTTCCAGCTTGCTGATCATGCATTTGGCCAGTCAAAATACCATCAAATTCTCATTGCGGATGGACAACAACAACAAACGTACCAACTCAATCTAAAAGCATTTGACCGTGCAAATATTTCTGGACTTAGTATTGTAAACTGTAACAATATTCAACTGATCCGAAATGAACCATTATCATTAACGATTCAGGAAGTTGAAATAAAAAAATCTTTGCTGGCAAATGCTGACCTTCTTATTCAAAGTCTTTCGAATTCATTAACTAAGTTAGACTTATCTTCCAACCAACTCGTTCATGTTCCATCATTGGCCAAATTCACTGGATTAACTGACATTGATTTACACAAGAACTTGATCGAAGAAATTCATGCGAATACATTTATAAATTTAACTCGTTTACTTCGACTGAACTTATCGTATAACCGAATGAAACGAATATCACACGAAGCTTTTGCTGAACTGCATTTAACCATATTAACATTGAATGATAATCATTTGACTTCCCTGGAAACTGTAACCATTCATAATGAAAAAACATCGTTTCTAAATCCATTGAACCAATCATTGACGACACTGGTTTTATCGAATAATTTACTTCATGATTTTGATCCGATCCGAAATCTAACGCATTTGAACACACTGCAATTATGTTGTAATCAGATTAAAGGCTTATATGAGGATTCATTTCAAAATGCACGTCAGTTGGAAATAATTGATTTGAGTTCGAATCATATTGGCTCAATTCATCCGTTGACTTTTAAGGCAACCAAGGTGAAACATTTGGATTTGTCATCGAATCCATTCTCGTCACTTGAAACAACGAAAATAGTCTATGACGAAGACTTCAAACGTAAAAATCAAACGAATTCGTTTCTTGAACATATTACATCGACATTGACGAATTTACTATTAAAAAATTGCACAAATTTATTAGAAATCAATTGGTTTCTTTTTAAAAATACAAATATATTATACAACTTGGATCTATCTGGAACACCAAAAACAGACAAATTCTGGTTATATCAACCTAGAAATTATAACGACTCGGCAGTTCAAGGTCAGATGAGACAATTTATAGTTACTGTCATGAGTATTAATTTTACTAATAATGATTATTGTTTATTTAAGCCAGTATTTCAAATACTTAATCATACTATTTTACTACTTGACAGCAATCACCCATGCAACTGTTTTGTATTTATGATGAGAAACATACTTCAAATGAGAGTGCCACCGATCTGTTTATCGAATCAATCGATTATCGACGAATTAAGTCAACAGTGTATGAACATCGATGTGTCATGTGCATTTCCGACTAGTAGCACAACTATGTCATCAACGCCCTTGTTGTCAAGTACAAGTTTTACAACTATAGACAGTACTATACCGATCACTACTGTAATAACTACAATACCTACGACAACTACAATCCCAGCTACAATAACAACTACGACGGCAACAACAACGACAGCATCTATGACAACAACTACAACTAAAGTAACGACTACCACGAAAACAGAAGAATCGACAACCTCGGTTACGATGACAACTATCGTCACTACATTAGGAGCAACAGCAGCAAAGGATGATGGCAAATGGAAAACAATTTTGGCAATAATGCTTCCTCTAACAGTTATTATTGTTGTTCTGTCTTCAGTTAGTATTTATATTGTTCAGAAACGAAAGAAGAACAGGTCGAAAGAGGTCATTGAGCTACGTGGAGGACTCGCGAACATATTCGCTAACAAATAACTTGTTTTTCTGTAGTTCAGTACGAGTCTCCTTCGTATTTTGTAATAAAGCTCAATTCGATATTGTCTTCAAGCTTCAACTACAAAATTTAGAGATTCACTTTCACTCGCACCTTCAACCGACGTTTTGACTTGAATGGAGAAACTGTAAGTCAATTTGCCGGAGATAACTAATGCCGTCGTCTGATGATATTTTGAAGTAAATTTCATTATACGATATCAGTTTGAGAACTGAGATTTGACCATGGTTGACAATGAGTAAACAGAACGCCGATACTCTGGTCGTGCACAATAATAATGTCGACTTGATCATCGTCATTGACATGAGCGACGCCAACAAAAATCGGATTCAATTTGTGTCGAGTAAGTTACGGAAGGAAATTTAGGTTTATGACTATTGTTGAAATAGATATCGATACTGTGAGATTTACGATTGACTATGAGAATATCTGATTTCTTATCGTAATTAACATCGGCAATCAGTGCTGAGATTGGTTCCGCATCGGTGTCATACATGATTTGGGTGAGAAATTGGTTAGCAGCGTTGTTGAATAGTATTCCAAAATTGTTATGGTTAGAATAAGTAATAACAAAGTCGAATTTACCGTCGTTATTTATATCGCCGACTCGCACACAGCTCGGAGAATTATATTCTTGGTCAGCAGATACGGCCCAACACATCATGGAGTGAACAGAGATTGGGATTCAAAAGCAACTGCATTAACCAACACTACTATTTTTGTTTTAAATATTATTCCTAGCGGCTTATCGATTATGACGTTCAGTGCAGAAAATTGTCGAATAATGAGTAACGGTACCTACCTTCAAGTGGCATCCATTGTCTCTTTAGTTCTGACAACATTACTGATCCTAAAATTTTGGCTTTTCGCTCTCATACAATTGACATTGATAAACAATGATTTACTTACATTTATTAGTTGTATATCCTTAGATTCTCTTCTTCGGATACATTTAACCACAGTTGATTGGTTGAATGCTTGTGTTGCAATCGAACGAACTGTAACTCCGATCAAAGGTGTCAACTTTAACAGGAAGAAGAGTAAAAATATGACGAAATGTATTATTCTGATAATTTTGTTAATAAGCATATCCACAGCAGTGTATGAACCATTTCATCGACATCTCATTGACGATGAAGAAGAACAACAACAAACTTGTTGCGTTGTCAAATATACACCAATTCTACAAACAGTGGATATAATTGTTAATTTGGTTCATTCTCATCTTCTTTTTCTTGTCAATCTAATTTCTGCTATGATCATCATTGTCATGTTAGCTCGAAAACGATCATTTGCTCGTAAACAAGAAAAGGGCGAATACTATGTATATGATCAATTTTGGCAGAATAAACATCTGCTCATTTCACCTTGTATTTTAGCGATTCTGACTTTACCTCGTATAATCATTTCTTTTCTTTCGAGCTGTATGAAATCAGTTCGAGATCCATGGTTATTCCTTATCGAGTACTATATCTCGTTCGTTCCACCAATGCTTATCTTTCCAGTGTTTGTTTTGCCATCCAATGTGTACAAAGAAGAATTGGCAATCATGTTGAAAAAATGGGCAAAAACACTTCAAGGACGTTATCTACATAGAAGACGACATCTGAAAACATCAGGTTTTCTTTTGAAATTAGAAAATCCACGAATATCATTTTATTCAGTCAAATAAAAAATTGCTTATCGGTCTTCGGTAGAATAAGTCTTGACCACCACAAATACAAATTTTTGTTCATAACTTTAACAAAACAAATCGAACGACGTCTTGTAGTTTGAATCAAAGGCTCCAAATCTCCCATTAAATCTTCATTTTCATTCACCATATCCGGTAAACATAGATGTTGACAAGTATTCCACTTTCTCGATCATAGACATTCTTCTAACAATTTCAAATGTTTTCTATACAAATTACTAAGAGGATATTTCAGTCGAGGAAATAGAGCAGTGATCAATTTCAATTGTTTGAATCGGATCGTTTGTTCAATACACAATTTCATCATCGTATTTGTTTTCGACGCAATTTGAAATGGTTCATTTTGTTCAATTGAAGCAAACTCGACTCCGCGCGAAATGATAAGGATTTTAATTTGAATGTATGAACGTTCGGTATATGTTCGAAAGATAGAGAGAGTTCAGCGTTAGTTGAGTTAATTGATTCATAGGAAGAATGTGCTGAATCATGTTTGCTAATTACTCACGAGGAATGCGAAACGTTTCTAGAAAAGTAAGTTGTTTTGCACGAGGAAAACGTTCTGTTTGCAAATCCTGTAAATAAATATGTTGAGTCCGATCGCATGTTTTTCGTTTGTGAGGAATCTGCTTGCCTATAGAATGAAAACGTATACATGAGTAGAAATAGAATAGTTATTCGCTTGCACAATTCGATGAATTTCGTGAGAAGAAAATGCCTACAGTGAAATGTGAATTGTACTGATATTCAAAGAGACATCCATGTTCAATCCAAAATACTGAATTAAAATTGTCAGCTAAAGTTTGATAAGATGATCGATTTTGTTTAAGATGCAAAACGTAAAATATATGTTGATAATCAAAGGCAACACGCACGGACAACCAATAATGAGCTACTACGATATGTAAAACTTCGACTCGATGAAAATATTTTGTCATCAGCGATTGAAAATCATCGAAACTCACATTGAATTCACTTGATCTGTCACCGGCGATAATACTGTTTTGTTTATGTTTAAAAACATTTCACAATATGTCAATCTGGGCAGATTAAAAATCGTTTTCAACAGCACTTCTGAATTTGTAAGTTGATCCGACGAAGTAATCGTTAATATTGTGCATGATAAATCTTCCCAGTTGAGTAAAGTTTGCCATAATAGAAAGCAACGATGCACAGATTTCAGATACACGTAGTGATTTGACTCGCGGAGTATGCGGAACGATGTTCTTTTTTCAGTAACGTTCAAACGCTGGTTTGAGCATGGATGACGTATTAATGCTGTGTAAAAAGTTTGCATGAAGTAAAAGATTTCAAAATCGTATATTAAGATCATAGAAGCTATGGAATGCATAGTGTGAATGGAGATGTACAAAGATTTTGTGAATAAACTCATTTGGAAGTTGTTCCAAAGTCGATTTTCTACAATGAAAATCAAAATGATTTACAGATATTCATGCTACTGTTTTTTCTCTATAATTACATTACCTTAATATTCAACTGTGTGTTTTTTTTCAAATAACTTTATATTGTAATAGGTAATTTCGAAAAATATGCGGTTACTGCGTTGGCACCGAAATGATTCGTGATCATGAAACATTTTCTTTCTGTTGAGTATCGATCTTCATCAACACTGTAGTCTTCGTCGTTGTTTTTCATTTCTTTCAGTAATAAAAACATGTTAGAAGCATGTCGTACAATCTACCTATATACATCATTCATTTCAACAGCACTCAATGATGTCAGAAGAATGTTCGACGAAGAATATCATTCTTTTGTATATAAGAGTACGCACAAACTCGTTATCAACACCTTAGTAAGGCAACCGAGCAAGCACTTGCGCATTACAGATTGAAAGTAAAAAGCGTAATGTGAAATATGTAGATCATCAAAATAGCTTCTATGTCAATAATAAGTAGCAAGTGTCTTCATTCGCACTGTCGCTAGTAAAAGTGTGCACTTTTATATAAACCAATTCGTGTCATGGAATACATTGAAGTAGAACATTTTTTATCACAATTATGACGCGGTCGCTTTGCACACGTATTTGATCTTTGTGCTGCTTGAAGAACCATATTAATAGTTGCCAACTAATGAGCACTTATGACGTCTTTCATATTTTATAACATAGCACTTAATGCTTTTATTCATCATATTTCTACATACTCAATAACATGTTGACATTAAATCTCCCTCAACCCATTAGTATGGTCAAAGTTGTTATCTATGATGATGGTATTGCTATACCACACGTCGCGCGTTATTGGATCTTTCTCATCTCAAATATCTGTTCACTTCTGTGTGCTGTATTTGTGCTCTATCATTACCTTTTTGATTCAACACTTCGTCATGGACTACACAACCATACTTTAACTATTGTTCTAATTATTTGTCTCATCTGGGAGTTAACCGACGTACCCTTTCAAATGTACCTTTTTCTCTATAGGGTTGTTTGGATTCAGACACCAACATTCTGTATCATATGGAAAATTCTTGATGCAGCACTGTATACATCAACTGCCAAACTTATTGGATGGGCATCAGTTGAACGACACATTCTCATTTTTCATGAGAACTGGATCACAACAAGAAGAAGACGCTTTTTCATTCACTACACACCAATCATCCTGATTGTCACCTATGGTGTTGTGCTCTATTCGATCATCACTCCGATGAATTATTGTAAAAGGCCATTCTATTATTTTGTGGAAATGTGTGGATATTATAGTTGTGTGTATGATAGTGCAACATTTACATTGTATGAATATGCAACTGGTGGATTACTGTGTTCTGTTCTGATTGGATTTGGAGGTGGTAGCCTAATTCTGCGTGTTGTTCTGCAGAAACGTCGTTTACGACGGCATGTTAACTGGCGGAAACATCGAAAGATGGCAATACAACTTTTGTCAATCACAGCTCTGTTTTATATCTTTTACTTACCACCTGTAGTGTTATCAACCGCTCATCAACTCGGTGTTCCATCTTACGTCGGAAGTGACTACACCCGAAATGCTTCGTTCTTTGCTAATTATATCATATTCTTATTTCCATTTGCATGTTTGAATACCTTACCGAAACTGCGTATTCGACTCAAGAATATGTACCGATATATTTTGCGGAAACAAATACGTCGTATCAGCCCGCAAAAACCTACAATAATGAATTCTACCCGAAGAAATCAACGAAAAACAACCGTTTTCTAATCACATTGTTAGTTCATTCTAATAAAGAGATACAAACAAACAAGTATTTTTAAAAAGTCTAAACACTGAATGAAAATAAAAACTAACAGATGAGGTCTATGTGGTGACGAATACAACATAACACTATTCTGACCTAAAATTTCCAAACTGGTTGTTATTATAATCCACAACTACAACACCCTCATCCACAAGATAGAATATGGAAGAATATTTTTGAATTGTTGTACCAGTGCAAAATGTAGAACGAAAAACATCAATGATATTAAAAAAAATCAAGAAAAAAAAGCGAAGGAAGAGGTGATTCCATAATTTTTCACACCGCACTGCATTTATGTCGCCAAAATAATTTGTGTTTAAACGTATGATAATGTGCGTTTTTTCATTATTACCAAGACCATTCCCAGATTCTTGCGCCTTCTCATAACTTGATTCGTGTCAGAGAGCATAGCGATTAAAAATACTTTCCGCTATTATTCCGCTGTAGCAGTTTTCCGCGTGTATTTGATCCATATTTTACATCAAAGACTACATTAATAATCACCTACTAATGAGCGCTTGTGACGTCTTTTCCCCTTTTTTTATAAAATCATTTCGCGTTTGCATCCATCATATTCTCTATCTTCAACGACATGTCAACGTCAAATCTTACTGCATCTAGTACTATAATTAAAGCTGTCTATGTCTATGATGACGGCATCGCCATACCATACATCGTTCGTTTTTGGATGTTTCTCATCTCAAATATCTGTTCAATTCTGTGCGCTGTATTTGTGCTCTATCACTGTTTGGGTGATTCGACACTTCGTCATGGATTGCATTATCATATCTCTATTGTTATGCTAATCATCTGCCTCATATATGACTTCACTGACGTACCCTTTCAAATGTACCTTTTTCTCTATAGGGTTGTTTGGATTCAGACACCAACATTCTGTCTCACATGGAAAATTCTTGATGCAGCACTGTATACATCAACTGCCAAACTTATTGGATGGGCATCAGTTGAACGACACATTCTCATTTTTCATGAGAACTGGATCGCAACAAGAAGAAGACGCTTTTTCATTCACTACACACCAATCATCCTGATTGTCACCTATGGTGTTGTGCTCTATTCGATCATCACTCCGATAAATTATTGTAAAAGGCCATTCTACTATTTTATGGCAATGTGTGGATATTATAGTTGTGTGTATGATAGTGCAACATTTACATTGTATGAATATGCAACTGGTGGATTACTGTGTTCTGTTCTGATTGGATTTGGAGGTAGTAGTCTAATTCTGCGTGTTGTTCTGCAGAAACGTCGTTTACGACGACATATTAACTGGCGAAAACATCGAAAGATGGCAATACAACTTTTGTCAATCACAGCTCTGTTTTATATCTTTTACTTACCACCTGTATTGGTAGGAACTGCTCGTCGGGTTGGTTTTTCATCTTCCGCTGCAAGTACTTACAGTACATATGCCTCATTTTTTACGAATTATATCGTATTTTTATTTCCATTTGCATGTTTGAATACCTTACCGAATCTACGCACTCGAGTGAGGAATATGTTCGAATATCTTCTGCGCAGAAAAATAGGTCGTATCATACCAGCTACAAACACTCGAATCCGTCAAGACTAATCGACTGCAATTGAACGAACCGAAATCTCCTTTTTCTGTTTTATGTTTGTGCCCATATACAACGTTTTGTATGTGTTCTTAAATCTATATCTTATTTCATCGTTCATCTGTAATTATCAATAATAAAACACCGTGATTATAATGAAACTCAGTGACAAAATTATCCATGTATAAAAAAAACTATCGAGACTAAACTGTCATTACAGAGAAGCCGATAAGTCTTTCATCAATTCATAAAGCAGCTAGATTAGAAAAAAAGGCACACCATTTAGCGAAACTTCCACTGGATTTCAATTTGCATTCGATTTAACTAAAAATAGGATCAGTAAAAAGCTAGTCAGTTGATAACTACGTCCTTTTTTTCTTGTTACACACGAATTTAGTTATAAATTTTGTTGACTATGAATCGCAAGTGAAATCTTCATTTGTTTTCTTCTGATACTCATGAGAGGTTGTATTATAAAAGACAAGGGATCAATAAAATGTTTTATCTTGATATACATTTCTTTTCATTCTTGGTTGCGTTTTATACTTTTAACAATCATTAATCTCGACAAATGTCGTTCCGTTGGACACATGTTTTCTTTCTTCTTTTAAGCGTATCGTCTAGTTCCAGTTTAATTTGTCACGACTGTACTTGCTTTGTTGATCAATGCGAGTGCGAACCCGTCAATGAAATGCACGACAATATTCACTGTACAATAACCCGACATAATCCACTACTCGAATCACTTTCTTATTTATCCCATAGAAAATATTTTTCAACACTAGATCTTTACTACATCATCGTTAAACATTCCATTGTATATAGATCAATGTCAAACGATTGGCTTATAAAACCTGACGAAATTATCTTTGGATGTGATTGGGATTGCTGTAATGATCCGAGACTGATCAAATCATTAACGGATGTGATCAGCATATCGATTGATGAAGAATGGTTTAGGATTAACATCTATGGAACAGGAACAAAAACGAGATGTCACGATTGTGGAATGAAAATATGTAATAAAACAATCAATCTTGATGATTGTCCACTTGAATCCTGCTCAAGTTTTGAAATCTGCTCTTTACACGATTGGATCGTCAACGCTTCGACGAACGAGCAATGTTTTGATTCGAAATGTATACCAGAACAATTGGTCGAACCACCTGATGAAAAATATAAAGTTTCAACCGAAATCATCTTATATTTAGCACAAAATCGTTCGCACTTTCACTATCATGGAATGAATGTCTATTGTATTGCACAAAATTGTTCGCGCACAACGATATTTCACGAAATAAAACAACAAATCACCGTCAATATCGGCAATCTAACAGCGTTTCCACCAACTCGACCACCCACAACAACTTCTACGACTCGAAAACCCGACTCTTTTGGTATTAAGTGTTACAACTGTTCTTCGACGAACATTACTCAGCCATGTACAGAAAGTAATGAATACTCGATCAGTACCAAACATTGTAGGATTTATTATGATGAGAATCGCGTCACATTTTCATCCGTTCCTGTCAATTCCACTCAATCTTACATATATGAATTCCCTTATATTTTTCTTGAACAATCGATCGATTATAACAAAACATCGAAAAGCTGGATTTTTACAAGAGATTACATTTCATATGGTTGTAATCGAGATTATTGCAATCAACCTCGTTTGACATCTTCTCTTCTGGCAAGTATTCATCTTGCAGTAAATACATCTTGGTTGAATGCGAATGTGTTAGCAATTGATTCGTCGGCACGTGACTGTGATCAATGTCTAAATAATACTCAGTGTGTTTTTAATGAAACTTACGCAGTTGATATATGTCCAGTAGAAAAATGTAATTCTACTTGTTTTCTATCGAATATCTACAATCATATGACACCTGATCAGCAATGCAATCAGTCAATCTGTCGACCGACAGGAAACGATATACATCGAGTTACTATTCAAGGTATTTTATATCTTAATCGATCAAAATTGAACGTAGAATTCTGGAAAGTATCGATTCCGTGTCACGCATCGGATTGTTCTCGATCACGAATTTTTCGCGAAGTAAAAATTGTCAATAGTCGAAGTTACTCTATTTTAAAGTTCATTTCAGATAAACGATCAGTTAATCGTACGTATCGGTGACTTAAATGCTTTTAATGATATTTCTACAACAACAACTTCAACGCCAAATCTATTGACGACCGCGACTTTCTATGATCGAGATTCATGTAATAATTCGATGTTAGTGCCTGATTTAAGTGGTTCGTGTGTTCCAAAACATGACGCGCATGTAAAGTTAATTCGCTTGTAGACAAATATCTCCTCATCTTGTGTTTTATTCTAGTATGAAATCGTCGATTTTCTTCTCAATGAAGACAATACTGAAAATCTAACTGCAGTTGCCACTGCTCTGACAGCTTATTTTGGCACCATGTCCTCTATGAATTCCACTGAACAAGAGCAATTGAATCGAACGTTAACACCCGACATTATCGATAATTTAGTTGGAATTTTCAATGCTAGTTTAACTCACAATGCCTCAACATCATTTCTCGCCTGTCGACCAACCGATGAAGAAGATATGCCCATAGGTATTTTATTTCATTCAGGTTTCGGAGGTGACATAGTTTTCAATTCAACCGAGGACGGTGCGATTCAATCAAATTTAACCGCCGCAGCAATATTCAGTCGAGATTCGATTCTCTCGAATGAAGTTAGTTTCATCAACATGCTTGTTATCGATCAACCACCAATTGAATACTATCGGTCAAAACACGCCAATGAAAAACTTCTCTCCTCATCGATTATTGTCGCTAAAACACAACAAACTTATTTGAACGAAATGAACATTTCAATATATTTTCGCGTTTTGTTCGAACAAGAATCTGATGGAGAATATTATTGTGCATTTTACGACATGACCACATCCAGTTGGAACGAATCCGGATGTACATTTCCAACCTATAATTTCGATTTTCAACGATATGAATGTTCGTGTAATCATTTAACATCATTTGCTTTGATCTGGTTACCTGCGACTCTGATAAACAATGCAAAGCAATCATTAAATATCGAAGATATTTGTTCGCTTCTCTTTCAATTCATCTCCATTCTTTGCTTTCTCATCGTTTTCATTCATAGTTTAATCAAACGTAATTGTTGTGCTAACAGCAAACTCGCCGCACGTGATCTTCTCCCATTGATATCTTGCGCAAGTACCATTTTACTGTTTACTTTCTATATCGCGCTCGTTTTAATTGTTTACACTCGAAGCGAATCATTGAATGAGAAAGATTGTTTCCTTTCTGCTCATATTCTAATGTTTATCGTTTATTTTCTTTTGATTTTCATGTTTTGTACGAAGACAAGTGTTGGATTTTTCAATTATCTTCGTTTCGTTCATCCACTTTCACCACCCTCATTTCAACAACTTCGAACATTGTTATTTGTTTCATTTCTCATTTCCATTATCTATTCGAGTTTTGCGATTGGTTTGAACACAAATCAATCGTATGGAATGACACAATTGTATCCATATAGAATCTGTTGGTTTGCATCGAATAAGATTCATTTTTTTCTGACGATTCCAATCGGTATCTTCCTTTTTTTAAATATCATTATGATTCTTCTCCTGGCGAAATATTTAATCCGTCATACGCGAAGTGTACCGACTTTGAATCCATTGATCAAACGAAGCAAAATGTGTGTTATTGTTCTTCTCTCCTCATGTATGACACAAGGCGTTGCTTGGCTTCTCGGTCCGTTAATTTCCGTAATCAACTCAACGAGCGTTCAAGCTTTCACATGGCTTTTCATTATTTTTAATGGACTCGAAGGCTTATGGTCAATTATTCTGTATATCGTCATTATTCGTCTACAAAAAAGCAATGTTCATACACATTCATTCACAGGCGATACTTTAACGAAACTATCATCAATTTCATCAAATCCACAACAGAAAAGGAAACAATGAGATAGAATTACAAGTCACGCACTGAAAAATACAGATAATGATGTGCAGTGTACTATCATTTTTTTCTAATAAACTATTTCCGATAGAATCAAGTGACCTTGTATCATATACGTATTTGTGCCGATACCATCACGCGTAGGTCATGTGTTGTATAATGTAACGCAAAATAATATTTATGTTATCATGTTAATTCCGTTCTACGTTCTACTGGCAGAAAGAAAAAATAAGTTTGGTATATCGTTGACTTGTGTAAGAAGCATATTTCATCGAGAAGAGAAAAGACGGATACGATCTACAGATACTAAATAGAAATGAAGGAAGCGACTGGAAATAGAAGAGGTAAAATCTTTTCAGACCTTTTGCGTATTGTTAACATCGACAACGTACTGAATCAAAAACATCATCGTACTGTGTTCATTGTTGCTATAAGTAGTATAAACATTTTTATCTACCTTCTAACATATATCAACATCAGCTGGCAAGGTCGACCGTTTCGGTATGCTTTATCTGATATTTTCATGTTTTTTATTCCATGTATGCGGTCAGCATCTGACGCAATTCGTTTGCTTAATGTTCGCTGTAACTCACTAGAGTCGAACAAAACGTGCTATTACGATGATAAGCTCAAAGAAATTTGCTCTTCATTCATGTATCCATATCAATTATGGCGATTCTTCACTGCTTCTCTTCTTCATATGGTTTGGTATCATTTAGTCATAAATGTTTCTAAACAAGCTCTTTACGGATTCCTCCTGGAACGTAAATACGGTACAATACGTGTCAGCATCATTTATTGGCTTTCAGCGCTCAGCAGTTGTCTAACTTTTATGTTGGAACATAGAGAAGCGCGTAAGTGTGTCGCCGATTGTCTTTTTTGAAACCTATAGTCAAGCTCGTTTTCTCCTCTTTAGCCGGTTTTGGCGCATCCGGTTCTATCTATGGATTAATAATATTTTTGACTGTGGATCGACTTGTTGCATTGCAGGAAAACACTGAGCACCGAGCTTTTATATTTTTGCAAATTATCGTACTAATAGTACTTCCTAATGCTCCTACAATCATTTTGATATATATTTTCAAACTCAATGCAGCGCACTCAGCTCATATCGGTGGTGGTTTAGTTGGTTTACTGCTCGGAATTGGTATGATCGGCTGCCCTTTGCCGTGGAGTTATCGTCAATGCCACTTTCGAACAATGTGCCGGTGCATAGCATTTACTCTTCTTTTTATTTATTTTACGATAACTGTAACCATCTTTTTCTTAATGGACCCTCCAGTTCCTCATTGGTTGTTCGAATTTTAAATGAAAGAGTATGTTTTATACATACTGCAAGAATTTATTTTGAGGAGTAAATTATAGCATGAACAAAGAGACAATGAAAAGTACTATCACCATTTTTGTTGACACAAAGACAGACGTTGCCAGCGATTTGGATGATTTCGTATTAACAAATGCCGCTATACCGGCCAGTTTCGGGATGCTTGTAGTATCACCCAGTTGTGATGTGACCATTCCATTGGCCATCGCTTGACCAGCTGCCTTTAGTTGATAACCAGTGATGACATGTGCTGTAGTACCTATAACGTATAGATAATCTGTACCTGCTAGACTTACAACTGTTGCTTCGAGTGCCCCAGTGTTGTTTGGTAATTGATAATATTGAATAATTTGAACTGGGTTCGAAGTCGAAGTGAGATTGAGAGTAAGCTCAACAATAGTGACTGTTCCTGCGCCAATCGCATAGTAATTTCCAAGATTTGGTGAATATGTTGACCAACATAGTGCACTAGCAAGTGTTGTATTAACTGGTGTTAACATACTGTTACTTATCGTCCCATTTGCTGATGAATAAGTCATTGTTAAAACACCTGCAGCACCTGGATCAGTAATCAACAGGCCATTCATGCCGACAAGAGTCATGGAAAACGGTAAGATACCACCAGTCGGTGTCATTTGTATTGGATTTGCAGCTAACACCGTTTTGTCGCTGTTCAATGTATAGAACAAGAGAGAACCTGCTGATGTCGCATTAAATCCTTTCATCGAGATGATCAAAGCCATATTGTCTGCTGAGAAAAGAATTTGACTGAATGTTTGTCGCGGACCACTCGGTGGAACACTTTGTGATAGGATCGATGTAAGATTTCGATCAAATGATGTTACAATGAATAATCCAGATGAATTATAAGTATAACAACGAATACCTGTCATACTGCCACCAGTTAAAACACATGCATACATATTATTAACAGCGACTGAAACTGGAAACACACCATATGTAGGTTGAACTGATATTAAAATCACTTGTGTTGCATCGGATGAACTAAGCATAAACATCGACAAGGAATTTGATCCTGGATTGACAGCAAACAAATAATTTGAATAAACTCCAAGAGCTCCTTGCGAGAATAGAGGATCTCCTGCTGTAGTATTGACGCCAGTTCCATTGGTATTCACTGAATTCGTCAATGTTAATTGACCAGTTGAATTCAACGAATGAATCAATATTTGATTCATACTTGCGGCATTTGACATCGTGTAAACAGCACCAACACTACCGCTTGTTGTTGGATACAGTGTTTGACCATTGATAGGTATTGTTAAGAGCAGAACAAATGCCGAATATAGTATAACGAGTCGCATCTTTAGATAGAAATTATTGGATTCACACAGCAAGAAGCAGCGTAAGCAAGAAAGAATAAGAATGACGAAGCATTTTCTTTTTCACATTGCTTTATATATCATGATGATGCGCGCTCCACCCATCGTCAGAAAAGAAAACGTCAAATAACGTGCTCAGGTGATGTTTGTACTTTTCTTGAGTACCTAATGTTTTGTGTGCAACATAATGACGATGCAAAAAAAAAGAAAGAACGTCACTGCATTTGGTAGTTATTTAAATAGCCATCCGGAATGTGATACTTTGTAAAGAAAAAGACATGCACATGCTTCTTCAACCTAGGAACCATTAGTAATTGAACAACGTTAATTAAACGAGTTGGGATATTCTTTGACGTGAAGAAGAGTGCTCAAAGTTGTGGAAGAGCAATTGAGAAAGAGGAAATAAAAGTGATGACACAGCACTTTTTTTGTTATATTTATAGAAATGTTCTTATATTGTTCCACATCTATCGTGACATAAAAAAAAACATGCTAACACAATACAACTATCCATATGCATTGCTCTTTCATAACCATTGACAAGAATTTAATGGTATATGTGCGAGTTTCGTAGCTAAATTTTTCCAAGTCTGTGAAATACGCAATACCGATAGGATATTGCAACTTCGTGGTATGTCTTCGAATGAATCATCCCAGTATTTTCCAGTGATAGGTAGAAGATACGGACTACCAACATAAAAGCAATCGTACCCAAGGATGTCGAGCATCCTTACAAATGATTTGATGGTGTGCGTTCTTGCCAGAACTGAACGATCATCGCGCCATGCACCGCCGGTTTCGAATAAGAATAACGGAAATAGAGCAGAATTGAATGTTAAATTCATACCGCGTATGACCTCGGGTTCGAATCCTTCAACATCAATCTTAACGAAAGAGATCGGTGTTTTGATGTGATTAGTTTTGATGAACATAGGCAATGTTGTGACAGATACTTCTGATATGAATCGATAACCTAATCGTGAACTGTGTCCCAGTGTTGACGCTTCGCCTGGCTTGTCTGGTGCATGTGTATAGATCGGCACGCGACCGGTTCGATCGCTAATGGCAATATTGTGAAGAAAATGTTTATCATGTTTTTGCTTTCGAAATGACGATGATCGATTTGTCATTGTTTGAAAAAGAGATATAACAGGTTCTATAGAATGCACAACATACGGTATCTCATGCGGTGTAGCTAGAATCACTTCGCTAAACTGGCCAACATTTGCTCCAAATTCAATGATGATAATTTCTTCATGTGCTGGATCCAAAATTGAACTTAAAACGAAAAAGAAAAGTATGTCATGTTTATTTGCAAAATTTTCATTCTTTTGCCAGTATCGCACACCACATGCTTTATTGTATATGTCCAGACTTGGCTTAGATGCAGATTCAGTTTTACGATAAAGCAAGATGGTTTCACGAAATGTAAAAGATCGAAAGTAATACATTGTGAATAAACCAATGAGAATGCCGCAGAAAAAACCTTTATATTCTTTCATCCTGTAAATGTTTTACTCAATTCGTAATAATCGAATGCGATGTTGAATACAGTAGCGTAATAAAATTTAAACTTGACAGTGTCGAATACCAAATTTTAGAACCATACACGGAATTATATATCAGATAAAAACATTCATCAATACAAAATCTCGTTTAAAATCGATCGAAGAAACTGATATTTATGTCTTAAATGCAGAATGTACTACTCTTAAATACATCAGTCAAGGTGAGAAGCTACTGTTCTTCAAATAAAGAAATGTAAATACATTTGTCCACGTTATAATCATGAGCGGTGAAAAGAAAGGCGTGTTTTGCTAACAAATACTGTTTTTATGTTTAGAAAAAAGAAATTCTCTATACAATGATGTTTTGTACCTGTCTGGCGCTCAATTTTAGAACTTTTCGCACGTTTCTTTTTTGTACACATCGTTAATGGTATTTTCTACGTTACTTTGTTTCTCCGTTCGGCGAATCGATGTGTGAACTTATGTTAGTTCTATTACTTTGTGCTTGCGAATTTTCAGTTATGGCTTACGCAATCAGAACTAAACGGAAATCATTATTCATGTAATTTCGCAATCGATGTATACGTCACTGAAAAATATTTTCTTTTCTATATATATCGTTGACACGTGCGGTATTTATTTGCGCAAATAAAACGATTAATTTGCAAATGGCGGAACAAAGTTTTGACAAAACGAGAAAACGAAACCAACTGGATTTGAAAGATGCTAGTGGTGTTCATCACTTATCACGCGATAAATATGCAGCAATTGCAGATGATACTTTGAAGAAATTTCAAACTGGTTCAAGTAACACCCGCGGAAATCATCGGAATGTCAATTTACAACAGGATCTTCGATTTTCCATTGAAAATACAATTGTTTATACAGAAGATGATTTAATAACAGAGACTTTAATGAAATCTTCATCGTCACCAGTGTATGAAATTCGTCATAGCACAACTTTACAAGCAGCTGAATTATTGGCAAGTGAAATCGACGATGATAATCGCATCGGTATATTGAATTTCGCATCAGCAAAGAATCCTGGCGGCGGTTTTCTCAAAGGTTCAAATGCTCAAGAAGAATCGATAGCAAGATCATCATCTCTCTATCTCGCTCTGTCACAAGATCGAATCTTTCCTCAATTTTACGGTTATCATCGACGAGAANACAGATACTTCTGATATGAATCGATAACCTAATCGTGAACCTTGTCCCAGTGTTGACGCTTCGCCTGGCTTGTCTGGTGCATGTGTATAGATCGGCACGCGACCGGTTCGATCGCTAATGGCAATATTGTGAAGAAAATGTTTATCATGTTTTTGCTTTCGAAATGACGATGATCGATTTGTCATTGTTTGAAAAAGAGATATAACAGGTTCTATAGAATGTACGACATACGGTATCTCATGTGGTGTAGCTAAAATCACTTCGCTAAACTGGCCAACATTTGCTCCAAATTCAATGATGATGATTTCTCCACGTGTTGGATCCAAAATTGAACTTAAAACGAAAAAGAAAACTATGTCATGTTTATTTGCAAAATTTTCATTCTTTTGCCAATATCGCACACCACATGCTTTGTTGTATATGTCCAGACTTGGCTTAGCTACAGATTCAGTTTTACTATAAAGCAAGATGGTTTCACGGAATGTAAAAGATCGAATGTAATACATTGTAAATAAACCAATGAGAATGCCGTAGAAAAAACCTTTGTGTTCTTTCATGTTGTAAAGGTTTTACTCAATTTGTAATAATCGAATGCGATGTTGAATACAGTACAGCGTAATAAAATTTAAACTTGACAGTGTCAAATACCAAATTTTAGAACCATACACGGAATTATATATCAGATAAAAACATTCATCAATACAAACTCTCGATTAAAATCGATCGAAGAAATTGATATTTATGTCTTAAATGCAGAATGTGCTACTCTTAAATACGTCAGTCAAGGTGAGAAGCTACTGTTCTTCAAATAAAGAAATGTAAATACATTTGTCCACGTTATAATCATGAGCGGTGAAAAGAAAGGCGTGTTTTGCTAACAAATACTGTTTTTATGTTTAGAAAAAAGAAATTCTCTATACAATGATGTTTTTATATCTGTCTTGCGCTTAATTTTAGAACTTTTCGCACTATTTTTTGTGCACATCATTAATGGTGTTTCTACGTTATTTTGTTTCTCCGTTCGGCGAATCGATTTGTGCTTGCGAATTTTCAGTTATGATTTACGCAATCAGAATTAAACGGAAATCGTTATTCATGTAATTTCGCAATCGATGTATGCGTCACTGAAAAATATCTACCTTTCTACATATATCGTTAACATGTGAAGTATTTATTTGCGCAAATAAAACGATTAATTTACAAATGGCGGAACAAAGTTTTGACAAAACGAGAAAACGAAACCAACTGGATTGTAAAGATGCTACTGATGTTCATCACCTACCGCGCGATAAATATGCAGCAATTGCGGATGATACTTTGAAGAAATTCCAAGCTGGTTTAAGTAACACCCGCGGAAATCATCGGAATGTCAATTTACAACATGATCTTCGATTTTCCATTGAAAATACAATTGTCTATACAGAAGATGATTTAATAACAACGACTTTAATGAAATCTTCATCGTCACCAGTGTATGAGATTCGTCATTGCACAACTTTACAAGCAGCTGAATCATTGGCAAGTGAAATCGACGATGATAATCGCATCGGAATATTGAATTTTGCATCAGCAAAGAATCCTGGCGGTGGTTTTCTCAAAGGTTCAAATGCTCAAGAAGAATCGATAGCAAGATCATCATCTCTCTATCTCGCTCTGTCACAAGATCGAATCTTTCCTCAATTTTACGGTTATCACCGACGAGAAAAAAATGGACTCTATACTCATCGAATCATTTACTCACCTCGTATTACAATCATTAAGGTTTGATCAGAGAGAACTTCTTCTTATTTATTTATTCTTTTCTACTTAGGATGATAATGGTAAAATGTTATCTTCACCATATCATGTTGGAATAGTGACATGTGCAGCTCCCAATGCAAGTATTTGTCAAGATATTGAACTAACTCGACAAACAATGAAAGAACGAATCAGATGTCTACTGACTGTTTTCCAAATGCATCGTCATGATGTTGTGGTATTGGGCGCATTTGGTTGCGGCGTTTTTAAAAACGATCCGCGAGAAGTGGCACTGGCTTTTCGTGAACACTTGCAATCCGACGAATTTCGAAACGTTTTTAGTCGAATTATTTTTGCGATCTTCGATGCAGACATGCATCACGTATTTGAGGAAGTATTTGCCATTTCTCAATACCAAGGAAAATGATGATGAATAATAGCCAGCTGTGCACAGAGTATGCACTCTCAAAGGTTATGAACATCAAAAGAAAAAAACGCGCAACGATATCTAAATGTGTTTTCTTCAAAGCCACAATTCTTCTAGTATCTTGAAAATTCGGGCAGCAATTTCTAAGTAATACTTGAAATTTTCATCGATCTAATTGAAAATATGTTAGCGTCTAAGTTGGTTCTGCTTTTAATAACGGAGAAAAAACTTCTATTGTATGCGCATCTCAAACGAATAAAATTACTTGGACATCTAAAAAGATTTTAAAAAATCAACCGTTAGCTAAAAATAAACGGCAAACCAGGTGTTCAGCAATCGTTTCATTCTTTTTAGAAAACTAATTTTACGACAGTTGGAATTTATTCATTATGAGACACATCATTGTACCGCTTTCATCGATTCTCATTGCATACACTAGTCACGTCGCAAAATTCGAGAACTCTACTATTAATTAAGCAGAACGATGTTCGATATCAATGCACTGATTCAAGCTGTTTATCGTCTACCATTTTCTTTTCATTCGGTTTGAGACGCTGTGAAATGGCCTGTCTACAGAATATGAACTGTCGTACACTCAATTACGATCAATCTACTTATCAGTGTGAGATGTATGATGACATTTCAAGTGAATTTGGCAGTATTATACCACAAACAGGTATGGTAACTTTAGTGGCTGCCGATGATCGACAATTATCGGTACGTAAGTACTTTTAATTTCATCAACATTCATCATCTTAGATCTTCAAATCATCGTACTACGAAGATTTCGAGTCCAAATCTAACTACCATCTTTTATATAGGTGATTTTATCGGAGAAAGTCGTTTAGTTCGAGACATGTAATTATTCTTGTGATTGTTTTAGGTATGAAGACTCAGACAACAACATCAGTTCCACAATGCAATACAACAGCACGCCGTATGCAAATTCAAAGTTATATTGCACAGAACTGGACGTACGATACAATAAACTTCCATCAATGCGATGGCTGTTCTCGAGTGAATTTTTCGAACTTCCTTCCAGATTAGTTAAACAGATGGTCTGTTATGAACTTTTATATTTACAGCTCGAGCAGTACAGATTGCACCGGAAATCCATACACCGGCAATTTTAAATTTTGTCAAAAAGCGTGCTTGAAAGATATTACATGCGTCGGCTTTACTAGAGCTAAAAGCGCTTCAGATAGCAACTCCAATGCCGCATGTTATTTGAAAAAGAACATTACGGGGGCTGGTGTTTACAATAGTGCCACATAGCAGACAATCGTTTTCAACAGTACGATTTAGATCACTCGACGAACGATCATCATAATGAAACTATAAAAGATTTTGTTACTTCTCTATCTGCTTCTCACGTTAGTATTTTTCATGTTACATGTATATATGATGCAGTGTATATTCTCTACTAATTAAATATATGTTCTATTCATATCTTTAAAGTGCACATTGTTTTGCACGTAGTTATAGGACTTGTATGCAGTAGAAAGAAAGAAAAGAAGTTGAAAGTATTCTTTTCATACAATTATATATATAGTCACATGTTCGAAAGCGCTTGTATTCAATAAACCAAACTCAATTCGACTAAGTTTCTATTACTGAAAAAAATAAATAAACAATATGTAAGATTTGAAACCTCAAAAAAATCGAGTCTTATGTAGTTTCGATTGTTAAATAATCATTGTGTATTCTGGATTCAAGAGAAAAAAAAGAATCCTAAGGACATAACAGCACATCAGTTCTGTCTCGACTGCTGATTTAGCAGCAGTGTGATCGGTCTGTAGAGTAATGTTGAAAGCAACATCTGTCAAACGATGTGATCAGTCATCTCATCGTCGGACAAACATTCGAAAAAAGGTAATCTAGTAGTGAATGTCATAGTTCTATTATATATGTGCACTATTTGTTTCGAAGATGTCAGTCAATGTAATCCATGTCAATGCCATTTCCAATAGGTATGTACCTTCAGCGGTACAACAGAGTGATGCTAAAAATCATGTAGAGTAATTGATAGAATTTGTTGAAGAAATAGTATGATACTTTCTATTTAGGAAAGAAAAAGCGACTATACTATCGAAAATCTGACTACATCATCATCTGTAGTGAACGGTGATGATATAACAATTCATTCATCTCTTTCGTGCCAGCCAGCGAACAAAATCGAAAAACACCAGTTATTCGAACAAAGAGGAATTATGTCGCGTTCAAAAACGTTAACGCCAAGAGACGATGATCACGATACTCACTTATCGAAAGTAAGCTCCATCTTATTATAGGTATTATTATTACTATCATTATATGTTGTTGTGAAGAAATTGAAACCCGATGTATCGTTTGATTCAGTTAGCAATATCACGCGGTGGTCTAATTCGTCAAAAGTGTTTCTAATTCCTCGACAAATGTACGAAAAAGATAGGCAAGAACCAAAGAAAAAACAAGATCGTCGCCGCCGCCGCCGATGCTGTGGATTATATCCTATCTGTTGTACTCCTTGTTGTTGTTGCGTTGGGTCTATTCTAGCACTTCTATTGCTTCTTATCGGTCTAACTGCTCTGCTTGTCGCTCTTCTAACAAATAAAGGACTTGTCATGAAAATTACCAGTATAGAACTTTGAAAGTCAAATGATAATTCCGTTTCATTCATCCATTTCTAGCCACAACGACAACCAGTACTTCTTCCACATCAACTAGCAGTAGTTCAACATCGTCTAGTAGCAGCACTTCTTCTACATCGACCAGTAGTAGTTCGACATCATCAAGTAGCAGCACTTCTTCTACATCGACCAGTAGTAGTTCAACATCATCAAGTAGCAGTACTTCATCAACGTCTGAGACAACCACCTGTGAGTCTTTCTAATTTCCTAGCAATAATCTTGTTTTCTCTTTTTTTCAAGCAACAACGACTGAAACAACGACAACTTCAACATCAACGACCAGTACAACTACCTCTTGTGGGTCTAGGAAAGCAAATTTTCTCAAGCTAATCACACGAAAGGATTATTTGGATCTCTTTAGCGACCACTCCTACACCTCCGTGTCCACCGGTTTCTGTTGGCTCTTCGAGCACTCTTCATAGTGCAACAACTGGTCCCACCACTTACACTTGTCAGGCTTTTCAATGGACAGCGCCCAGCACCGGTCCGGTTACACTCGCGTATGAACTACGCAATGATCCTTCATCTTGGTACATTGATGATGTGTCTGTGTATCACGGAGGTACTCAAATGATACTCAATGGAGACTTTGAAACAGGTACCTTCGCTCCTGGCTGGCAAAGAACTCAAGCAACGAATAGTTCTTGTGGTATCTTTCCCGGTCAGATAAGCAATGTAATGCCTCGCGCAGGCACTTATAGTATTCGAGATGGAAGTCTGGCATGCAAGGATAAAATTAGTCAAACATTTATGGCTACAGCTGGTGACATTTATATTGTCAGTTATTGGTATAAGACGAATGCATTGGGTTCAGGTCAATCGATCCTTGTTACACTTTCATGATTACCGCTGAATATGAAGATAACATTATACCGTACCTTTACTATCTTTTCACTTGATTTGATATATTTTAGACTCTAATTTAGTAATAAATCTCTTAAGTATGTGATTCAAGGAGAATGCTCTCACTCGTCAAAATGTTCATTTGTTAGGAATGCTTTCGCTTGCTTCAAAATTATCTGATTTGCTTTCGTCTACTTGAAGAGCATACATTTTCTATGTTCTTTCTTTTTATGTGCTTACATTTCTCGCACAACAAACAAATAATGAACTAATTAAGAAAACGGCATCTTTCTATTCTTCTAACAAAGATTCACGTATTGATTTTGAATTAGTAAATAGGAGGCTATACTGGAAAACCCATCAGATATTTTCTGTTCACAAGAAAATAGTGAGAAAGAATACTATTTAACTATATGTATTGGTGCGTTGATTGAAAATGTCGGTTTCCATAACGAATATAGAATGGCAAACGTCTCTCCCAGTAACTAACATCTCTCTAGGTTTTAGGAAGAACGAAATTGTGTTGTTGAAAAGATGTAGCAATTCAAGCAGCATCTAAACCTTGTGAGGATCTGTACTACATGAATTATTCAGAGAAGAATGTAGCAAGTGCCAATGAGTTTGTTCACAAAAAAATGTTGTATCAGATGAAGCTAAGAAAATATTGGTTGAACAAATCAATAATCGAATACAGCCTAAATTCGATGTTAAAACAGCTGATCTTAGTTCTTTTGCAAGTAAAGCCAATAAAAAACAGTCGAAGAAATCGTCAATTAAGCCGAAGATGATTTTGATAAAAAATCCAAAGCAATAACCAACAAGCAAGAAAGTAAACGCACCATACTTCCTCAATGACTGTTATATTAATTTAGAAAGATATATTCCACTCTGAATTGCATTCGGGTTCAAATCATCTCTTGTTCACCAGTCTGTTTCCATTGAAGAAAATTCATCATATGACATCGAAAAGTACCTTTTTCTTATTTCTGCCGGTTAATAATATCAATATCACTTTGACGAGTGTTTGTTACCAGTTTAGATGAATTTTCCTTCATTTACAACCAACGGAATGAGAAGTAAATGAAACTTTTGAAGATATCCAGAAGTTTCATCACTTTTGTCGAATATCAAAATGGCGAGTTATCTTCATTTAAGTTAATATTCATTGAATAACTCCAATTGCATTGCATGAAATATTACTGTGACAAAATTTTCAAGAAAATATTTCTATTCGTTATTACTTCATTTTCGCGTCTGCTTCTTATCCTGTTCTTTGTCTTTCTTTTACACGCATCTGCCAACCATTGGCTATGATTCATCATCAGTTATTGATCGAGTATATACGGGGGAATGATGTTACATATGAGATGCGACTCAACCGTTAAAGAGAGTGTGTTTACAATACCTATATCACTAGCGCATAGAAATATGTTCCATATTTAGAGAACACAATAGTTAATATTCACAAACCAAAAACATCTGATGGTAAAGAAAATATCGCTGTTGTTTTAAATGGATGCAGAGTGGGATTTTGCGTGGGATGGTGTGACACCAAATCTTTTGATCTTACGGGAAGGAGTGGGAGTGTCTGAAAAAACCATCGTCTCACCCCATCAACACGCGGAGTTCTGATGCAGAGAATAGATATTACCCTTTCATCTCGTATTTACAAGATAAAGTATTATTGCAATTTTATACAGATGCTAATCCTCATTCATTACTTCTGCAATCCGATACTATACCGTATGTGATATGAAGCTTATTTTGTTTTCTTTTTATTAACAAAGAAATCGATGAGATATAGGGCACACGTTTTCCATATTTTAGATTGAAAATTTGATTATTACTTTTAAATGATTTTGATCATTATCTCGTTGCTATTGGGTAGCATTTTGGAAGCTAATAGTCTTCCAAACCAAAGAGCTATTTCATGTTCATGGATCGGCCATTGTGCAGGCGATCCATGTTATACATACAATGATTGTGATGGATCGTTAGTTTGTGTGAATGGAAAATGTGGTGATAGCAATACACCAGTTGAAATATGTTCATGGGCCGGGCATTGTGCAGGAGATCCATGTTATACATACGATGACTGTGATGGATCGTTAATTTGTATGAATGGAAGATGTGGTAATGGTAACAACGCCGGTAGTGATGGTGTAACGGATAATACATGTAGATCATCGGGTTCTCTTTATGGCGTCGCGTAAATACTCCGATTTATTAATTTTTCTCGATACTATTTTGCGTGCTTTTCTAGTTCAGCTTGTGTTACTGATAATATGTCATCATGCTGCAAAGTCGGTGTTGCTTATCCACAATATAAGTGTTCACCTTCATCAAAGTCATCAGCAATTTTGACATTGAATAGTTTTCAAGAAGGTGGTGACGGTGGCGGCGCTGGCGCATGCTTCGGTTTATTCTATCCTGACTCTCAACAAGTTGTTGCTTTATCGACTGGATGGTTTAATAAAGGAAGTCGATGCGGAAAAATGATTACTATTCATGCAAACGGTAGAAGAACAAAGGCTATGGTAGTAGATGAATGTGACTCAATACATGGTTGTGATAAAATGCACGCTGGTCAACCACCATGTCGTAACAATATTGTCGACGGATCACCAGCTGTATGGGCTGCGCTTGGTATATCAAAAAATGATCCACGATATGGACAGATTAGTATTTCATGGGAAGATTAATTTGAACATTTGATTAATATTGATTTAAAAGAAAAGTATCTTTTAAGAAAATAAATATTCTTTAACCGTTAGTCTATCATTATCTGAAGATGCCGCGCTATGACTAGTTCATTGGAGTATATAACTGTGTCACAGTCATTTTTAAATGACTGTATGTTTTGTGACTAGGCGATAGATATTTGATCGATGGCTAACCGTGTCTATGTCATTATGTTGACTCGTTTTTCACTGTGATGCTTCATTTGTCAATGGAAAGGAAATCGTTATCGATGACAACAGCATTCATCGATTTATTTTAAAATAAAAAAAACGTTAGTGGAGAAAAAGTCAAAGCAACATTGGAAACTTTTACTGAGAACTTACGAAAATCTCCGCGTCGGATGACAGAACCAAAAAAAAGAAAAAACATAGACCTTATGCTTAATTATTTCATATTTGGTCATAAATTTTCTATACAAAATCGCGCTTTGCACGGAATAATTCGAGAAAGAGAAGAATGTCTGAAAAGAAGGAAAGAAAAAAATGCGTCGGGCAAATAAAGACATGACCTTAACATACAACTGTGAGAGCTAGAGAGAGAAAGAAAAAAAAAGATATGCGTCTTCTCAGAGGAAAGAAAAAGAGAAAAAGCCGATTGCATCTTTCTTTCTTGCTTGTCATGTGTTGTGCATAAGATTATATTCCATCGATCCAACTTTCTGATTCGAATAGACATCTCATGGCTAGTGCAGAATATTCCAGTGTTGTTCAGCCGTTATTAACAGATTTATATCAAATATCTATGGCGTATGCTTATTGGAAAAATAACAAACATCAGGATCAATCAGCATTCGATCTTTATTTTCGGAAAAATCGTATGTAAAATGTGAGACATTCAGTTGCTCGATTTCGAAAAGTTCATTCTAGCATTTGACGGCGAATTCACGTTATTTGCTGGCTTGGAAGAATGCTTGAAATTTGTACGTGATTATCGATTTCAACAGAGCGATATTGATTATCTTCGTACAGTCCTACCGAGTTATGTTGAGAATGAATTTTATGAATATTTAATTCAACTCGACATGAAAGATATGAAAATCTATTCAATTCCTGAAGGTAAAACTCGTTTGCCTTTCGTTTTACTCGACGACACCTTGAAATTTTATAGGTTCTGTTGTTTTTCCTCGTATTCCATTACTTCGTATTGAAGGACCGATAATCAAAGCACAATTACTCGAGACAACACTCTTGGCGTTGGTTAACTTTGCAAGTTTAGTAGCAACGAATGCTGCACGATTTCGTGCAACAACAGGATCTGATAAAACATTTCACGAATTCGGTCTTCGACGTGCACAAGGTCCTGATGGTGCTCTGAGTGCTTCGAAATATTGTTATCTCGGCGGATTTGATGGAACATCGAATGTACTTGCAGGGAAACTTTTTGGAATTCCAGTGAAAGGTGAAAATTGTCCAAAGACCATTCTGTTTTTGACGAATCAGTTTCTTGTTTATAGGAACTCATGCACATGCCTATGTCAGTTCGTATAAGACAATGGATGACTTAAAACTTCGTGAACTTCGTGATCAAACAACAGGCGAAGTTCGACCATTTGCACAAATGTGTGTTGATTATTTGGAAAAGCTGGTGCCAATCCTGGGATTTATTCTCGACGAAGCCAATAGTGGCGAACTAGCTGCATTCATCTCCTATGCCATTGCTTTTCCAACGGGGTTTCTAGGTTTAGTTGATACTTACGATGTTCTAAAATCAGGTGTACCAAATTTTCTTGCTGTCGCTCTCGCTCTGCACGAATGTCATTATCAAGCCATTGGTCTTCGATTAGATTCGGGTGATTTAGCTTATTTGTCCTTAGAAGTCCGAGATCGCTTCACTCGTACTTCGGTAGCGTTCAATATACCCACTATCAAAACGTTAACTATTGTGGCAAGTAACGACATCAATGAGAATATTTTAATGTCATTGGAAAAGCAACAACATGCAATTGATACATTTGGCATTGGCACACACTTAGTTACTTGTCAAAAGCAGCCAGCTTTAGGTTGCGTTTATAAATTAGTTGAGGTAGATTTCCGAGAAAAAAAACATTGAATCAATGAATTTTCGATCGTTTCTAGTTAAATGGTTCGCCACGTATCAAACTTAGTCAAGATATATCAAAAGTGACTATACCTGGCCGAAAGAATCTCTTTCGTTTATATGGTCAAGATGGAAAGGCCTTATGCGACTTGATGACAAAAATGGATGAAGAAGAGCCAAAAGCTCGAACACGAATCCTATGTCGACATCCATTTCTCGAGAAAAAACGTGCGTACGTCACACCCTCGTCGGTGCATGCCATGTATAATTTATATTGGACTGACGGAGAAATCCGGCATCCACTGCCGACATGGGAAGAAGCACGTAAATTTGCTCAAGAACAAATTCAATCATTACGGAAAGATCACATTCGAAATTTGAATCCAACACCGTATAAAGTTTCAGTAACAGATGAACTATATTCATTTATGCATCAACTTTGGATTGAAAGTGTGCCTATTGGCGAACTTTCTTGAATTCTTTTCTACTCTCCTAACATTAAAAAAAAACACCATTAGAAATGTTGCTTTTTTAAGTAACCACAAAAAATACCGTTGCTATGCCGTAGCGTATACAAAAACGGAAGAATTATGTTGGTGTCTAAGAAAAGCACTTATTTCATATTATTTTCTAAATTTACTATATTTTCTCGTCGCTTGTGTCGTTTTTCTTTCATTCACACGTCTTCTTTTTTCTCAAGTTATGGGTCTATCATGGGGTGGATACATCGCGTTTTATTACTTAACTCATGTTCTTTTGTATCCTGTTATATACGTTTTTCTGGTAATGACAATACCACGTCATTTAATGTTATGGATTGGCGAAACAATCTTTTCATGGAAGGATGTTCGACGTCGGCAAAACAAGCACAAACCGCAGACAGGTGAAAGTACAGAAATGAACGTAAATGTGGCTACAAACACGACCGTGAGAACTAACATCACTTTGACGATAAATTTAACCGAACAAACCGATATGACTATACAAAATACAAACAGCGACGATACAGAGTGTATATGCGAAGTATTTTGGAATTTCTTCAAGAGCCTATGCAAAAAAGTATGGTTTTGTAAGTCTTGTCCAAGCTCGAGATGCGTTGACTGTTGCGAATGGATTTGTGAAAAGCATAATTTAGTAGACGACGACAATTTTAGCAAACATTTCGAACGGCAACATGCTCGAACACCTTTCAATTGCTGCGGTGCCATTAGTTCGTACATGAAAGATTCAGCGAGTATATACATGGTATTATGTTTGTCGATTTGGTGTGCAGCAATTGCTTTCTTCGAAGGAATTGTAATGGGCTATGCACCTGTTGGGAAAGACGGCGATTGCCCAATACCGAAAAAAGGAACATACGACATCACTATGGATTGCTTTGTCTATAAGAATAAGTTTGATTCGGTTCCTATAAGCACAACATTATCGATTCCTTGCAATCACACATTTCCAGTTCAGTACAATGGCGAATGGTCATGGGCAGCGTGCTACGCTTGGATCTCTCCAAATGTGGAAGTAGTCGATGCTATAGATGCACTCGGAACCTGTACCGGTATAACAGCATTTATTGGCACAGCAGCCATAATAATCAACTTTTTATGCAGATATCATCTATGGCGCTTCATCTTTGAAATTGTAGTAGTACTCTCTCTCCTAGCCATTCCAGTGTTGATAAAATATAACGGTCATGTACCGTTTCTGACATACACATTATTTGCAGCATTGATTGGCAACATTATGACTGTAGAATATCATCATGAATTCGTTCCCTTACTCACAATTTGTTGCATTGCAAAGTGCTGTTTCTGTCGCATGAGAACAATTTGTCGCAAGTGGAAAATATACCCGGCTAATTAATCTCAACAAATATTCGATTTATCTTTATTAGTTTGGAAATTTTACATAATAAATTATGTGTTGTTCAATTGTTCACTGATCATCGTTTGGAGCATAAATGAGGATGTTTGTTGCATTATCTAGAACATTAGATGTTAGAACGGGGATCAATTTTGCTGTATAAGGAACTGGCTGACCTGGCGCAGTAAGACTTGCAGGAAGTGTACGAGCTAGGTGAACGCGTTCACGCTCCAATTTCCAATAAAAGATCCAGAATTGCAATCGTAACGCCGAGCGAACAGCCAGCGATNGTAATGAATATGAATAGAACAACGATGATTACTTCCATTTCCATTGAAGATAATTCAAAATCGCCTATGAAATGAGACGAGAATGAAGATTTCATGGTTTTTCACTTTTTCGACAATCACGTCGATACGAGTGAAATTCTTTCTTCTCTTTATATCGATTTCATCTTTTATGATCCATTAACACCGTCCGACACATCATTCAAGCGCGATCATATAAGTATAACATGATGAATTTAGTAAATACTTCAGATAAAGAATTCAGCTTTCATTATTTGATAATCGTTTTTTCAATCGAACTTCTGATCAAATCTTACCCACAGGAGAATCTTGTAAAGAATCACTGGAAAAAAGCAACATTTCACTGCATTTTGTTTTCAAGATTTCTTCAGAATGTGAATGAACAGGAAGTATCATATTTATTTTACACGCTGATTCACCCACTGATTCTTATTTTTTTTTAGTCTCTTGAAACGTTTTTCTTTTCGGAATTTATAAACCCAGCCATGAAAACAGTATAAGACCGAGAAGTGTTGCCAGTTGTTGAAAATTGATATATGTGGGTGGGTTGAAGGATGAAGGATATATAATCTTATTCAGGTAAAATTGCTGATTCATCGATTCTCTAGCTTTCGTGCGTAAATAATTTGACTCTTCACATAGCAACGCACGTTTATTGGATGAAAACCCACGTGTTAATTTGAAAATATTTCGAAGTAAATATTTAAGTATAAAAACATGCCCCAAGGCTTATCTATATTCAGCGTTGCTTCATTTGTTTTTTAGTTGAAAATACTAAACAAGATGAAGGTTATTCTTAAAACGGTGGGTAACATTCAGATACCATTTCAAGTCGAACCGTCGGACACATTTGATACCTTCAAGGAGCAAATCTACCACACAACGGGCGTCCTACCTGATTGTCAAAAGCTTATATACGCGGGACACGTATGTACCTTATTCGATACATTTGCTGACAAAAATATCCAAGATGAAGATCAGATTAATTGGATATATGCAACAAGAAACTTTTTAAATTTATCAACACATGACTCGAGTAAGTGTACATTCGAAAATAGATCAAAATATATCCTCGTTTTTCAAAAGTTAATGAGCAAATTCATATAAAGTTCCATTTAGGAAAGATTTCACCGGATCGATTTCTAGTTGGTGAAGATCCAGATCACATGATTATTTGGCTCGATCGAAAAATTGATAAGCAACAACACTACGATAATTTGATAAACGCTTTCTCGCTCATAGCATTAATTATCAGTCAGAACCAGCCAGAACAAACTCCGAGACGGTCCGAGAAAGCCTTTTATACAAACTACAGTTTATCTGCGACTGTTGCTACTGTATCATGGACCTTGGAAGTGTTCTCAAGCATTACGGACTGTCTGAGATGCTTCGATGAAAACAGAAACAAATGCATCTTTTTCATTACATCGAATACAATGGCAAGAGTAGCTGTACCATTGATTCTCGAACACTTCCAAGAGATGTTCACCGATCCATTGTCATATGGATTTCATCTATCAATATATGTGTTTCGTGAGAATACTGGAGAGCAATTGGACTGGGCATTTGAATATATAAAAAATATACAAATATTTGATTTCAATGAAGATCTATTTGTTCGTTTGATACGTGATATTGCTGATTATCATGTTGCTGTTGGTAAGCACATCCTGGGCAGTTCTCCATCACATCGTTCAGCTATTCGTCGTCGACTCTATTGGGCGCGAGAGCTATATGAACGATATCGTGATCTGGAAAATGTGTCTCTGAAGAAAGAATTCGAAGGAATCGATGCACTTCTTGAAAAGGAACAAACAATGAAGGACATACAAGCAAGTCCACCAAAAACAAATCTGAAGCGGAAAATAGCAGATGTGCAATCAGTTAATAATAATTAAAGGCTTTGGATTTGAAAAACAATCAACGTTTAGCACTTTTTTGTGTTTTGCAGTATTTTCTCTTCTCACTTGATTGACAAGCATCGACTTCCGTTTCGTATGGCAATAGCTATGAGATTGTCCATTTCATCAATATAGTCCTGATTGACTTGAGTATTGAATTTTAAGATAGTCTTGGCTTTTGTAAAATAATCGATCGCCTCTCGCCATTTTTGCAGATTGTAATAAAGTCTGCCGGTATTCTCGAAAGATAACAGAAGTTCAGATTGTTCTCCGTATGAAATTCTTTGCTGTTTATTTAATGCTGTTAATTGGTAAGTCAATGCATCGTCAAACATGTTGCATTCCCAGTACGAACGGCTAATATCGATCAAACAGTAAACGATTAACAATTCAGTGGAATTCAATGATTGTTCGAAGATAACTAAAGCTTGTTTATAGTATTCGATTCTTTTTGTTCCGTTGGGTGTGAGGTCACCCAGGTTTTTCAGAATATTGGCTGCAAGTAGATTATCTTGATATTTTGCTAACAACTTTTCACAAAACTCTACAGCATTGTGATCTTCGCCTTTTTTTCTGTAAATGTCAATGATTCGATTTGAGTCGTCCGTTAGATTTGGATGGTTCGCTGGTAGAATGTTTTCATCGATTGCAAATGCACGACAGTAAAAGTCCAGCGCTTGATCATAATTTTTCAAATCTTCATGAATCAAACCAATATTTCCTAAACATGATGCGATATCCGGATGCTGTGATGGAAGTAATCTTTGATATATCTTCAACGCTTGATTCAAATATTCCAGTGAAATTTGATATTCTTTTCTTTCACGATAAATCAAGCCGAGACCGTTGATTGCTATTGCGGTTAATTGATGATCCTTGAGCGAACTATTCTCGAAAATTCTCAGCGCTCTCTCCACATAAAACAGTGCTCTGTCATAACGCCTTTGAAGGTTAAAAACGAAACCAATGTTCATCAACGTTGCACCAACTGCTGAATAGTTTCCGTGTGAATTTCTTCGACGTAGCAGATACGCGCGTACAAAGCATTCCAGCGCTAAGTTTAGTTGCCGCTTGCCATAGAACACATTGCCCAAATTATTACACGCTGATGCAAAATCTTCATGATCACGTGGTAAAGTTTTCAACAGCATGCGAAAATACCGTTCACCTTTATCTAACTGTCCTAATTCCAGGAATAGTAAACGCCCGAAGAGAATCGTTGGAGAATAATCATTCATTTGTTGATGTTTGGCATTTAAATACTCTTGAATACTTATTGATCTCTCGTCGGTTGCTGTCATCTGAATTTTGCAACTATAGAGTGGTGAATCGTAGATGATATTGTCGATCTTGAACACCGATCCTAAACTGAACAGAACTTCTTTTTCACCTTCCACAAGACTAAACTGATCAATATTAGCGAAAACAACCGTTTGAAGATAAGGATCGACTCGGATTTCGAATAAAACGGTTTTCAAGTCATCGGAATAGCTTTCGAGAAATTTTAAAGCCACGTCAAGTTCTTTTGTCGTGGAAAAGAATCCATTTGTTGAAATCATGCTACCAGCACTGCATGTTAACTTGTTGCATTCTTCAGCTGACATTCTCTGTGCACGATACAATGTCAATGTCCCATTGGTTTCCGTTTTCGATCGTTTCCATTCATGTTCAAGTTGTGTACATAAGTCAAGGATGTAAAACCGAAATAGGTAAATAATTTCTGGATTTTCGGTTCTCAAGGCTTTGTTAACTAATCGATAAACGAAGGAATCACGCGTGTACCATTCGATTGCTTTATGCGGCGCATAAGTCAACTCGAATTGCTCGATTTTTCGACGTTCGATTTGGTTTAACGCATAATATTCTCGACATTTGTTTAGCATATCTTGTTTGGATCGATCCGTCTGAGGTATTTTCCTCAGAATATCAATCAAAAGTTGAAACCACGTGAAAGAGCCGAAATCTTTCGAGACATCATGCGTGGATCTTTGTTTTTGTTCATCGAATAAACTGAAAGTCATCGCTTGTTTTCGTATAAAATACATCGTTTTCTGTACGGAGCGCATTAACGAATCTTGATCGATAAATATGTCAGTAATTTTCGAATATCTTTTCAACATCGGAACATACTTTTTGCGATCCGAGCAGAAAATAAATATCGCAATGATTGTTTTCAGTGAGTGAATCTGTGGAAGGGCAACTTCTGATAATATACCGGACACAATCAGGAATATTCCTTCTTTACTGATTTCCCGTATATAGTCCATACAAAGCGCAGGGTCTGTGTAAGCCAGAACACTATTGCTCAAACTTTCTAATAAAGATTGTGTATCGTAATTATCGACAGTTTCATTGACATTTGAGTCCAACCAAATCAAAGTTATATCTTCAAGATTTTCTGCGACTTCACTAGCTCGACGATTGTGCCGTCTCCTTTGCTCATCACCATACATAGTTCTTCTCCGAATATTTGTAATTCGTGTGTACTGTTCTCCAATGGTTGGAGTGTGTCGAAATCTGTATAGGTTCTTCCTTCACTTTCGGCGATATATCGACAAGTTATTGTTTGATATAGAAAAAAGGAAATGGATTGAAACCTTTAATGTGAGAATCGATACTTGACAAAATCGATTAATTCACATTGAGAGGTAAAAATATTTGAATGTTGTATTGACATAGTAAATAGTCACTCCGAAATTGTATGCTTTATACGGTAGTTCTATGTATAAGAAAAGTATAAATGTCATTCGAATCATTACATTCTCTTCATACAGATCGGTAGAGTGTATCGCCGTTTCTTATATACTGAAGTGTAGAAGCGCCTCACAGTTCACGCAGACACGTCAGCCACTAGGAAAGCATGTAAAATAAAATTCTAGCGTACTATAAAACAATTCCGACAAAGTTTTCCGGCTAAGGATACACAATGAGAAAGAAGAGAAAAGAAAAGAAATACTATTGGTAGACATGTTTGTACTTCACACGCGTCTGTGACAATACTGTGAAGTTTTGAGGTAGAAGCGAGCAAAACGTACCTATCTGAGTGTAACCACATACACTGTAATACGAATCTTTGATATGAGCTTTGAAATTCATTTTTCATTATAGGAAATTTATGAGTATCCAGGAACATACATTTACTGCTAATCAAGATCTTTTATTATCTGAAATACGTCGATTATTTGTCGATTCGTTTTATGATTACTATCAACTCATTGAATCTGAACTCAATCGTCCCCAAGATGAACGACTAACGTCTTGGTTGGACAAGGTATTTGATCATGTTCAAAATGATCTGTTGACCAATCAATCACGTATATTTCTTATGCGTGATGAATCATTAACACTGATTGGGTTATTAATAGTGAAACAAGTATCGAAGCATGTAATCTATATTGCCCAATTAGCGATACATCCCTTATTCAAACGACAAGGCTATGGCAGTTTATTCATGAGTCATCTAAGAGCGACATTTGGGCCGACAGTCACTTATGAGGTGTTAACCCGACGAGTCAATAAGCCAGCAGTGGATTTTTACGCAAGATATGGCGCACAAGTGATCGATGATAAACAAATAGTTGTATATGGTTACGATCCCCAGGATTTCATTGGTTTTCGATTGACTCATGTTGATTAGATTTTTCTTGAATAAGGCCGAGAAAGCGATCATTTATTTTGATGACAAAATTTTAAAAAATAGAACGTATCATCGTCACCATGATAAGCAGTATTCTTTTTCAGCAATACGGCATGTTGTTGGTTTTTCAACATTCATTCTTTTATGTAATGTAATCCGTATAAAAAAAAACTTCTGTTAATTCTATCGTGATTGCTTTTTTATTAAACTTTTTTTGGGAGCTAATACCAATAGTGTCATGATGCTATTGATTTCTTAAACTATAAAAACACGCGATATCACCATGCAGCTTTGATTCAATTACAGCGCTTGCGAAACATGGGTAAAATGTCATATGCTACTTGCTCCATTCTTATTCTTTTTAGGTAAAAATAATATTTTCATTGTATACTGTATATTGTGCTTTTGAATTATTTTAGTTTATATTTTGCTCAAACTATTAATGGCCAAACATGTCAAGGTAAATCTCAGTACGATTCATGTTCATCAAACAGTGCATGCGGGTGTTTACCATTATCGATCTCGGATGATGTGTCTATTTGTGCTGTTCTTGGTGTAAGTTGTTCACGATTACAGACATGTCAATCGCCTGGTGATGCTTGCGAACGAGCTGATCACGTGTGCGTGCGACATCCAAGATGTAATTCGTTAACACCTGTTTGTTATCCACTAACGATGATTGATCAACGATTATGTCCACCGTCACCATCAACACCAAGTAAAAGACGTTTACTTCTATAGCCAAAAACTTTTATGCATCTTTCTCTAGCGCCTTCTTTCACAACAACACCAGGATTTCCATTATGGAACACAACAGCCCATCCATTCTATAACTCAACATCATACCCATACTATAACTCAACATCATACCCGTTCTGGAACACAACAGCCTATCCATTCTATAACTCAACGTCATACCCGTTCTACAATTCATCATCATATCCATTCTATAACTCAACATCATACCCGTTCTGGAACACAACGGCCTATCCATTCTACAATTCATCATCATACCCATTCTATAACTCAACTTCCTACCCATTTTACAACTCATCATCATACCCGTTCTGGAACACAACAGCCTATCCATTCTATAACTCAACGTCATACCCGTTTTACAACTCATCATCATACCCGTTCTGGAACACAACAGCTTATCCATTCTATAACTCAACGTCATACCCGTTCTACAATTCATCATCGTACCCATTCCATAACTCAACAGCCAACTCATTATACAATGGAACGGTGCCAACGTCAACAAATGGATATGCACCGGCCTCTGTCCATTCGTATTACACAAATGCATTAACAATTTACAGTGGCGTATATCCCGGAACAGTTAATAAATATTATCAGGCAATAAGCGTTGCTGTCAAAACACCAGGTCTATACACTTTTACCAGCATGAGTTACATGAATACCGCAGCTGTACTTTACAAAGATGGAATCAACTTTTATTATCCAACTTGGAACTTAGTTTCTTCGGTTAATACATTTGATAGTAATCAGCAATTTAAACTATCACACAAATTGGATGCTGGAACGACATATATATTAGTTGTTACAACGATCTATCATGGTCAAATGGGACCATTTACAGTCACTGCATCGGGTCCAGATTATGTTCAATTTTATTAATCGATTATTGATCAGAAAACACGATCTTGAAAAAACAGTTCTCCGTTCGATGAATTTTCTTTCGCTGAATACTGTTTACATCTTCTAATAAATATTGGGACTGAGCCATTGATATGTATCTGTTTTCATCCGGTAGAATCGTCTAAAATTTTCTATAAAAAATCTGTTTATGAGTGTTGCGTTGGCCTAAAACTAAAACCTTTACATATGTTTCCCTATTTCTCACGACAGTACACAGGACAAATAAAGACCTATATACCCTCACTTATTACTATTCTTCGATTCAGATTCTAATGAGAAATCATTGTCAACATGTTTTTTTTATTCTCAACGGAAATTGTTTCACAACGATACAGTTTTGAGCGGTAATAGCTCAATAGAAAACAATTTGATAATCGTCTTCTTTATCCTTGACGGTTTCCAGTAGCCATCCACAGCCGATAGTATTCATTCTTTAGCGTCAGAAGATTTTCGTGCGTATCTTGCTCGGAAATATGGCCTCGATTAAATACAAAGATTTGATCACAGTTTTGGATAGTTGTTAGACGATGAGCTATAGTCAGCGATGTTTGATTAGAAACAGATCTTTGAACATTGTCTAGTGCTTGTTGAACAAGCTACAAAGTGAAATAAACGACATTATAGTAGTTATTTTGAAGTCTCTTGCTTTCTCCGAGATATTATCGAGAGCGGCAGTAGATTCATCAGATAGAAATAAAATTGGTTGACGAAGAAGAGCTCGCGCAATTGCAACACGCTGCCGTTCACCTCCACTCAATTGCGAACCTCTTGAACCGCATATTGTTTGATAGCCCTACACAAAAAAAGTAAAGAGCATCCGTTGATGAAAACACAAGGAATTCACCTCGGGCATATTGATAATAGCATCATGAATATTTGCAAGTTTCGAAACATGATAGATCTCTTCGTCCGTTACTGGTCTTCCCAATCGACCATAAGCGATATTTTCTCGGATACTTAGATTGAAAAGAATGGGCTCTTGTTGAACGATACCGATAATCGATCGTAACCATTGAACATTGAAATCGCGTAAGTCACGACCATCGAGAAGGATGGTACCTTTTTGAGGATCATAAAATCGAAGGAGAAGACTGAAAACAGTCGATTTTCTATACAAATATAGTATACACATATGAGAATGTCTTTCATTCGATGGACATACCCATAACCTGATTTTCCGACGAATGCGTTCGATGTATGCGGAGAACATGTGAACGAACAATTCCGTAGTACAAATTTTTTCTCACGCATCGGATACGAGAAATAAACATTTTTGAATTCGATTTCGCCGATGATCTGATCAGCTGACTATTGAATTACAACAAACAAAAACAGAGATTCTTCTTGAAGNGGCGGCGGTTTTCTCAAAGGTTCAAATGCTCAAGAAGAATCGATAGCAAGATCATCATCTCTCTATCTCGCTCTGTCACAAGATCGAATCTTTCCTCAATTTTACGGTTATCACCGACGAGAAAAAAATGGTCTCTATACTCATCGAATCATTTACTCACCTCGTGTTACAATTATTAAGGTTTGATCATAGAAAGAACTTCTTTTTATTTATTTATTCTTTTCTACTTAGGATGATAATGGTAAAATGTTATCTTCACCATATCATGTTGGAATAGTGACATGTGCAGCTTCCAATGCAAGTATTTGTCAAGATATGGAACTAACTCGACAAACAATGAAAGAACGAATCAGATGTCTATTGACTGTTTTCCAAATGCATCGTCATGATGTTGTGGTATTGGGCGCATTTGGTTGCGGTGTCTTTAAAAACGATCCGCGAGAAGTGGCAATAGCTTTTCGTGAACACTTGGAATCCGAAGAATTTCGAAACGTTTTTAGTCGAATTATTTTTGCGATCTTCGATGCAGACATGCATCACGTATTTGAGGAAGTATTCGCCATCTCTCAATACCAAGAAAAATGATGATGAATAAAAGCCTGCTGTGCAAAGAGTATGCATTCTCACAAGTTATGAACATCAAAAGAAAAAAAAACGCGCAACGATATCTAAACGTTTTCTTCAAAGTCACAATTCTTGTAGTACCTTCAAAATTCGGGCAGCAATTTCTAAGTAATACTTGAAATTTTCATCGATCTAATTGAAAATGTATTAGCGTCTAAGTTGGTTCTGCGTTTAATAACAGAGAAAAAACTTCTATTGTATGCGCAGCTCAAAACGAATAAAATTACTTGCACGTCTAAAAAGATTTTAAAAAATCAACCGTTAGTTAAAAATAAACGGCAAACCAGATGTTCAGCAATCGTTTTATTTTGCAATTAGGCATATAGCTATCGTTTCATTCTTTTTAGAAAACTACTTTTACGACAGTTGAAATTTATTCATTATGAGACACATCATTGTACCGCTTTCATCGATTCTCATTGCACTAGTCGCGTCGCAAAATTCGAGAATTCTACTATTAATTAAGCAGAACGATGTTCAATATCAGTGCACTGATTCAAGTTGTTTATCGCCTACCATTTTCTTTTCATTCAGTTTGAGACGTTGTGAAATGGTCTGTCTACAGAATATGAACTGTCGTACACTCAATTACGATCAATCTACTTATTAGTGTGAGATGTATGATGACATTTCAAGTCAATTTGGCAATATCATATCACAAACAGGTATGGTAACTTTAGTGGCTGTCGATGATCGACAATTATCGGCACGTAAGTCCTTTTAATTTCATCAAAATTCGAGACACGTAATTATTCTTGTGATTGTTTTAGGTATGAAGACTCAGACAACAACATACACGTAAGTCTTTCAAGAAGCATACGATTTTTCTGACGCGTTTTTCTGAACAATTCGAGCAGAAACATTGTTGTTTCTGCTGAAACGCAGTTTATACGTGAAATACACCTTTTTCGAAGTATTTCTTGGGACTAATATGAAAATCAACTCAATGTTGTCGTTTTTTTTCTATTTCACATGATAACCGTCGTACAAATGTATATATTCAGCACGACAACATCTTCAACAACAACAACAGTTCCGCAATGCAATATAACAGCATGTCGTATGCAAATTCAAAGTTATATTGCACTGAACTGGACGTACGATACAATAAACTTCCATCAATGTGATGGCTGTTCTCGAGCAAATTTTTCGGACTTTCCTCCAGATTGGCCAAACAGATGGTCTATTATGAACTTTCATTTTTACCGTACGAGCGATGCAGATTGCACCGGAAATCCATACATCGGCAATCTTAAATTTTGTCAAAAAACGTGCTTGAAAGATATTACATGCGTCGGCTTTACCAGAGCTAAAAGCGCTCCAGATAGCAACTCCAATGCCGCATGTTATTTGAAAAAGAACATTACGGGGGCTGGTGTTTACAATAGTGCCGCATGGCAAACAATCGTTTTAAACAGTACGATTTAGATCACTCGACGAACGATCATCATAAAGAAACTATAAAAGATTTTATTACTTCTCTATCTGCTTCTCACGTTAGTATTTTTCATTTTTCATGTTACATGTATATGGGATACAGTGTATTTACTAATCGAATATGTGTTCTATTCATACCTTTAAAATGCACATTGTTTTGTACGTAGTTATACGACTTGTATGCAATAGAAAGAAAGAAGTTGAAAGTAATCTTTTCATACAATTATATATAGGCACATGTTCGAAAGCGCTTGTATTCAATAAACCAAACTCAATTCATCTAAGTTTCTATTACTGAAAAAAAATAAATAAACAATATGTAAGATTTGAAACCTCAAAAAAATCGAATCTTATGTGGTTTCGATTATTAAATAATCATTGTGTGTTCTGGATTCAAGAAAAAAAAAAGAATTTTAAGGACATAACAGCACATCAGTTCTGTTTCGACTGCTGATTTGGCAGCAGTGTGATGATAGGTCTGTAGAACAATGTTGAAAGTAACATCTGTCAAACGATGTGATCAGTCATCTTATCGTCGAAAAAACATTCGACAAAAGGTAACCTAGTAGTGAATGCCATAGTTCTATTATATATGTGTAATATTTTTTTCGAAGATGTCAGTCAATGTCATCCATGTCAATGCTATTTCCAATAGATATGCACCTTCAGCGGCACAACAGAGTGATGCTAAAAATCGGGTAAAGTGATTGATAGAATCTGTTGAAGAAATAGTATGATACTTTCTATTTAGGAAAGAAAAAGCGACTATACTATAGAACATCTAACTACATCGTCTTCTGTAGTGAACGGTGATGATATAACAATTCATTCATCTCTGTCATGTCAGCCAGCGAACAAAATCGAGAAACACCAATTGTTCGAACAAAGAGGAATTATGTCGCATTCAAAAACGTTAACGCCAAGAGGCGATGATCACGATACTCACTTATCGAAAGTAAGCTCCATCTTATCATAGGTATTATTATTACTATTATTATATGTTGCTGTGAAGAAACTGAAACCCGATGCATCGTTTGATTCAGTTAGCAATATCACGCGGTGGTCTAATTCATCAAAATTGTTTCTAATTCCTCGACAAATGTACGAAAAAGATTGGCAAGAACCAAAGAAAAAACAAGATCGTCGTCGCCGCCGCCGATGCTGTGGATTATATCCTATCTGTTGCACTCCTTGTTGTTGTTGCGTTGGGTCTATTCTCGCACTTCTATTGCTTCTTATCGGTCTAACTGCTCTGCTTGTCGCTCTTCTAACAAATAAAGGACTTGTCATGAAAATTACCAGTATAGAACTTTGAAAGTCAAATGATATTTCCGTTTCATTCATCCATTTGTAGCCACAACAACAACCAGTACTTCTTCCACATCAACTAGCAGTAGTTCAACGTCGTCCAGTAGCAGCACTTCTTCTACATCGACCAGTAGTAGTTCGACATCATCAAGTAGCAGCACTTCTTCTACATCGACCAGTAGTAGTTCGACCTCATCAAGTAGCAGTACTTCATCAACGTCGGAGACAACCACCTGTGAGTCTTTCTAATTTACTAGCAATAATCTTGTTTTCTCTTTTTTACAAGCAACAACGACTGAAACAACGACAACTTCAACATCAACGACCAGTACAACTACCTCTTGTGAGCCTAGGAAAGCAAACTTTCTCAAGCTAATCACACGAAAGGATTATTTGGATCTCTTTAGCAACCACTCCTACACCTCCGTGTCCACCGGTTTCTGTTGGCTCTTCGAGCACTCTTCATAGTGCAACAACTGGTCCCACCACTTACACTTGTCAAGCTTTTCAATGGACAGCCCCCAGCACCGGTCCGGTCACACTCGCGTATGAACTACGCAATGATCCTTCATCTTGGTACATTGATGATGTGTCTGTGTATCACGGAGGTACTCAAATGATACTCAATGGAGACTTTGAAACAGGTACCTTCGCTCCTGGCTGGCAAAGAACTCAAGCAACGAATAGTTCTTGTGGTATCTTTCCCGGTCAGATAAGCAATGTAATGCCTCGCACAGGCACTTATAGTATTCGAGATGGAAGTCTGACATGCAAGGATAAGATTAGTCAAACATTTATGGCTACAGCTGGTGACATTTATATTGTCAGTTATTGGTATAAGACGAATGCATTGGGTTCAGGTCAATCGATCCTTGTTACACTTTCATGATTACCGCTGAATATGAAGATAACATTATACCGTACCTTTACTATCTTTTCACTTGATTTAATATATTTTAGGCTCTAATTTAGTAATAAATCTCTTGAGTATGTGATTCAAAGAGAATGCTCTCACTTGTCAAAATGGTCATTTATTAGGAATGCTTTCGCTTGCTTCAAAATTATCTGATTTGCTTTCGTCTACTTGAAAAGCATACATTTCTCGCACAACAAACAAATAGTGAATTAACTAAGAAAACGGCATCTTTCTATTCTTCTAACAAAAATTCATGTATTGATTTTGAATTAGTAAATAGGAGGCTATATCGGAAAAGCCATCAGATGTTTTTTGTTCACAAGAAAATAGTGAAAAAGATTAGTTTAACTATATGTATTGGTGCGTTGATTGAAAATGTCGGATTCCATAATGAATATAGAATGACAAACGTCTCTCCCAGTAACTAACATCTATCTCTAAGTTTTAGAGAGAACGAAATCGTGTTGCTGAAAAGATGTGACAATTCAAGCACCATATCTAAACCTTGTGAGAATCTGTACTATAGGAATTATTCAGAGAAGAATGAAGCAAGTGCCAATGAATTTGCTCAAAAAAATGTTGTATCAGATGAAGCTAAGAAAATATTGGTCGCACAAATCAATAATCGAATACATCCTAAATTCGATGCTAAAACAGCTGATCTTAGTTCTTTTGCAAGTAAAGCTATCAAAAACCAGTGGAGAAAACAGTTGAAGAAATCGTCAATTAAACCGAAGATGATTTTCGTAAAAAAAGCAAAGCAATAACCAACAAGCAATAAAATAAACACACCATACTTCCTCAATGACTATTATATTAATCTAGAAAGAATCAATATACTTTTTGCTACTCGACAGACATTCCCACTCCCGATTAATATAAAGTGCATATTCTACTCTGAATTGCATTTGGGTTCAAACCATTTCCTGTTCACCAGTCTGTTTCTATTTAAGAAAATTCATCATACTACACCGAAAAGTACCTTTTTTCTCATTTCTACCGGTTATTAAGATCAATATCACTTTGACGAGTGTTCGGTACCAGTTTTGATGTTTTTCCTTCATTTACAATCAGCGGAATGAGAAGTAGATGAAACTTTTGAAGAGATCCAGAAGTTTCATCAAATTTGTTATAAGATACATTTTTAATCGCAAACGAAAAGGTCTCGTCACTTTTGTCGAATATCAAAATGGCGAGTTATCTTCATTTAAGTTAATATTCATTGAATAACTCCAATCGCATTGCATGAAATATCACTGTGATAAAATTTTCAAAAAAAAAACATTTCTATTCGTTATTACTTCATTTTCGCGTCTGACTTTATTACTCTCTCGGTTACTCTGTTTCTTATTCTGTTCTTTGTCATTCTTTTGCACGCATCTGCCAACCATTGATTGATTCATCATCAGTTATCGATCGAGTATATACGTAGGATTGATGCTACATATGAGATGCGATTCGATCATTCAAGAGAGTATGTTTGCAATACCTATACCACTATCGCACAGAAATATGTTCCATATTTGAAGAACACAATAGTTAATACTCATAACCAAAAACGTCTGATGGTAAAGAAAATATCGTTGTTGTTTTAAATGGATGTAGAGTGGGGTTTCGCGTGGGATGGTTTGACACCAAATCTTTTAGTCTTATGGGAAGGAGTGGGAGTGTCTGAAAAAACCATCGTCCCACTCCATCTTGCGGGATGGGGTTATCCCATCAGCACGCGGAGTTCTGGTGTATAGAATAGATAGTACCCTTTCATCTCGTATTTACAAGATAAAGTATTATTGCAATTTTATTAAGATGCTAATCCTCATTCATTGCTTCTGCAATCCGATACTATACCGTATGTGATGTCAGGCTTTTTTTTCTTTTTACTAACAGAGAAATCGATGGGATATAGGGCATACATTTTCCATATTTTAGATTGAAAATTTGATTATTATTTTTGAATGCTTTTGGTTATTATTTCGTTGCTATTGGGTAGCGTTTTGGAAGCTAATAGTCTTCCAAACCAAAGAGCTATTTCATGTTCATGGATCGGCCATTGTGCAGGAGATCCATGTTATACATACAATGATTGTGATGGATCGTTAGTTTGTGTGAACGGAAAATGTGGTGATAGCAATACACCAGTTGAAATTTGTTCATGGGCCGGGCATTGTGCAGGAGATTCATGCTCTACGTACGATGACTGTGATGGTTCGTTAATTTGTATGAATGGAAGATGTGGTAATGGTAACAACGTTGGCAGTGGTGGTGTAACGGATAATACATGTAGATCATCGGGTTCTCTCTATGGCGTCGCGTAAATATTCCAATCTATTAACTTTTCTCGATACTATTTTGCGTGCTTTTTTAGTTCAGCCTGTGTTACTGATAATATGTCATCATGTTGCAAAGTCGGTGTTGCTTATCCACAATATAAATGTTCACCTTCATCAAAGTCATCAGCAATTCTGACATTGAATAGTTTTCAAGAAGGTGGTGATGGTGGCGGTGCTGGTGCATGCTTCGGTTTATTCTATCCTGATTCTCAACAAGTTGTTGCTTTATCGACTGGATGGTTTAATAAAGGAAGTCGATGTGGACAAATGATTACTATTCATGCGAATGGCAGAAGAACAAAGGCTATGGTAGTAGATGAATGTGACTCAGTACATGGTTGTGACAAAATGCATGCTGGTCAACCACCATGTCGTAACAATATCGTCGACGGATCACCAGCTGTATGGGCTGCGCTTGGTATATCAAAAAATGATCCACGATATGGACAGATTAGTATTTCATGGGAAGATTAATTTGAACATTTGATAAATATTGATTTAAAAGAAAAGCATCTTTTGAAAAAATAAATATTCTTTAACCGTTAGTCTATCATTATCCAAAGATGCCGCGCTATGAAGAATTCATTGGAGCGTATAACTGCGCCACAGTTATTTAATAGCTGTATGTTTTGTGACTATGTGATAGACGTTTGACCGATGACTAACCGTGTATACGTCATTATGTTGACTAGTTTTCATTGTGATGCTTCATTTGTCAATCGAAAGGAAATCGTTATCAATAACAACGGTATTCATCGGTTTTTTAAATAAAAAAAGCGCTATTGGAGACTGTTACTGAGAGCTTACGAAAATCTTTGCGTCGGATGACAGAACCAAAAAAAAAAGAAAAAACATAGACCTTATGCTTAATGATTTCATATCTGGTTATAAATTTTCTATACAAAGTCGCGCTTTGCATGTAATCATTCGAGAAAGAGAAGAATGTCTGAAAAGGAGGAAAGAAAAAAATGCGTCGGGCAAAATAAAGACATGACCTTAACGTACATCTGTGAGAGCTAGAGAAAGAGAAAAAGATATGCGTCTTCTCAGAGGAAAGAAAAAGAGAAAAAGTCGATTGCATCTTTCTTTCTTGCTTGTCATGTGTTGTGCATAAGATTATATTCCATCGATCCAACTTTCTGATTCAAATAGACATCTCATGGCTAGTGCAGAATATTCCAGTGTTGTTCAGCCGTTATTAACAGATTTATATCAAATATCTATGGCTTATGCTTATTGGAAAAATAACAAACATCAGGATGAATCAGCATTCGATCTTTATTTTCGGAAAAATCGTATGTAAAATGTAAAATACTCAGTTGCTCGATTTCGAAAAGTTTGTTTTAGCATTTGACGGTGAATTTACGTTATTTGCTGGCTTGGAAGAATGCTTGAAATTTGTACGTGATTATCGATTTCAACCGAGCGATATTGATTATCTTCGTACAGTCCTACCGAGTTATGTTGAGAATGAATTTTATGAATATTTAATTCAACTCGACATGAAAGATATCAAAATCTATTCAATTCCTGAAGGTAAAACTCGTTTGCCTTTCGTTTTACTCGATGACACCTTGAAATTTCATAGGTTCTGTTGTTTTTCCTCGTATTCCATTACTACGTATTGAAGGACCGATAATCAAAGCACAATTACTCGAGACAACACTCTTGGCGTTGGTTAACTTTGCAAGTTTAGTAGCAACGAATGCTGCACGATTTCGTGCAACAACAGGATCTGATAAAACATTTCACGAATTCGGTCTTCGACGTGCGCAAGGTCCTGATGGTGCTCTGAGTGCTTCGAAATATTGTTATCTCGGCGGATTTGATGGAACATCGAATGTACTTGCAGGAAAACTTTTTGGAATTCCAGTTAAAGGTGAAAATTGTCCAAAGACCATTCTGTTTTTGACGAATCAGATTCTTGTTTATAGGAACTCATGCACATGCCTATGTCAGTTCGTATAAAACAATGGATGACTTAAAACTTCGTGAACTTCGTGATCAAACAACAGGCGAAGTTCGACCATTTGCACAAATGTGTGTTGATTATTTGGAAAAACTGGTGCCAATCCTGGGATTTATTCTCGACGAAGCCAATGGTGGCGAACTAGCTGCATTCATCTCCTATGCTATTGCTTTTCCAACAGGTTTCCTAGGTTTAGTTGATACCTACGATGTTCTAAAATCAGGTGTACCAAATTTTCTTGCTGTCGCTCTCGCACTGCACGAATGTCATTATCAAGCCATCGGTCTTCGATTAGATTCGGGTGATTTAGCTTATTTGTCCTTAGAAGTCCGAGATCGCTTCACTCGTACTTCGGTAGCGTTCAATATACCCACTATCAAAACGTTAACTATTGTGGCAAGTAACGACATCAATGAGAATATTTTAATATCATTGGAAAAGCAACAACATGCAATTGATACATTTGGTATTGGCACACACTTAGTTACTTGTCAAAAGCAGCCAGCTTTAGGTTGCGTTTATAAATTAGTTGAGGTAGATTTCCGAGAAAAAAAACACTGAATCGATGATTTTTCGATCGTTTCTAGTTAAATGGTTCACCACGTATCAAACTTAGTCAAGATATATCAAAAGTGACTATACCTGGCCGAAAGAATCTCTTTCGTTTATACGGTCATGATGGAAAGGCCTTATGCGACTTGATGACGAAGATGGATGAAGAAGAGCCAAAAGCTCGAACACGAATCCTATGTCGACATCCATTTCTCGAGAAAAAACGTGCGTACGTCACACCCTCGTCGGTGCATGCCATGTATAATTTATATTGGGCTGATGGAGAAATCCGGCATCCACTGCCGACATGGGAAGAAGCACGTAAATTTGCGCAAGAACAAATTCAATCATTACGGAAAGATCACATTCGAAATTTGAATCCAACACCGTATAAAGTTTCAGTAACAGATGAACTTTATTCATTTATGCATCAACTTTGGATTGAAAGTGTGCCTATTGGCGAACTTTCTTGAATTCTTTTCTATTCTCCTAACATTAAAAAAAACACCATTAGAGATGTTGCTTTTTTAAGTAACCACAAAAAATATCGTTGCTATGCCGTAGCGTATACAAAAACGGAAGAACTGTGTTGGTATCTAAGAAAAGCACTCATTCCATATTATTTTCTGAATTTACTATATTTTCTCGTCAGTTGTGTCGTTTTTCTTTCATTCACACGTCTTCTTTTTTTCTCAAGTTATGGGTCTATCATGGGGTGGATATATCGCGCTTTATTATTTAACTCATGTTCTTTTGTATCCTATTATATACGTTTTTCTGGTAATGACAATACCACGTCATTTAATGTTATGGATTGGCGAAACAATCTTTTCATGGGAGGATGTTCGACGTCGGCAAAACAAGAATAAACCACTGACAGGTGAAAGTACAGAAATGAACGTAAATGTGGCTACAAACACGACCATGAAAACTAACATCACTTTGACGATAAATTTAACCGAACAAACCGATATGACTATACAAGATGCAAACAGCGACGATACAGAGTGTATATGCGAAGCATTTTGGAATTTCTTCAAGAGCCTATGCAAAAAAGTATGGTGTTGTAAGTCTTGTCCAAGTTCGAGATGCGCTAGCTGTTGCGAATGGATTTGTGAAAAGCATAATTCAGTAGATATAGAGAATTCGAGCGAACATTTCGAACGGCAACATGCTCGACAATCTTTCAATTGCTGCGATGTCATTGGCTCGTACATGAAAGACTCAGCGAGTATATACATGGTGTTATGTTTGTCGATTTGGTGTGCAGCAATTGCTTTCTTCGAAGGAATTGTAATGGGCTATGCACCTGTTGGGAAAGGTGGCGATTGCCCAATACCGAAAAAAGGAACGTACGACATCACTATGGATTGCTTTGTCTATAAGAATAAGTTTGATTCTGTTCCTATAAGCACAACATTATCGATTCCTTGCAACCACACACTTCAAATTCAGTACAATGACGAATGGTCATGGGCAGCGTGCTATGCTTGGATCTCCCCAAATGTGGAAGTAGTCGATGCTCTAGATGCACTCGGAACTTGTACCGGTATAACAGCATTTATTGGCACAGCAGCCATAATAATCAACTTTTTATGCAAATATCATCTATGGCGCTTCATCTTTGACATTGTAGTAGTACTCTCTCTTATAGCCATTCCAGTGTTGATAAAATATAACGGTCATGTACCGTTTCTGACATACACATTATTTGCAGCATTGATTGGCAACATTATGGCTGTAGAATATCATCATGAATTCGTTCCTTTACTCACAATTTGTTGCATTGTAAAGTGCTGTTTCTGTCGCATGGAAACAATTTGTCGCAAGTGGAAAATATACCCGGCTAATTAATCTCAACAAATATTCGATTTATCTTTATTAGTTTGGAAATTTTACATAATAAATTATGTGTTGTTCAATTGTTTACTGATCATCGTTTGGAGCATAAATGAGGATGTTTGTTGCGTTATCTAGAGCATTAGATAGTTCTTGTTCACATATTCTGTTTTCAAAAGTTCGTATAGTCCAGATAGACAATGTACAAGTATGAAGTAATGGTAGTGGAAGGAAAAGTATTGGAATGAGAAGGACAACAAATGTCTGCACCGCTAGAATGACCTGAGCTGATACGAGAGTTTCAAAAAATGAAATAAGAATTAGTGAATAAACAACAGATATACTTGTCCATACGAGAGTCAGTGAGCACAGCATAACAAGACGAGAATTTCGTGACAAATGAGACCACCATTTGGATCCTCCCAAACTACATTGCCATTTGTATGTAAGAGAAAGACTCAATTTTAGAATAAATATCGTTATTTGATGCCATTGCAAAGCGTTTGTAAAGGTATCAATGATATTATTCCATTTGAAAAAGTATTTCGTACATTGAATGATCGACTTGCGAGCTGAAGTCTCATATATTGTCGCATTTGATTGTTCGCAATATTCAGAAACATTAGCGAATAGCGGAGATGATGTCATGGATTGAAATGCATTGATTGGATTGAAGAGTTCATTAAGCGATATGTGTGTTGCAAGCGATCTAACTGAACAAGCTGTGTCATAGAACGAATCGTTCGAGAATAACTTCTGATATGTTTCGCATGTTTCCAACGATCGCTGTTGAGTAAATAGTTTCTCGAAGATGACTAATGATACTATAAATGCTTGGATCGGATAGAGTATAAGAGTGAAATTTCTGATTCGTTGTGCATTTTGGGTTGGAATCATCTTTTTATTGATCTTATAAACACGTTGATGTTTTGAAATTTTGCCTTCAAAATGACGATTAGTATGGAGATATTCAATAGCACTAATGAAGATTTGTTCGATGATTCCACGTGAAAACAATTCCATCCACCAATTGGTGAGATTTGAAAAGAAGACTTTTTTGGTAATAACAGATAAAAGAGCACTTAAAGCAACGATGACCACTGGTAGAAATGTAATGAATATGAATAGAACAACGATGATTACTTCCATTTCCATTGAAGATAATTCAAAATCGCCTATGAAATGAGACGAGAATGAAGATTTCATGGTTTTTCACTTTTTCGACAATCACGTCGATACGAGTGAAATTCTTTCTTCTCTTTATATCGATTTCATCTTTTATGATCCATTAACACCTTCCAACACATCATTCAAGCGAGATCATATAAGTATAACATGATGAATTTAGTAAATACTTCAGATAAAGAATTCACCTTTCATTATTTGATAATCGTTTTTTCAATCGAACCTATTATCAAATCTTACCACAGGAGAATCTTGTAAAAACTCACTGGAAAAAAAGCAACATTTCACTGCATTTTGTTTTCAAGATTTCTTCAGGATGTGAGTGAACAGGAGTATCATATTTATTTTACACGCTGATTCACCCACTAATTCTTATTTTTTTTGGTCTCTTGAAACGTTTTTTTTTCGGAATTTCTAAATCCAGCCATGAAAACAGTATAAGCCCGAGAAGTGTTGTTAATTGTTGAAAATCGATATATGTGGGTGGGTTGAAGGATGAAGGATATATAATCCTACTCATGTAAAATTGCTGATTCATCGATTCTCTAGCTTTCGTGCGTAAATAATTTGACTCTTCACATAGTAACGCACGTTTATTGGATGAAAACCCACGTGTTAATTTGAAAACATTTCGAAATAAATATTTAAGTATAAAAACATACCCCAAGCCTTACCTATATTCGACGTTGCTTCATTTGTTTTCTAGTTGAAAGTACTAAACAAGATGAAAGTTATTCTTAAAACGGTGGATAACATTCAGATACCATTTCAAGTCGAACCGTCGGACACATTTGATACCTTCAAGAAGCGAATCTACCACACTACGGGCGTCCTACCTGATTGTCAAAAACTTATATACACGGGGCACGTATGTACCTTATTCGATACATTTGCTGAAAAAAATATCCAAGATGAAGATCAGATTAATTGGATATATGCAACGAGAAAATTTTTAAATTTATCAACAAGTATCTCAAGTAAGTGTACATTCGAAAATAGACCAAAATATATCCTCGTTTTTCAAAAGTTAATGAGCAAATTCATATAAAGTTTCATTTAGGAGAGATTTCACCTGATCGATTTCTAGTTGGTGAAGATCCAGATCACATGATTATTTGGCTCGATCGAAAAATTGATAAGCAACAACACTATGATAACTTGATAAACGCTTTCTCGCTCATAGCATTACTTGTCAGTCAGAACCAGCCAGAACAAACTCCGAGACGGTCCGAAAAAGCCTTTTATACAAACTACAGTTTATCTGCAACTGTTGCTACTGTATCATGGACCTTGGAAGTGTTCTCAAGCATTACAGACTGCCTGAGATGCTTCGATGAAAACAGAAACAAATGCATTTTTTTCATTACATCGACTACAATGGCAAGAGTAGCTGTACCATTGATTCTCGAACACTTCAAAGAGATGTTCACTGATCCATTGTCATATGGATTTCATCTATCAATCTATGTGTTTCGTGAGAATACTGGAGAGCAATTGGACTGGGCATTTGAATATATAAAAAATATACAAGTATTTGATTTCAATGAAGATCTATTTGTTCGTTTGATACGTGATATTGCTGATTATCATGTTGCTGTTGGTAAGCACATTCTGGACAGTTCGCCATCACATCGTTCAGCTATTCGTCGTCGACTTTATTGGGCACGAGAGCTATATGAGCGATATCGTGATGTGGAAAATGTGTCTCTGAAAAAAGAATTCGAAGAAATCGATGCACTTCTTGAAAAGGAACTAAGAATGGAGGACATAACAGCGAGTCCACCAAAAACGAATCTGAAGCGGAAAACAGCAGATGTGCAATCAGTTAATAATAATTAAAGGCTTTGGATTTGAAAAACAATCAACGTTTAGCATTTTTTTGTATTTTGCAGTATTTTCTCTTCTCATTTGATTGACAAGCATCGACTTCCGTTCCGTTTGGCAATAGCTATGAGATTGTCCATTTCATCAAGACAGTCCTGATTGAATTGAGTATTGAATTTTAATATAGTCTTGGCTTTTGTGAAGCAATCGATCGCCTCTCGCCATTTTTGCAGATTGTAATAAAGTCTGCCGGTATTCTCGAAAGATAAAAGAAGTTCAGATTGTTCTCCATATGAAATTCTTTGCTGTTTATTTAATGCTTTTAATTGGTAAGTCAATGCATCGTCAAACATGTTGCATTCCCAATACGAACGGCTAATATCGATCAAACAGTAAACGATTAACAATTCAGTGGAATTCAATGATTGTTCGAAGATAACCAAAGCTTGTTTATAGTATTCGATTCTTTTTGTTCCGTTGGGTGTGAGGTCACCCAAGTTTTTCAGAATATTGGCTGCAAGTAGATTATCTTGATATTTTGTTAACAACTTTTCACAAAACTCTACAGCATTGTGATCTTCGTCTTTTTTTCTGTAAATGTCAATTACTCGATTCGAGTCGTCCGTTAGATTCGGATGGTTCGCTGGTAGAATGTTTTCATCGATTGCAAATGCACGACAATAAAAATCCAGTGCTTGATCATAATCTTTCAAATCTTCATGAATCCAACCAATATTTCCTAAACACGATGCGATATCCGGATGCTGTGATGGAAGTAATCTTTGATATATCTTCAACGCTTGATTCAAATATTCCAATGAAATTTGATATTCTTCTCTTTCACGATAAATCAAGCCGAGACCGTTAATTGCCATTGCGGCGAATTGATGATCTTTGAGCGAATTATTCTCGAAAATTTTCAGCGCTCTCTCCACATAAAACAGCGCTCTGTCATAACGCCTTTGAAGGTTAAAAACAAAACCAATGTTCATCAACGTTGCACCAATTCCTGAATAGTTTCCGTGTGAATTTCTTCGACGAAGTAGATATGCGCGTACAAAGCACTCCAACGCTAAGTTTAGTTGCCGCTTGCCATAGAACACATTGCCCAAATTATTACACGCTGATGCAAAATCTTCATGATCAGGTGGTAAAGTTTTCAACAGCATGCGAAAATACCGTTCACCTTTATCTAACTGTCCTAATTCCAAGAATAGTAAACGTCCGAAGAGGATCGTCGGCGAATAATCGTTCATTTGTTGACGTTTGGCATTTAAATACTCTTGAATACTTATTGATCTCTCGTCGGTTGCTGTCATCTGAATTTTGCAACTATAGAATGGTGAATCGTAGATGATATTGTCGATCTTAAACACCGATCCTAAACTGAACAGGACTTCTTTTTCACCTTCAACAAAACTAAACTGATCAATATTAGCGAAAACAGCCGTTTGAAGACAAGGGTCGACTCGGATTTCGAATAAAACGGTTTTCGAATTATCGGAATAGCTTTCGAGAAATTTCAAAGCAACGTCAAGTTCTTTTGTCGTGGAAAAGAATCCATTGGTCGAAATCATACTACCAGCACTGCATGTTAACTTGTTGCATTCTTCAGCTGACATTCTCTGTCCACGATACACTGTCAATGTCCCATTGGTTTCTGTTTTCGATCGTTTCCATTCGTGTTCAAGTTGTGTACATAAGTCAAGGATGTAAAATCGAAATAGGTAAATGATTTCTGGATTTTCGGTTCTCAAGGCTTTGTTAACTAATCGGTAAACGAAGGAATCACGCGTATACCATTCGATCGCTTTATGCGGTGCATAAGTCAACTCGAACTGCTCGATTTTTCTACGTTCGATTTGGTTTAACGCATAATATTCTCGACATTTGTCTAGCATATCTTGTTTGGATCGATCCGTCTGAGGTATTTTCCTCAGAATATCAATCAAAAGTTGAAACCACGTGAAAGAGCCGAAGTCTTTCGAGACATCATGCGTGGATCTCTGTTTTTGTTCATCGAATAAACTGAAAGTCATCGCTTGTTTTCGTATGAAATACATCGTTTTCTGTACGGAGCGCATTAGCGAATCTTGATCGATAAATATGTCGGTAATTTTCGAATATCTTTTCAACATCGGAACATACTTTTTGCGATCCGAGCAGAAAATAAATATCGCAGTGATTGTTTTCAGTGAGTGAATCTGTGAAAGGACAACTTCTGATAACATACCGGACACAACCAGGAGTATTCCTTCTTTAGTAATTTCTCGTATATAGTCCATACAAAGTGCAGGATCTGTGTAAACCAAAACGCTATTGCTCAAGCTTTCTAATAAAGTTCGTGTATCATAATTATCGACAGTTTCATTGACGTTTGAGTCCAACCAAATCAAAGTTACATCTTCAAGATTTTCTGCGATTTCACTAGCTTGACGATTGTGCCGTCTCCTTTGCTCGTCACCATTCATCGCTCTTATCCGAATATTTGTAATTCGTTGGTACTGTTCTCCGACGGTTGGAATGTGTCCAAATTTGTACACTTTCTTTCTTCACTTTCGGCGATATATTGACAAGTTATTGTTCGATATAGAAAAAAGGTAATGGATTGAAACCTTTAATGTGAGAATCTATACTTGACAAAATCGATTAATTCACATTGAAAGGTAAAAATATTTGAATGTTGTATTGACATAGGAAATAGTCACTCCGAAATTGTATGCTTTACACGATGGTTCTATGTATGAGAAAAATATAAATGTCATTCGAATCACTCCATTCTATTCATACAGATCAGTAGAGTGCATCGCCGTTTTTTATATACTGAAGTGTAGAAATGCCTCACAGTTCACGCAGAAACGTCAGTCACTTGTAAAGCATGTAAAATAAAATTTTAGCGCACTATGACACATTTCCGACAAAGTTTTCCGACTAAGCATACGCAAAAGACAAAGAAAAGAAATACTATTGGTAGAAATGTTTGTAATTCACATGTGTCTGCAGCAACACTGTGAAGTGTTGAGGTAGAAATGAGCAAAATGTCTCGATTTGAGTGTAACCAGTTAAAATAGAATATGAATCTTTTATATGAGCTTTAAAAAAGCACTGGGAGCTTTGAAATTCATTTTTCATTATAGATAATTTATGAGTATCCAGGAACATACATTTACTGATACACAAGATCTGTTATTATCTGAAATACGTCGATTATTTGTCGATTCGTTTTATGATTACTATCAACTCATCGAATCTGAACTCAATCGTCCCCAAGGTGAACAAGTAACGTCTTGGCTGGACAAGATATTTGATCATGTTCAAAATGATCTGTTGACCAATCAATCGCGTATATTTCTTATGCGTGATGAATCATTAACACTGATTGGTTTATTAGTAGTGAAAGAAGTGTCGAAGCATGTAATTTATATTGCCCAATTAGCGATACATCCTTTATTCAAACGACAAGGCTATGGCAGTTTATTTATGAGTCATCTAAGAGCGACATTTGGGCCGACAGTCAATTATGAGGTGTTAACCCGACGAGTTAATAAGCCAGCAGTGGACTTTTACGCAAGATATGGTGCACAAGTGATCGATGATAAACAAATAGTTGTATATGGTTACGATCCCAAGGATTTCATTGGCTTTCGATTGACTCATGTTGATTAGATTTTTCATGAATAAGGACGAGAAAGCGATCATTTATTTTGATGACAAAATTTTTAAAAAATAGAACATATCATCGTCACCATGATAAGCAGTATTCTTTTTCAGCAATACGGCATGTTGTTGGTTTTTCAATCTTCATTCTTTTGTGTAATATAATCCGTATAAAAACTTCTGTTAATTCTATAGTGATTGCTTTTTTATTAAACTTTTTTCGGGAGCTAATACCAATAGAGTCATGATACTATTGATTTCTTAAAGTATAAAAACACGCGATATTGCCATGCAGCTTTCATTCAATTACAGTGCTTGCGAAACATGGGTAAAATGTCATATGCTACTTGCTCCGTTCTTATTCTTTTTAGGTAAAAATGATATTTCCATTAAATACTATATTTTCTGCTTTTGAATTATTTTAGTTTATATTTTGCTCAAACTATTAATGGCCAAACATGTCAAGGTAAATCTCAGTACGATTCATGTTCATCAAACAGTGCATGCGGGTGTTTACCATTATCAATATCGGATGATGTTTCTATTTGTGCTGTTCTTGGTGTAAGTTGTTCACGATTGCAGACATGTCAATCACCTGGCGATGCTTGTGAACGAACTGATCACGTGTGCGTGCGACATCCAAGATGTAATTCGTTAACACCTGTTTGTTACCCACTATCGATGATTGATCAACGATTATGTCCACCATCACCGTCAACACCAAGTAAAACACATTTATTTCCATTGTCAAAAAATTTTATGCCCCTTTGTCTAGCGCCTTCTTTTACAGCAACAACAGGATTTCCATCATGGAACACAACAGCCTATCCATTCTACAACTCAACTTCCTACCCGTTTTACAACTCAACATCATACCCATTCTGGAATTCAACTTCTTACCCATTCTATAATTCAACCTCATACCCATTCTATAATTCATCATCTTATCCATTCTATAACTCAACATCATACCCATTCTGGAATTCAACTTCCTACCCATTCTATAATTCAACTTCCTACCCGTTTTATAATTCATCATCTTATCCATTCTACAACTCAACATCATACCCATTCTACAATTCATCATCGTATCCATTCTACAACTCAACATCATACCCATTCTGGAACACGACAGCCTATCCATTCCATAACTCAACATCATACCCGTTCTACAATTCATCATCGTATCCATTCCATAACTCAACATCATACCCGTTCTACAATTCATCATCATACCCATTCTGGAACACAACAGCCTATCCATTCTATAACTCAACATCATACCCGTTCTACAATTCATCATCATACCCATTCTATAACTCAACTTCCTACCCGTTTTACAACTCAACAGCCTATCCATTCCATAATTCAACATCATACCCGTTCTACAATTCATCATCGTATCCATTCTACAACTCAACATCATACCCGTTCTGGAATTCAACTTCCTACCCGTTTTACAACTCAACATCATACCCATTCTACAATTCATCGTCATACCCATTCCATAACTCAACATCATACCCATTCTACAATTCATCGTCATACCCATTCCATAACTCAACATCATACCCATTCTACAATTCATCGTCATACCCATTCCATAACTCAACAGCCAACTCATTATACAATGGAACGGTGCCAACGTCAACAGCTGGATATGCGCCAGCCTCTGCCCATTCGTATTACACAAATGCATTAACTATTTACAGTGGCGTATATCCCGGAACAGTTAATAAATATTATCAGGCAATCAGCGTTGCTGTCAAAACACCTGGTCTATACACTTTTAGCAGCATGAGTTACATGAATACCGCAGCTGCACTTTACAAAGATGGATTCAACTCTTATTATCCAAGTTGGTACTTAGTTTCCTCGGTTAATACATTTGATAGTAATCAGCAATTTAAACTATCACACAATTTGAATGCGGGAGCGATATATATATTAGTTGTTACAACGATTTATCATGGTCAAATTGGTCCATTTACAGTCACTGCATCGGGTCCAGATTATGTTCAATTTTATTAATCGATTATTGATCAGAAAACACAATCTTGAAAAAAAACAGCTCTCCTTTTGATGAATTTTTCTTCGCTCAATACTGTTTACATCTTTTAATAAATATTGGGACTGAGCCATTGATGTGTATCTGTTTTCATCCGGTAGAATCATCTACAATTTTCTGTAAAAAATCTGTTTATTAGTGTTGGGTTGGCTTAGAACTAAAACCTTTACATGTCTTCCTGTTTCTCACGACAGTATACAAGACAAATAAAGACCTATACACCCGCACTCATTACTATTCTTCGATTCAGATTCTAATGAAAAATCATTGTCAACATGTTTGTTTTATTCTCAATGGAAAATTGTTTCACAACCATACAGTTTTGAGCGGTAATAGCTCAACAGAGAACAATTCGATAATCGTCTCCTTTATCATTGACGGTTTTCAGTAGCCATCCACAGCCGATAGTATTCATTCTTTAGCGTCAGAAGATTTTCGTGCGTATCTTGCTCGGAAATATGACCTCGATTAAATACAAAGATTTGATCACAGTTTTGAATTGTTGTTAGACGATGGGCTATAGTCAGCGATGTTTGATTAGAAACAGATCTTTGAACATTGTCTAGTGCTTGTTGAACAAGCTAAAAAGTGAAATGAACGACATTATGGTAGGTATTTTGAAGTCTCTTGCTTTTTCCGAGATATTATCGAGAGCGGCAGTAGATTCATCAGATAGAAATAAAATTGGTTGACGAAGAAGAGCTCGCGCAATTGCAACGCGCTGCCGTTCACCTCCACTCAATTGCGAACCTCTTGAACCGCATATTGTTTGATAGCCCTACACAAAAAAGTAAAGAGCATCCGTTGATGAAAACACAAGGAATTCACCTCGGGCATATTGATAATAGCATCATGAACATTTGCAAGTTTCGAAACATGATAGATCTCTGCGTCCGTTACTGGTATTCCCAATCGACCATAAGCGATATTTTCTCGGATACTTAGATTGAAAAGAATGGGTTCTTGTTGAACAATACCGATAATCGATCGTAACCATTGAACATTGAAATCGCGTAAGTCATGACCATCGAGAAGGATGGTACCTTTTTGAGGATCATAAAATCGAAGGAGAAGACTGAAAACAGTCGATTTTCTATACAAATATAGTATACACATATGAGAATGTCTTTCTTTCGATGGACATACCCATAACCTGATTTTCCGACCAATGCGTTCGATGTATGCGGAGAACAAGTGAACGAACAATTCCGTAGTACAAACTTTCTCTCACGCATCGGATACGAAAAATAAACATTTCTGAATTCGATTTCGCCGATGATCTGATCAGCTGACTATTGAATTATAACAAAACAGAGATTTTTCTTGAAGGAGACTTGTCTGAGAGTATTAATAACATCTTACCAATGAAATACCTTCATTCATGTGAATGAATGGTTGTCGTTTAATCAAAGAGAAAATTCGTAGAGCTGCTGACCGAGCTTTTGAATATTGAGGCATCATTGAAATACTTTGACCAACTGCTGTAGCAGCAAACGTGATAACAATAAATATTCTAAAGTAAGATACAAATTGTAAAAATTTGGTTCAACTATTTCTCCATACCGAAAAACCTGATCGACAGACATTTCATTGTTTTCAACTAGTTTTGAACCGTAGGTAAACGTTGTAATATGCAAGAAGAAAATCAAAGAATTCGATATACCATAGCCGATAGCTCGCATATGAATTTTTGGAAGAAAGGCGCTAAAAACAAAAATAAGCGATTTGCCGTACGTCGTAATTGCTTACTAAAAGCTTTTATTAAATGCATTTTCAAATTTATCAATGAAATACTCTTCACAACCGACTGCTGCCACTGTGCGTATCTTGTTAAACACCTCAGCGGCACACTAAATATCGACGTATATGTATAAATATACAAAGCAAAGAGAATGATTATGAACTTGTGATCCTTGATCAGCCCAATTGCTTGAGGATTTAGTTTTGCCCGACTTCGACTGACTTTGTCCTTGTAAAAGACCGGAAAAGGCCATTAAAGGAGCAAAACAAAACATAACACAAGATAATTTCCATCCTGCTTGAAATGAAATAACAATAGCCGTCAAAAGCGCACCGAATGCTTGTAAAATCACTCCTAAATCAACACATTTATTGTTCAAATTCAGTGAGTAAACGTGCAGTATCTACCTATTCGAATGCCAGATAGGCCCTATAAAAGAAAGGTTTCATAGATGTATTTATTTGTCTAATATTCCTCACCTTCAATACCGATGCATCTGCAGAGAGTCGAGTAGTTAGAGCACTAACTGAATTTTGTTCTATGTCGAAAAACCCAATTTCTTGTCGAAGAATTGCAGAAAATGCCATGAGACGCATACGTTTAGTCAGACGTTCTCCTGAGACAGCAAATGTCCATATCATAGTCCAGATAAAAAATCCATCGACTAGGTGTAGGAAGAAGATGATCAAAGCAAGATTACGTGTTTCACGAATCTGATTCTGAAGATCAGTATTAGCATATTGATGGTAGACAGATGAAAATATGACACCAACTATTGGTTCGGCTGCACCAGCCAGCGTAGCGGTAATTGTACCAATAGCAATGAATGGCCATTCAGGCCGATTGAAAGCTAGTAGGCGAAGAATCAATGACCGATGGGTACAGCAAAATCTCCTTTTGGTTTTCTGCTTTACAGTGAATTGTTCTTGGAGAGTTACGGAACTTGATGATGTCGTTCTTGCCAAGGATTCACATAAAGCTGCAAAATAGTTTTAATTTCCAATAATTTACTTCTGACAGTGTGCTGCCCTTACACTTATTATCGGTTGACTCGTTCTGTTCGAACTTTTTATGCACATCAGAAACTTCTATATGTGAATCTACAGTAGCTGGTTGGCATTACACCATAGGAATTCTTTACACGAATGTTGGATATGATCAATGGGCGTTTGATCATTACCGAAAAGCTTTATATTTACATGAAAAAGAATGATTATGCAAATGCAATGCGACTATTTATGAAAGGTGCTAATATAAATCCAAAGGTACCTAAAGAATATTCAATGAACCACGAAGGCGTTGCAAAATGGTATTTTGATGTGGGCCGTGCTTTCATCTACAGTCAACCTGAGAAGGCGGTACAATTGTTTGAAAAATCTTTAGAGATTCGAGAGAGAATCTTTGACAACGATAATATCAACGTCGCTTTGAGTCATGATAATATTGGTTATACTCTTGGCATAAACCACTTAGACTTTGATAGATCTATCGATCATTTAGCAAAAGGAAAGCAAATCTTCGAAAGCATGGAACTTATTCAATTATCAGCTAACTCACATGATAACTATGGTATTCGTCTGCATTTGATTGTTTGTGAAGATTGCCTTAGTCATTGGTATTATCAAAAACAAAATTATCAACGAGTATTTGATTATTCCATGGATGCACTTCGAATTTATCGATTCGATCAGGACAGTAACGGAATCCAGTCGCTAATTGAAAGATTATGATAATGCTTTGAAATTTACCATCAAAGCTAAAGAAATTCAATGAGATAATAGTGCAGCTAGCAACACGAGATTGGCACTTGTTTATTCAAAACAATACTTGAATGATAAAGCAATGGAACATTGTAATAAAACATTAAATATCATTCAAGAAAACTCTGTAGTACACGGTCTCGCTGATTGCTATGAGTGCATAGCTGCAATTTATCAAGATCAAAACGATCAAGACAAAGCATTAACCATTCATAAAAACAAAATCTTCAACTAATCGTTCTGATTTAGAACGTACGACCGAAATTATTGGCAGGTTATCAGTTAATCAAATGAATGTGGAGCATGTGGATGAAGACACGAATCGCGATGACCAATATGTAGAAGAAGGTATAAATCCTAATGATCGTCGTGTGGATTAATCCGTACGTTCGGATCATGATCGAATCATTTATATTCTTTCTATCTAACTGACTTTGATTTTGACCTATCTTCTTGAAAAGTGAACACACACATTAGAAAATAAGAAAGTATTTTTCTATTCGTATTTCATTGCGCACGGTGGTTTATGATCGTACTCTTTTCAGCTAATTAGTTTAGTTAACTTATTGTAATGAGAGTTTGGCATTATAATATTTTAAGATGAATTTACTAAATATTTGCATCGTCATTTTCGCGTAGGATTCGCCATAGGACATACCTATTGTGCAATTTCTTTCCTCCCTGATAGATATATGTACGAGATAGTAGCCTGTAATAAAATACTCTCAACATTAGCAGAAAATGGCTCATTTATTCAAATATCAAAGCATCATATCTTCCTCGATGATTCTGTCGTTTTTGTCGACAGTTGATGGTTCTACCAGGACCTAGAACGAAAAGATACATTGTAGCAAAAGGATGATTTTATCTTTACTTTTCTAGATGATCCACATGGCAGAATCTCTTTTGGCGATACCAATAGCAATGGATCGATCACCTTTGGATCCTTGGAATCTAGAAAAACACGAATAACTTTCCATCTATGAAAAATTCCGTTAAAAAGATCTCACCGAGAATAAAACTTAAAATCAACCCAACAACAATAGTAATCAATGTGCCAATGCATATAAACCAAAGTGGTGATATTGAGAATAAAGCCACCAATCCATTCGATCTAAATTACAAAAAACTAATACATCGATTTCTCTTTCTCTCGTTTTATTACTTCATTTCTGTCGTGGTTGTCGAAGCAGTCTCATTAACTGCTGGGATACATTGATCGACCGACGTGGGTAGTCGTCCCCCGTTCTTATTCGGCGGCATCGGCATAAATATTGAACCAAAGAGTAGAAATAATTGAAAGATTAAACAAATGAAAAACGCTACACATACACTCTAAACAAACGTTTCACATGTTTTATCAAAGAAAATAACTCGTATATACTCGGCTTTTAACTCGCGAGAAAAAGAATCCAAGAATATAGATTCCAAGAATAGGAGCTGCAAATACACCGAAGATTTGAATGATAATCTAAAATCTATTGACATGAACACAAAGACAAACTTGTAAATACTAACAGTGATGATATTGCTTTGCATAAACGATACTAGGAAGGCCATCAGTACTGTTAAGCTTCCGATACACACGGCTATACGAGAAAAGTTTTGAAAAATTCAAGGTTCAAAGTTTTCTCACATAAGATTTTCGAAAGCAGAACTTGTCGATCGTTAGTGATTAATTCTTTCTTTGTCAATCTTTTGTAAATATCTTCCAAAACAACTGTCGCCGTACTATTTACCCCACTTGAAAATGTACTCAATGTGGCGCTCAATATACAGGCGATAAAAAGACCTGTTAAACCCGGAAATCTTCCTAATGTTTCAATGACAAACAACGGATACATCTAGAAAATCACACGTTTCGCATCACATATTCTCTTCCTCCATTTATCATCTTACTTGATCTGGCCGAGAAATTTTCTTTGATCGAATTGGATCACATTGACTATATTTTGCATATAGCAAACATCCGACACACAAACAAAGCATTTGCATCGTCACGAACATTACATAATTAGTCCATGCAACTCTCTGAGCAGTTTTCGTATCTTTAACACACATATACCGCTGTGCTTGCGTTTGAATGCAGGCATATTGCGCTGTACTGGAGAAAATCACACCAATGAATATACTCCAAAATGTATATCGAATCGATAGGTCCAAACGAATGCTAAATGGATTTATTCATATATTTACATCGAATTATCTGTTAATGTACTCAGCGAATTGTAATCGATTTCCATTATTCACGATTTCGAATACTCTAGATACTCCGCCGAGATCAATAAAACCTTAGATTACAAGAAAAGTTCAATGTTTTCTTCTCGTAAAACTCTTACCAAAAATAATTGATAGAATCAATCCAATAAACATAATCGATGCTTGAATAACATCAGTCCATATAACCGCTTTCATTCCTCCCTGAAATTTTCTCTTCGAAACGGAATGTTTTCGTTAAAAAAAAACTCCTTACAATACTCGTATAGACTGTACAAACTATACCACATAGTCCAACCGATAACCAAATATTCAAGCCCGTGACTTGACTTAAAGCGATGCTCGGCCCATACAAAATCGTTGCCATGGAAAGAATCTTCGATAGTCTCCATCAAAATCACGTTTAAACCTGGCAATTTCTACTCACAGTGACCAGAATAAAACTCCCGGTCACCAGAATTCGAATCGTCAATGAAAATCGTTGTTCCAGATACTATATAACAATAACGAAACTTAGAAAGATTTATCTTAAAAACTAATTGCGTACATACAGCATAAATACTTGCATTTCCCACGTAGTGAAATTTTGGTATGAAAAATTTCATTGTTAAATAAGTTCCGATAAACCATGGGACAACTTTTGTCGAAGATTAAAACTAATGACATGCAAAGATGCTTTCAACTTACCGCAATACACAAGCATCGATCCAAAATAGTAGAACTCAACAGGCATACCCAATAATGATGCAGCAGATGTTAAACTTGCAAGTAAACTCATCGCTGTAGGTAGAATTTTCATCCGGCCATTGGCCAGAAGAAATTCTTTAGTCGAAGTTTGCTTCGATCGAAAACAACCTTGATAAATTCCAATTCCACATGAGAAAACTAAAACATTGAGTTGTTAATCAACAATGTTTCAATGAGAATTTACTTAATAATAAAACAAAGACTGTATAATCAATCCAACTAAGATACATGACAAGTATACTTGAAATGAAATGCCGTTTTTATTGTCCTTCATCCTTATGACACTGCATCTTTTCACATGTTGATATCATAGATCAATACACAGAATGAGAAGAAACGAAACCAAAAATTTATTTTTATTTTACAACGAGAAACGTACTCCATCTTGTATCTTCGGTACGCAAACCGATTTCAATACAAAATATCATTGAAATAAAATAAAAAAATGAAATTTTCAGTTTTCATTCAAAATATTGTTTTTCAAGAAATAATTCACCGATGGAATGGAATAACCTGATGGACCATTTTGACCTTGATAGAGCACTTTACCATCCGATAAAACATAGAGTTTCTCCGGCCATCCGCGAAATATATGGTTCGTATGATCATCCATGGTATCCGAATAGACTGCAATTTGATCATTCTGATCGATTCCAGCTAATTCAATGAGAGTTTTTACAGCATCGACTCGATCTTGAATATCTCGATGATTGGCGATGAAACTGTAATTTGGTCCGTCAAATTTCCATCCATCTGAAGCATGAGCTTCACGAATATAGACAATAATAAAATCAATGGGAGAGTTCCTCTTCTGATGATACTGTGCAAGTTCAAGATATGATTTTAAACTTGCAAGAAACGGAGGTCATGTACAACTACCAAAATTAACGACTAAATAGCGTCCAGTTTTCATTAATGAACGTAAGCTAATCACTGGAAGGTTCTCAGTCGTATGATCACGTAATAAATTGACATCTTCTGTTAGAACGGGGATCAATTTTGCTGTATAAGGAACTGGCTGACCTGGCGCAGTAAGACTTGCAGGAAGTGTACGAGCTAGGTGAACGCGTTCACGCTCCAATTTCCAATAAAAGATCCAGAATTGCAATCGTAACGCCGAGCGAACAGCCAGCGATGGTGGACATGTTTCTGCCTAGAATATCACGTTAACTACATTATCTTCTTGTATAGACGTCGACATGTACGTACCGTAATAGCAGCACCTTGGATAAATTCGTTCGGCATTTGATGTTCGGCATTACTTCTATCTTCTTCCGCTCGATCTTTCGCATTTTTTATGTACTCTTCTTCGTGCCCTGAAATCACGATCCAAAGACAATATAATATCATCATTAATGGATTCGTTAGCATTCGATGTATAGTCAACACGATTTCGATGACTTCATTCTTTAAACGAACGAACCATTCGTTCCACATGTTTTCTTTTTTTTTCAAATTTCAGTTCGAATTTTACACTTTTATACCATTATTTCTATATCATGTCG